AAAGTAAAATGAGTTTTAAATATGTCCGCAGAGAAATCAAAACAAAAAACTAATTAATAGAACCCCCTTCCTTTTTTTTACAACACACGTAGTACCAATAGAAAGTGCGGGGTATAAAATTTCCCGAAAGCCAGTTCTTTCTCCATGTTAACCCTGGGCTTTTGAACCCACGTGGGTGACATTGCAAGCGACTGCAATATACAAAATAATATACTGCGACTGTGCGCCTTTGATACTTAAGTATCAGTATACTAAGTATCAAAGCCACAGTCGCATAATTAAATACAGTTAGTTAATTATACCTTTGACTGTGCGTAAGAGTTAATGAATAGTTAAACAAAGTTAAACATTGTAAACTTTTTAAGTTAATAAGCTTTGTTTTTAAATTATACTGCTTATAAATCTTTACACTACTGATACTGTTTTCACGGGTCGTGGATTCGACTCCCACTAGGTCTAACGTGTTACAAATTTTTCAATTTGTTTTATTTCTGAAACATGTTAGACTTCATCTGGAAATCTGGATATTCAGTGGACGGTAGGAATATTGAATATCAATCCGGGTCACACCACACACAGATGAAAAAGCCGCGAAGTTTAATCGATATCCATAGCCAAAATAGGCCGACAGCGCATCGTGTGTAGATGTTATTTGGCTGGGATATTTCACCTCCCATCATTGATGCCTCGTGCTTGTCCTCGTCTATCATTAAAAGAATTATAAACAAATATTTAAAAGCTGTTGTTAGTATAACTCGTTCGCTAGTATCAAAACTGTTTCGAGTAATGTCTGACTGTACAGTGCACTTGCAGCGTGATGCACCAACTCGAATTTTTTGCCGGTTTTAAAGTTCGTCCTTGAATTTCAAGTTTAGATTACAGCGTTCACATGGCCCAATCGCTTGATGGTTACTTGTAGGTCGTAACAAAGTACATACGTACACAATAATTAATATTTTATATCGCGTTTTAAACCGTTAAAGTGTTTTATTTAAATGTGTACTACTCGCGTAAACTATAGACAGTGTTTAAAGATAGATATTTCAGTTTGTGTATATTATGTAATTCTTAGTGACTCATTGCTTCTGATCATGAAGTCCTGGTATCCTACCCCGGTAGATAAAATTCGATCTATAAAAAACTAAGTCAAATATTTCCGCGCTATGTCCCTGGAGATAAACGAGATTTCAGTTAGTATTATATTTATCTGACAAATCCGTATAAATATATCTTTAAAAGCCTCTCCGTATATCTAAATGCTAATTAAAATTCACAGAACCAACTACTGAATGCACTCAAATTTCCGTTACCCAATCGTCTAATATACCGGTTCTCAACACAAATTTTATTACGCTAGGTCAAGATTCCTAACCCAGCTGAGTAGATACCGGCGCGAATAAAGACTATAAAAAACGTCGGGACCCGGGGCAATGCACTTTTTCGTGGACGGTCAACGAAGATCGTACCCGCTCGGATTTGAACTTGAATTGCATGACAATTGCATACAGAATTCGCAAATCATTATGCCCCTTAATACAGCGTAATAGCGTCTAATACTCTACAAACTTATTACTGCACATACATTTTTATTAATAAACCGTGAATAAAACCTAACGTTTACAACGCACCTTATAAATTTCAACCTTACCACCTAGACATAGATGACATTTTCCAATGTCAAAATGATTATTGCCAAAAATGTTGGCGCGGATGCGAAATGTTTGACAAGGGAAATTGGATCTAAACGAATTGTAATACAATTAATATTCTAATGACGTTGTTTGGATAATACAAACGGCGTCGCATACGCATTGAAATGCATACGAGTTAAAGGCTCACGCAATTCATCGTAACTAAGGTCATGATATCAAATGATGGAACCCGTCTGATCCATTATACCATAACTATGAGTAAGAATGGTGATTCAAACTAAACTTAACTGTCCAGTATAAAACAATCAGTTCAAATTGTAATTGTAAATGTAAATAAAAACATCTACTATGTTACTAGGTGTCAAATTAACTGATACGAAATTGTATCAAAATCAGTTAAGCCAGACAGAGTAACAAACATCTTTGTGGAAAGTCATATATTATTTGCCTGGGGAACGTGTCAGTATCTGTTTATTTGAAGCCAAGTAGCTAGTTCATATTATGTCTTTTGTTCACTGTTTTGTGCATTGAGTATCCCGGTACTCGAACCCAGGACTTCTTACGCTTAACTTAGAGCTGGCCAAAAACGTTTAACTATTGAGCCAGAGGTACATCATAAAGATATGTCTTGATTTGCTAATCACGACACTGATAAAACGAAGATAATTAGCATCATTATAGTAGAATCAGACGAAACGGAATTCGAAAACTGATAGTCATAAATGGAAAGAAATTAATATTTAAATGACATAAAAAGATATCTGTGTATAAAGAAATTGACATTAATATAAAAAGATTAAAATCGATATACATACATATTCATTTTAAGAACTAAATAACTTACATAATTCATAAGTTCTGATTAATAGTTGATATATTTGTAATTTTACTACCATAAAAGTTACCACTCCCTTTTTTAGTAATTCAGACAAATACGACGCAAAATAATTGGAATTCCCGTTTAGCAATATCTTAACTACATTAGGTAATAATTATTATGTATAGATCTCTATCGTACGTTTTTCTTTGAATAGTGAAAAGATCTATAGAAACTACACACGGAAAAGGGGACAAAGAACGAGGAACATTATTACGAAAATTGCTTTGTTATAATGTTAAATAAAAATAGACAAGATGAAGGACAGCGATGTATATTGTGAGCACAAAGGAACATTCACGAGTGTAGATGATTTGAACATAGATAATTTTCTATGCGCGGATGTCATGCAGAAGTACCATTTACAGAAAAGTCTGGAACAAGGAAAGTAGATACTTAATACTGCCTATAGTTTACGCGAGTAGTACACATTTAAATAAAACACTTTTACGGTTTAAAACGCGATATATTAGTTAAAATTATTTGAAAATGATTTTTAATTTCGGCCCGACGTTTCGGTTAGTCTTCCCGTGACCACGGCTGCAGCAAAGCATCCGAAACGTCGGGACAGTTCAGAACTTATAGCAATCAGTATAAATACAGTAAGTAATAAATAGTTTAATTTAAACGTTAATATTTTTCGAATGTACATGATGGCACTATATGAATTAAAAATCGTAATTGAAAAATTTTGCACGACTTGAACGGGCATCCTCAGCGTTCCGTGCTGGTACTCTACTAGACCTACCGAGTCCTAAGTAAAAAATAGGTTATATTAATTCAAGTTCAACGCACTAAGAGAATGAATCTAGATGCAGCACAATTACGTAACCAAAAAGATTTGATGTTGTTCACCTCGTAACGGTCCTCTAATACAATATTTTCACAGCATTTTATTATGCTCTTGAATGTTATTCAAAAGTCATGCATTATTGATTAATCAGTCAATACGTCGCGTGTTGCGATAGGTATAATTAAATAAATTAAATAATTAATTTCTCCCGCGACATACTTTAAGAATTAAAAATCGAAAATAAATTTCGACTCGGGCAGGACTTGAACCGGCATCGTCAGCGTTCCGTGCTGTTGCTCTCTAAAATAGAAGGTTTTACTTTATGACTGTCATAAGTCAGTATAATAAGGATATCGTTGTTAAACTTTAAAAAAATGATTAAATCTAAATGTGTTGCCTGTTCTTCATCATCATTTTCTAAATGTCACATCGAAGCAAATGATAAACATGATAACTCACTATTTAATATAAAGTAAATAATATAATATTATTATATAAATTGTAAAATATAAAGTATTTAATTTAACAAATATTTTCAAAACATTCTTGTTTATTTGGTTTCAGAATATAAATAAGATTAACAAATCATAACACAAATAAATAAAAAAATCTACTTCTCTAGATATTCACACATACAATTTTATGATTTTTATTTTAATATCTAATTTTGTACTATAATTAATGTTACACACACATTAATAAAAGCATATCCATTCGACAACATTGCATATATGATATAGAAATATGCTAAATAATGTTGTTTACATCGGGGCAATTATAACGCCTTTCTTAAACATTTAAAACGCCAAGCCATTGAACATAGCTTTGAATCTTTAAAGATCAAACTTCAAAGTGTCTGAAATGAACTGGCCAAATAGATAAAGATATCAGAGAGTGCTACGCGCGTAGACACAATCGTAGTCAATTCGTAGAATGCGAAGTGCCAAACGCTACATATATTTTATCATAGTGCTTCTCCACATTATTGGTAAGGATTAAAGAAATCGTCGTAACAATGATTTTCACGTATTTCAAGATTATCTTGGAAAACTTAGAGCTGGATAGATCATATTTAAACAGCTTAAAATAAAAATAAAATGAATATAAAATAAAATGGAATATATATTAGCTAAAGTTTTTGGAAATTATTTTAACTACGGCCTGGAGTTTTTGGATGCCTTGCCAGCAGCCGTGCTTAATAAAATATATCGCGTTTTAAACCGTTAATTGTTTTATTTAAATATGTACTTCGCGTGTACAGACAGTGTTTGACATTACGAACCTACATAACCAAAGTAGTTATTCGTTTAAAAGCAAACTGAGAATTTTTAGAGGGACATAAATTGGATATATATTTATTACTATCCTCGTACATAATACATATAATTAACAAGATAAAGATAATTACGCTGCGAGTTCGCTTTGGGTAGAATTATATAACAAACAAATTAATAAAATCTGTGACATAATCCTCTTTTTTTCAGCGGCAAAAGGGATATTCATGAGATACTAGTTAGGGCCAGCCACAATAGTCGATGATGTCGTGCGTCCGTATTACATATAAATACATACGGTGTGCGTTCGTACCGAGACTGTCCGCCGAAACCGCGTCGAGCACGGCTACCTGACGCACGCGCATCCGAAAGTTAAATTAAAAAAATCACACCTCCCGAAAAAAATGAACGATGCCGAGCTATATCACAAAAGTAATAATCTCCAGAAGAGGGACGCCTTCGAGTGTCTCCAGGAGTACGAAAGGAGAATCAAGTGGAAGAAGGACGCTTTGATCATCGATATTGGCTGCGGTGATGGCAGCGTCACGGCGGCTATGATGAAGCAATTCCTACCCGGTTACAGGAAGGTGGTGGGTTGTGATATTAGCGCGAAAATGGTACAATACGCGAGCAAAAAGTTTAATTCGGAGAATATCAATTTTATGGTGCTTGATATTGAGGGTGACATACCACAATCATTGCGGTGCGAATTCAACCACGCTTTTTCCTTTTACACGCTGCACTGGATTAAGCAGCAAGAGTGAGTTACATTCGTATAAGCTCTCCTAAACTTAGCATAGAATCTATTTTCTTTGCTTCTATAATTCTAGCACTAAGTTATTTGTAAGACAACATCTGACTAATGATTTGTTACAAGTATTTTTTTGATTTATTAATTAATAATAAAATTCTAACTATTTTTAATCGTAGAATAAAACTTAATTCTTTCAGTGATAAATGCTATTTAATCTAAATTTTCTTGGTATTTATATAAATTATGTAATTAATAAGAGATGACTTTAATGTTTAGAAATGATTACAACATACAATTATCAAATGACAAAATTAAATACAATAGAAATGGTTATTTTTATAAAAGTTTAAGAATAAAAATATCGTCATTCTTATTCAAATTCCGACTTGAATGAATGATAGAGAAGACACGTGGCTTTGTGATGCCACGCAAATTCATTCAAAATCTATTCAATCTCAAATCGTTCTTATATTATGTAATAAACTTTTTGCTCCCAGGATTGCGTTCAAAAACATATACGACCTACTTCAGGACGGTGGGAACTGTTTTCTGATTTTCCTCGGGCACATGCCGCTTTTCGACGTGTTCAGGATTCTGGCTCGAAGCAACAGATGGAGTTACTGGTTGAAAGATGTCGACCGATTTGTATCGCCGTACCACGATTGTCAGGTGAAAATCATTAATTTTTAATCTAAATCAATCAAACTTCTTGCCACAAATGGAAAAAAAAAATCAATCAAACGAATGAAGACATATGAGGCCGCTAGAGTAGAGTAGTCTAACTTGTTCATGTGCAATAACATGTAAAAATAATAAAGTTTTCTAAGAATCTAAAATTTTTAATATATCATGTGAAAAAGTCTTTTTTTAACTACTCATTAAACAATCTATATTGCGACCTGTTTAATTTATTTATAAAGGCCATTTACCATGATTTTAGGGGGCTATTTTTTGAAATGTAAGAGTTTTTCCAGGATCCAGAGAAGGAGATACGTCGTATGATGTGCAAAGTGGGATTCAGAAATGTGGACGTACAGTACAAACCAAAGTCTTTCGTGTACGATAGCCTCGAAGCTGTCAAAAGTGAGTAAGACTTAGAGTATATGACCGTTAAAAATAAGGAAGCAAGAAGACACATTTCTATGTCTGTTTCATTTTTTTTTTATTAATGGGAAAGTTATTGATCAGACTTTTAGTCGTAATAAAATAATTCTCTTCAGAATTCAGAGTCAGTTTAGTATAATTATTATATAATGTCTGGTTAATATTATGTTTTTATTCTATAATATAGTAAATTTTACATATACCCAATGAATGAAATAAAATAAAACACTCTCTGTAAAATTATAAAAATTCTTTAGATTGGTCCAAAAAATATTTAATAATTTGTTGCTTACCTTATTAATTTTAGCCTTAGCGTGTCTTATATATCCTTTTGAGGTATTATTTCATATTAATACTAAAACAATGAAGAATGTAATTTTTTTTTGTTTAACCTTTTTTATTTTGATTGGTTATTATTTTAAATTTAAGTAATAGTAAGTAAGTAGTAAGTTTCGCGCTTCTTGCACACTGTCTAGTTTTAATTATCATCAAGTTTCTTCATAGGGTTGCCTGGAAGAGATCGCTTATAGCGATATGGTTGCTCTTTACACTCTATAGTTTTAACTTGCATTGTATCTGTAAGTTCTGTTTTGTGTACCTAAGTGTGAAATAAATAAATTATATTATCATTGTAATATAATATTATGAGAATACAGTGCTGGAACAATGATAAAAATGCCCCCCCTTCTCATCATCGATATTTTAAACATTTTTTGGGTACCTTATTGTAGGGTTTGTAATAACTCATACAAGCTTATATATCGACATCTACAAGTGTACATCGAATAATATCCCTTAAGCAGGTAATTTATTTCATATTTCAGAAGCTGTGAAAGCAGTGAATCCGTTCCAAATTCCTGAAGAACTGCACGAGGAATTACTTGAAGATTACATCTCCATAGTTCGTGACATGGAACTTATTGATAAGGTTAATAATAACGAGAGCTCTGTCGCAGTGAGGACTAATTATAATCTAATAATCGCATATGGTGAAAAATAACTTAAAATCTTTGCAAAAGACAAAATAATATTATAATACAAGCTTTCATTAGAAAGCAATAAGGTATAAAGGGCGTAAATTTCTCCAAAAAGTTGATGTCTATTACAAACGTACGCGTATAACAGATGTCTTTAGTTTACAAGAAACTTTTATGCGCATTGTACACGTGGTATAAAACACTATTCAACGGCTTAAAACGCGGACTACAATAGATACCTAATACATTAGTAACTCCGCCATAAAAAGTGTTTTAACAGATTAAACCAATATCTAGATTAGATAACTAATTAATTTCTAACTACGCCCTAAGGTTTCGCAGCGGCGAAGCAGATCTATTCAATAAAAAGTTAATTCACAATACGAAAGTGTTTGTGTTATGTGAGACGGAGACGGCTAAGCTTAAAATCATTATTAATCTATATGTCAGTGACAAACTCTAAAGTCTCCAACTAACTCCCACATAATTGTGTTGTACTTAACGCGCTTTCTCTAGAATTTTAACTCATTCATTTTTTATATGATCTGGCTAGATTGTATATATTATTTTATTAATAATTTTATATTAGTATTATTAGATTAATTTGGGTATTTTAAGGGACTAGTTAAGTAAATACTAACACTATACGGTAAGTTGAAAAGTACAAATGTTTGAATTAGATGTACGTAGATTTTATACTATTTATTATAGTTGGTAAATTATTATGAAAATTTTACAGTTGTATTATTTCTCAGAAACACACAGTATTCAATATTTCTCTTAGGTTAAGTAAATATGGTGTTTTTAAATATATTATGAATTATCTCTATGTGAGCAAAAAAACAAATCCCGTTTTCCCTATGAAACATTAGGTAAATTTTCTATGTCCCTTTGATTAATCGATTTTATATACAGATATCAATGTGATCAGACTTTTATGCCCACCTGACCGAAACAATTTATTATTTTCCCAAAAGTCGAACATAGGATATCTCGTAATAAAAGGCAACGCCTTTAAGTATTGAGCAACGAGAGCGGTCAAGCCTTCTTAGTTGATTATGCGAGTTCTGTGGGGTAAAATATTTTTAACAATAACATGTTTAGAAAGGAGTAATTTTCTTAAAACTATTTTTTGAACACTAATATAAGTACTTTAGTAAGGATTTTAATAAAAGAACTTATGGTCAGTTGTATCATATACTCGCGTAATGTCAAAAATCAGGGACAATAAACGACGACTCAAATAAATAACATCTAGCAAATTCTAGAACTGTTCATTTTGCGCAGTGAATTTCAACAGGCGAACGGTTACGGTTCTTTCTTTCTTCTAAAACTATTGCTATAAAATTATACGTTACATACTAGATTCATTTCTATTAATATATATATATATATTTGTTGTCCCTGTATAATGTGTGTTGAACAATGGGTATTTTAAGAAAAACAATTAACAGCGTAACTGTCTATTAACGCCATCTGCGGTCGCGTACGTAGACTAAACCTCAAATTTCTTATTAGCGGTTGTTATAGAAACTAATATTTTATGCCTAAATTATGGAGTAAGCAAAGGAGCAAATTCAAATGTTTGTTTATATTTGGAATTTAAATTGGAATTCAGAGTTATCGTCCTCGTACCCCAAAGGACATGTACGACCCCAAATACCATAATTATTTGGTTGTTTTCGTTAAAACCCACCAAACCGCACTGGATCGGCGTGGTGTGTCTAAGATCTTGAACCCTCAATTCTATTACACTGGAGACCTTGACAGCAGTGAAACATTAATTCAACTAGTTTTAACAAATAAATTATAGATAAGTTTAACAGTAATTCAACGTTTAAAAATTAAAGCAGCTCTGTTGTTTTTTTTCTTTCTGTTTCTTTATTGTAACCAATTCATTTATTTTTTTTAATTATCGCATAATTGGGTTTGTGTACTTTGGTGTGAATAAATTATTAGTATTTAATTCTTTGAAATAATGACAATTGTCTATATATTGATTTAACATATATAGGATGGAATAGGTACATATTTCAATGTTGCACGTTTTGATTACACGAGAATAACTAGTAATAAGTGATAATATTTTATTGTCTATTATCAAAAGCACGTGCAAAGTTCTTGCAGTACATACATCTATGTATTTACTAGCTTTGTTAGCGTCTTCGTCCGCGAGAATCGTTATTTTGGCATTCATCCCTTCATCTTTAGAAACTTGAGCTGTTACCTACGACGTCGTCGCGTCCCTTCCCGTCGTTGTTGCAAGTTAATCTTAAAAGATAGACATATATCTTAGAGAACTTATTTACATAATTTAAAGAGAAATCATTATTTTATACACAATTAATAATTTTCCTAATTTTAGCCTATAGCATTCCTCGATAAATGCTCTAACGGACACGAAATATTTTTTTTTCAATCCGAACCCGTAGTTCCTGAGATTAGCGCGTTCAAACATTCAAACAAACTCTTCAGCTTTATATATTAGTATAGATATACATAACATAATGGCTATTAAAAAAAATACATAATCACTAACGTGAGAGTGGTAAATGGGGGGTTATATTTTTACTTTGTTTGATTTTATAGGGTGTATATGGATCTATATTTCCTGTAAAAAATTATTAGAAACATGAACAATTTTAAAATTGAAAATTTTTTCGACTCGGGCAGGACTTGAACCGGCGTCGTCAGAATTCCGTGCTGGTGCTCTACCAATTGAGCTACCGAGTTATATTATACAGCGCCTTCGTGTGCAATACTATTTAAAAATTATTAAAGTTTTTAAACATGAAAAATCAACATTTTCCTTATTTTGTTATTCATGTCCTTTGGAATTTATATTATCTTCAAATAGTCAATGATAAAGGGGGAAAATCTACACTAAATAAATTCTTGATATGTTGATTAAAATAATAGACGTAAAGTTAGATGCATTTGTATTTTAATAAAACTCATTTAACAGTTAAAAACGCAACGAAATAATAAAGATACCATAGCTTATATTTAATTTATTTAAACCTTAGTTTTTAACTCGCCATTTTATCTGAGCATGGTAGTTTGTGACCCGTGACCCTGGCGGAATCATTTAATTGTCCATATTTCCAGACGAAGTCCAACATCTTATAATTGTTTTTCGGGCTGTTTCGCAATCACGAGCGCACGGCGTTAGCTCCTCGATTGGTTGAAGAATTCTGCGCCGAATAACCCGAAAAACAATGATATACGATGGCCGTGAAAGCCTTACACAATTTATAGAAGACCAACATACTGTCTGTAGTTTACGCGAGTAGTACACATTTAAATAAAACACTTTAACGGATTTAAAACACGATATATTTGAAAATTATTTTTAACTTCGGCCCGACATTTCGGATCTTTTGCAGCCGTGATGACGAGGGGACTGATATATTTCGCGTTTGGAACCGTTAAAGTGTTTTATTTAGAAGTCAAACATATTTCAGAAACATTATAAAATGTTTAGAAAAATGTTGGATCAAGATCCAACCCCGAAGCCGTTGATAGCTATACTCGTACTTTGCTATCATTACATTTAATAACATCTATATGTTATTAAAATAATTATAAAAACTAATAACCTTTATCTATTATTGTTATATATTTATGAAAAGGAACTATATCGCATTCAAATATTCGTGATACGCATTTGATATCGATTTAAGCAAAGATTTGATTTTTTATAAGCGTTTGATTATCTTTAACGGATGATAAAATTAAGCTTGTGTATAATTTCGTATTTAGTCATCGCTGTCAGCTACATCAAAGAATGCCACACAACCGAATCAAATCGAAATTTGGATACCAGCAGTGCGTATTACATTGTATTTTTATTTATATCTATGTATTAGATAAAATTTTATTTGATATGGACGTTGTAAAATAAATCATAATGTAAGATAACAAAATTGCTTTACCCATTTCTTAAATAATAATGTAAATGAAACAAAAATAAAGTCTAGGAAGATGTCTAACTGCGTATTTCACTTTGTGGTTATGTGTTTATGATTTGTCTAAAGAAATTTGAAATTGAAAATTATTTAAGTAATTATCGGTCAGTATTAATATTATTTTACTAAAACTACTAACCTATAGTATAACCGCAATTTTCATCACTCTAATTCGGTTATACGTCAAAATAACAAAATTTAAAACAGACAACTGCAGCTCGGAGTTCACCAAAAATATTTCTCCTTTCAACTGATTATTTTAATTTATAAACGATAAAAGTGGTTTGCAAGAACGATCTTACGAGTAGCTGCCCCAAATTACGATTCTCGCGGACGAAGTCGCTGACACAGCTAGTCTATGATAGTTATACAACTATATAGGAAGTATACTTCTTGTTTGAAACGATTGACACTGTGAAGAGTTTGTACTGACTCGTGTACGATTACAGGTAAATTTAATTTCCATTATTAATTAGTTACTTATTATCCGTCTGAAACAACATTAGGTAATTCATGTTCATTAGTTTGTAGTAAAAATAATCATGGTACAGCCAAGTGAAAACTCAAATTATTAACTCTAACCATTTTTGCTCTACTTATTATTGGTCTCGAGTGCAATTTTTAACCAAAAATCCTTGCTAAACTTATATTGCCATATTTCTATCATTATACAAGGTAATTCTTTGTTGATACTAAAGCTGAAACACGCCAAACGTCTCTTTATTCGCAGAATCAGGATAAAACATGAAAATTAAAGAAAAATGAAAATTCACGAAGTTATTAAATTTTTTCATGTTATTGTTTATCCCGCATTATCATAGTCACTGAGCAGGCGCCGACGCAGCGCGCTATTTCGCACCCCCTCCCTCTACTCCGCACCTTACACTACACGATTCGCTACTTTTATGTACAATCGTTAATACGCAAGAGTTAAGGTGGAAATTACATGGCGCGAGAGGTGCATGTATCAATAAGTTGAAAAAATTCGACGATTAGGTGTAGGACTCGGTAGCTCTATTGGTAGAGCAACAGCACGGAAAGCTGACGATGCCGGTTCAAGTCCTGCCCGAGTCGAAAGTTTTTGTCAATTTATTTTCGATTTTTAAAAGAATTACATGTTTATCGTCGACTCTACGTTACAATTAATTCAATACAAATAATAATCCGTTGATGTTTGAACTAATTAAAGCTTAATTATAAGGTATTTAATCATATTTGCGCGGATATATATTATATTATATCTTTATAAGTATGAGGGTAGGTTAGACAAATAATGTATCAGACAAAGTCGATGACGTCTGGTGATGATATTATTTGAGTCTCTCTACGGTTTTTAATAAGAACCCAACAGGAAAAATATTTTCATGGTTTCCTCCAATGACAATCCTTTGCGGTTGCCAATTATTTAATTATTATACCTTGAATTACTATAGACTGAAACACTGGGACTAAAGACTGAAGTAGTTTTTTGAACGATATTTAATGTTTAATTTGAAGGCTAACGAGTAACGTATGAGGATTCTCTAAGAAATAAATATCTTTAGTAAGAGTTTTTGAAACTTATTTTAATTTTTTTATAACTTATTTATTTAAATAGACTTCAGCGTCCTGCACGACTGATCATTTTTATTTGTTTCCCCCGAGCTTCGAACACAAATTCTTACGTATAGTAACGGCGAAGCAATTTTCACCATCTTTAAATATTCAATAAATTTTTCATATTAAGAAGGAAACCCTGGTTCATTACATTGTGCGGCGTCTTAACGCGCTTACGAAGGTCATGGTGAATAAAAAAACAATGTAGTGTGCGTTGATAAATAACATCTAATACCACGTTACTATGTACCAAGACTTCGACGTAAACAGACCAATACATCGGAAATTAAAATGAACAACGCTACGCTGTACAACCAATGCAACGTTCAGCAAACGACAAGTGCTTCCAAACATCTTGAGGAGTTTATGCATAAAATCGAATGGAAAAAGGACTCAAGAGTTCTGGACATCGGCTGCGGAGACGGAAGCGTCACTAACAATGTACTTAAGAAATCAGTCCCCAATTGCAAGAAGGTGACGGGCTGCGACATTAATAAAGACATGATTGATTTCGCCAAGGAACACTTTGCATCGGAAGACGTCGATTTTATTGTATTAGATATTAGTAGCGAATTGCCAGATTATTTACGAGGTCAATTTCACCACGCTTTCTCGTTTTATGTTATGCACTGGGTGCAGAACCAACAGTAAGTAAATTAAACAGTAATTAGTCTCTAGAAATATTTAGAATAATGACGATGAAAGTGATGTGTAATTGCTGGATTTCATCTTATTTTGAGCCCAAAACTTCAGCTAAGATATACCATATTAATATGTAGAAGCCTCCGCCGCTCAACGTTCAATTGCCTATCATTGTTTTAAGCACAAGAGGTTCTAGTAACCCATCTTGGGGTAACGATAAATTATTTCGGTCAGGTAGGGTACGGAAAACTGATCAACTGCGTAATTATTGAAATAAAACACTTTAACGGTTTAAAACGCGATATATTAGTTAACCGTATTTGACTTAGTCATATATCGTGTTTAATACCGTTAAAGTTAATTTAAGTTTTATTTAAATGTGTACTACTCGCGTAAACTATAGACAGTATTCAACTACGTACTTTTGAAAACTTTTATGTTTTCCACATGTTATCGCACATGAAGGCACTATGTAATAAAAAATCGACAATAACATTGCGCGAAAGGTGCATGTATCAATAATTTGAAAAAATTGGACTATGGGGTGTAAGACTAGGTAGCTCAACTGGCAGAGCAGCACGGAACGATGATGAAGCCGGTTCACGTCCTGATCGAATTAAATTTCATTTCGATTTTTAAACTAGGTACTTGGTTGTAAAAAATGTGAAACTTTTAATATCTCATAATTTGATTTCTAAATAAATTGTTTATATAGATCAAATTCTATGTCCAATCTTTATGAACATATTAATTAGTATTGGTTTCTTTAATACTGTCTGCAGTTTACACGAGTAATAATTTCGGAAACGAAACGTCGGGCCGCACTTAAAATAATATTCAAATAAGATTAACTAATATATATCGCGTTTTAAACCGTTAAAGTGTTTTATTTAAATTGGTTTTTTAAGTCACCGAGTAATACAATCGAAAACCGGTTTTATTCGCGTACTTGCGTAAAAGACAAGAATTATCAACATTTAACTTGTTTTTTTTTTAAATTTTAATTTACTTTTTACATTTTTTATTTAAATTATACTGCAGATAGATAGTAAATTAATAACAATATAATGACGTTCATCATTAACACCGATGTTAGCAAAAAATATTACACCATAAAACTGTAAACAAAATTAAAAGGTTTTTTCACTCTCATGGTCGAAGCAATTTTTTTGGATTAAGTTATGGGATATTTTTTATAGAAAAACAAGTTAGTGAAATCCGGCGAACACGTTTCTATGTCCGTTTCACTGATCCGTTCTTTAACAGGCAAGTAGTTGATCAGACTTCTGTGCCCTGCCCGACCGAAACATTTTTTTGTTTCTCTAGAATTCAAACCCAGGACCTCTCGCGGTTAACGCAATGCTAGGTATTAAGTACGCTTAACCATTTGGCTACAGAGGTGATCAAAAGAAAAAGATTATTATATAGTATGTAAAATAGTCTTTCTTAAAAAATTGAATCATGGCTTTTGCTTTATGTTTTGCTATTGAAGGGTCCGCGTTATTACGCGCTTTTTAAAAACAAGGTTTTTCACGGATGCAAGAAAACTTACTGCAGTCGACATTGTACCACGTGGGAAATGCTTTGCAGAAACAAACTGAACAAGAAAATTTTCAAAATTAAGTCATAATTGCAATATGTCAAATCAATTACGTTTTCAGATATGCGTTCAAAAACATATACGATATGTTAAAAATTGGAGGAGATTGCCTAATAGCGTTTGTTGCGCAAGCGACGATATTCGACGCTTACAAAATATTAGCTCAAAATAATCGATGGAGAGAGTGGATTCATGGAGTGGAGAGGTTCATCTCTCCGTATCACGAAGCAAGGGTAATTCACTTTACAGCTTAAGTTTTTCTATTCCTTGTAACTTCTACTCATCAAAGTACTAGCTGTGGACGCTATTTTGTCCGCATATAAAAGTACTTTTGGGATCTAAATTTTTGTTTTATAAACCTCCTCGTCATCTTTACAAATTGTATCTGTTATCAACGACATCCCTCGTACCGTCGTTCTTGTAAGTTAATCTTAAAAGATATACGAATATTGTTACGAACATTTTTTAGGACATTTAAAGAGGAATCTTTCTTTCATACATATTTTTTGAGTATCTTGAACCATTTTCGCAGTGTACGCAACGGAAAACCAAAAGGATAAATTATATATCTCAGTAATAACAGATTTATACCAAAGAAAGATAATAGTGGTTCTTCTGTTATTATTTCTCCAATAATGGATTCTACTTGGACTACGTCTATAAACGACTGTAAATGTCGAATCTATACTAATATAAGCTAAAGAGTTTGTTTGTTTGTACGCGCTAATCTCAGGAACTACTGATTCGAAAAATATTTTTGTGTTCGTTAGAACATTTATCGAGGAAGGACTAATAGAAGCGAAGAAACAGCGGGAAATGTAAAAAAAGAAAACTGTAATTTTCCGATGCGTACGCTGTGAAAGAATGATTGCTTTTTAAATGATCTAAGAAAATGTCCGTGACACTAAATATCTATCTTTGAAGATTAACTTACAAGAACGAGAGAATCCGAACGACGGGCGAGCGACGAGACGCGTGCGATATTGGTGTCTGGAAGGAGGTAAAAAAAAAAAAAAAAAAAAAAGGGCAAAAAAAAAAAGGGACCCAAAAAAAAAAAAAAAAAAGGAAAGGGGGCCCCCCCCAAAAAAAGAAAAAAAAAAAAAAAAAAAGGTGTTTCGCCCCAGAATCTAACGTGAAAACTGGGAAAATGTTCCTTTGGTATGTTTATTATTGTTTTAATGAAATATGTATAACAACGCCAATAAAATTTGAAGTAGCACGATAGCGACCACATAAAAGTGATAAATTTTATACTGTAATTATCTACGAGTTAGTTATAAAATGTAGTTGTAGATAAATAGTAAATTAATAAATATACTGTTGATTCTATATATTCTAATCTAATGTCTAAAGAGCGTTGTAGTTGTTGGTAGTTTAAATGCGCTTGTATCAGAAAACATAGCACCTTTAAATAAAACACTGTAACGGTTTAAAACGCGATATATTTTAGTTAAACTTGTTTGTGGTCTCCCCGTCACCACGGCTGCTGCAAAGCATCCTAAACGTCAGGCCGTACTTAACAATAATTCTCAAACAAGTTTAACTAAAATATATCGCGTTTTAAACCGTTAAAGTGATTTATTTAAAATGTGTAACTACTCGCGTATAACTACAGACGTATTTAAATGCAAAAGCCCCTATAAAAATTTTATGTATTTCATTCTCTATGTATACATATTATATCTTGCTACAAAAGGGCGATAAAGTAGCGAAGATCTGAGAAACAGGAAACATTTAATCTAATTGGGAGTGTTTGTGGCCTTTTAGATAGCTAAAAATATAAAAAATAAAATATAACGGCTAAAAACGGCTCGCGCTAGTTTCTTATACTATTTTTTACAGTGTTTGATAAAAGCGGTAGCTCCCTACAATTTTTTTGCCCAAGTGTTATCATCATTTAATATGTATATCTAAACGATTTCATTAAATAACGTAATTCTTTACTTAATTTGTAGGATCCAATAGACAAACTCAGACAAATTGTATTGAAAGCCGGTTTCAGCAAGACGGAAATTCAATACCGACGATCGCCATATAAATATGCCACTTCAGAACTGTTTAGAGGTACGTAGAAAATAGAAGCTGTCTATAGTTTACGCGAGTAGTACACATTTAAATAAAACACTTTAACGGTTTAAAACACGATATATTAGTTAAACTTATTTGAAAATGATTTTTAACTTCGGCCCGACGTTCCCGAAGTCTCCCCGTGACCACGGCTGCCGAAGTGAAAATCATTATCATAGTTTAATAATATCGCGTTTTAAACCGTTAAAGAGTTTTATTTAAAATAGAAGCTGTTTAAAGGGTCATCACGTCACCGTGTAGAGGTGAGACCAGAATTGTTATACATAATCTTAATTCATGTATTCCGTGAAAAGCACGAAGTCGCATTAATAGTCGTCGATAAGTAAGAGGTGTATTGGTTGATACGTTACACCCATGACGCACGTTATGTTTATGGCGGATTTTATTAGGTATATATAAATATATAGATCATCGTGTTATTTTTTGGGTTTCATACCCAAAGGTATTACAACATAGTAACCTTTCTGTTGCCGCCTTAAGAGGACAGGCAAGCACGGGGTTCACTTGATAGTAGGGGAAGGACTTGAGCCATCAAAAATTGAGCAACATCAAATAAAGATGTGCTGTCGACTTATTTTGGCTTTAAATATTCGGAAATCCACATACTAAAACGGAAACTCGATTAAACCTAACAGCTTTTCATGTGTGGTCGATGGTTTGTAACTGGTGCGGAATTTCGATTTCCTCACATATCATAATATCCAGACAAAGACATAATGCCTCAAAAAAATTATAAATTGATATGAAAAATGTTGGTCCCGGTGAGGGTCGAATCCACAACCCGTTGATAAACCATACATTGCAACTGAATCTACATATATTTTATAAAACAAAACACATCAGTTTTATTTTTTATGTTACCTTATCTTCTTGGCTTGAAATATTCACAAAGTACTCAGTTGTTTTTTTAATTTCTTGTTCTATATTTTGTGTAGACATCTTTTGGTCTTACTGTAAATAATGTTATGCAATTTTCATCCTCATGGTAGCAATTACATTTAATAACCTGATAAGGCAGTTATGACGTTATATAATTTATTGCTTCACATAAAGCAATGTTAACAATTTTATTAACATCAACAGTACTTAATACTTATCTAAATAATAGTTTTGTCGAAGTCAAAACATACTGTTTCGTTTCAACTTATTAATGTCCCACATTTGGACTTGCCATGTACAAATGTCGATTATTAAACTTCTCAAAAATGGTTAGACGAGCGCTTGTGTGAAAGTAGAGGGGTCCACCAGGGCGATTCGCTTTCACCTATTCTTTTTACAATTGTCATGAACCACCTTTGCCTTATGCATTTGGTCAGGCGCTAACCTAAAAATTGCTGTCATTGAAAAAGTTCGCATGATCGGATATTTAAGATTTTGGATTATCAGGATCTGACAGTATGATGAACTCCGGTACGTGGGGGTGAGGTACCGGGCCTTTGTTTCCTTTATGCAGTTGCTTCGATCTTGGGACTGGAGTAAAATTTCTATTCATTCTCGAGGTTCTCACGTGAATTATCCATATAATAACGACTCGGATCTAGGGGATCAAATGAAAATAGAAGCTAAAGAAAGAAACTAGCGGCCAATTTTCCCTTTATTCATAATGATTAATTCTAACGAGAGACATAATGTATGTGTGTGGAAAAATAGTCAAACTCCCCGCCAATTAATTAATGCCATAAATTTGTAATTTAATTAATATTGCAGGAGGAATAAGAGCGATTATTCCCTTCGCTATCCCAGAAGAGCACTTCGAAGACTTTTTAGATGATTTATTCGATGTTATGCAACAAGTTGACATCGAAAAATACAACAACGAAAAATCTACTCCAGAATTTGTTCACAACTTTAGTCTTTTCCTCTTGTATATGAAGAAGTAACGTCGTTTATTAATTTATTTAACAGTCCTTATATTCATAAATTATTAATGTATTCGTTTAATTAGCATTTAGCTGTTAAATTTTATACTTGCATAAGTATTAGAAAAAAGTTAAGCATATAAATATCTTTGAAGTACATGAAAAAGATGTCAAGAAATATAAAAAAAAGTGTACCTAAATATCTACCATATTTTACAGTTGTCACGATTTCTTGTTTAGTATAAATTTATTATAAAATTATTTCCTAGGTAGCTTTGGTAGCTAATAAAATAAAAAGTAGTTCTATTGTTGGTAGTATTTATATAGTTAGATGCATGTACCTAGTGATAATATTTAATTTATATAAAGCAGTTGTATTACTGGTATTTACTCGTGATTTGTGTAAAAATAAAAAAAATATTTCAAAACAAGACTTTCCTTTTAGCGCCTTGCATAAGCTTCCTCCATTCGCTTTTCTTGTAGATTATAGGACAGGTAATACAGGAATATTTCTGCTGGTTTTAATACAGATAAATACTGCCTCATTTGCCTAGTGCATTCACACAAGTAGCGCCCAGTGCTTCGGTGAAAACTTTGTCACTGTCGTTTCCACTCGTTAACTCAGCCTGCGATCTAAGCTTTAAAATGTTGTCTGTTCAACACCAGTGCCATTATAAGTGAGTACTGTAGAGCATAACATATTGGGTACGTTTCACTGATCGATATTATTTGCAGGTAAGTTGTTGATCGGACTACTGTACGCAGGGTACATATATCTATCTATATAGTTACCATACAATTTGCTATTTCCCTCAACCCAAACTATGATGATCTAAGTTTCGTTTTATATTTTTTAGATACGAAAGCATTACATCAAGCTTAAAACTTCTTATATTATCTCTGTGTGTCAAGCCTCCTTTAAACACTAATACTGTACGTGAACTTCACTGTTTACTTGGTCTACTAGATCACAATCTTATGAATATTTTTTATTAAATTCAATACATATTTCTTTATTTTTATTTATTGGTGCTTATAGCAGAATTTTAGCCCACTTAAATAACAACTCAACAGTGAACAAACATCAAATTGTATACCTTATAAAACCAAATTAAGTCTATTAGCATTGCCAAAACTACCAAGGGATCTTTAGGGGTTTTTCTATTAATACACAGTGATGTTTGCCTTGAGCACGAACCTTACAAGACGCCAGCTATGAACAACGCTCTCTTGTATAACAAGTACAATATTTTACAAAAGACTGGTCAGAAGGTTCTAAAAGAATACAAGCACAAATATTTGTTTAGAAGGATAATGCGTCAGACATTGGCTGTGGTGACGGAAGTTTTACAGAAAATGTTTTGAATAATATACCCAAATGCTATATATAGGCTGCGATATCAATAAGGATATGGTAGATTTTGCTAATAAGCATTACCATGCTACATGCATTTTGTTATCAGTACACATATCATAGTATAAGCCAAGACAGACAAAAAACTATTGAAAAAAATTAATATAAGTTCAGATGATTCAAATGATTTTGGTTAAAGAATCTATGTAGGATTAATTGAATTTGAATTAATTGAATCATTTTTATGTTGTTTTTTTTTTGCTATTGCTCTCATAAACTTGTGGGCTTTGTACATAATTATAATATTTCCTCAGAGATGCGTTTAAAAATGTTTACGACCTATTAAAAACTGAAGGACTGTCTTTTGAGTCTGATTCATCAAGAAGAACATTATGACACCTACAGAGTTTTGGCGCAAGACGAAAAATGGAGGAATTTACTTAAAGACGCTGAGAAATACATTTCACCCTACCAAGACATTCAGGTGACAAGATAAAAGTCCACTTGAAGTCAATACAAAGCTTTTTTCTTTAAATCTTAATTAATCTAAATACATAAAACAGGTCGCGTCAATGAACACATTAAACAGGTAATCTTCGAAAGTCCTCAAGAACAGCTTCGATATTGATGATTTTTTTTAAAACGAAATCAATATTTATCAACATATTTTTGACAAATTATTTACCAGATGTCATTTGAAAGCATTTGATTTTCTCTATCATGTTCATCTGTTCTCGTCAGATTGTTTTTATTACAATGGCAACAAGAATACATAATTTATAACAATATATGATTAAATTAATAAATAATTAATTGAGATATAAATAAAAAAGCACTAGATTTGTTTATTTATTTCTTTTCTTTGATTATTCATACAATTAAAACCACCGTAGTCAAAACTAATTGAATTGTAGCAAATGTATACAATTTAAAGCCTTATTATATGAAATAATTTGTTTTATACAATAAGGCTTTAAAACTGCCGGTTTCAAAGATATCTTCATATACAGCATGTGTAATCATTTTGAGTTGAAAGCCAAAAAAAATAAGAGGAAAATTAAAATTGTATAACTATATGTAATCAGTTTTTTTTAGTTTCTTATTATCACTATTTGCGTACAAAATGACTTTTGTATTATCGCACCGAGTTTTTTTTACAACCTACACTCTGGCCTTACATATTTTTAACAGTTTGTAACAGGAAAGTTTTTTGTTTTTCATTGTCTATTGTAATTAATTACAACTACATACATTAGCGTTTCTAAAATGTTTTTAATTCTTTAAAGTTATTTTTTTCCATTACTTTAATTTTAAGGGTAGATAAGCAAATCTTATTGAAGGGAAACAAGAGTATTTCAGAAATTCGATGACGCAGACAGGCACCGAATCCACTACTAACATCGCAACGTGCAATCTACCATTTCTGATTTTTTTAATCATTCCATAAAACTTGTATAAGGAAGTAAGTCCATTTTGTATGTTTTGTTGTAGGAACCATTAATTGATTGAATTGAAAAACATGTTGCTCGAAATTGGTTTTATTAGAGTCGACGTTCAAACGAAGCCAATGTCTAATAGATACGAAAGTTTTGAATTATATAAAAATACAAAAATCACACAGTAGTAGTAGTAGTCATGTTTGAATCGGTTAATTTACTAAGATCCCCTCATCAATAAAAAATCCTATGTTCCAAAACGGTTTTAAATTCGTAGGTCTAATAATAATCAACTGGTCGTGGTTTAGATTTATCTGAAACGTTTGGAAATCTGTATAATAAATAGGAATGTCGAAAACTCCCTCCTGACACGAACCACCATCCAGCTGAAAAAAGCCTTTGAAGTTTAATCGCGTTTCCGATTCAGTTATACGTATAGATCTTGACATGATAATAAATAGTTATCGTATTTCACCTTACGCCATTGAACGCCATACTTGTATGTGCTCCTATATTATACAAAACATAAGTGTTTGTTTATTCAGGGGGAGTAAAACCTCTAATCCCGTTTGCTATCTCAGAGAGCAGTTCTGAAGAATTTTTGAATGAACTCTTCAAAGCCATGCCAACATGCCGACGCGGAGAAGTACAACTTTGAAGTCTTCGTTGGAATGGACACTGAACTTCCAAAATCATATTTTATATATGAGAAAATAAAGAAGCGAACCACGGCTGCTGCGAAGGAACCGAAACGTCGGGCCATAGTAAAATAATTTGTAAATAAGTTTAATATAGATCGCATTTTAAACTAGACGATCATTTATCTCTTCCTGACTTACTTGACTTGACCTGACTTAACAAGCATAAAAGGTAAAAACATGGAGAAAACATAGTCAACATAGTAGAAAACGTTAGCGATAAGGCCGCCCATTGCACTCCATATGTTTAGTATATAAGTTTATATTTTTGTTAAATTTTTTTTGTGCAATAAAGTGTAAATATATAAAATAGTCTAAGAAAGAAACTTCAAACGTCTATACAAATATTTAAAGCTGTAGAGTTTGTTTATATGTGTGAACACGCTCAGGAATCGTGAACGATCAGGAACTACTGTTTCAAATTGATAAATTATTCGTGTTAGAGCATTTATCGAGGAATGCTATAGGTATCACCCTGTGACTAATACAAACGAAGATACAGTGAGAAATGTAAAAAAAATTGTTTATCATAATCTATCATTATTGGTTTCCGAGGCGGATGCTGCAAAAACGGTTCAAAATACCCAAACATATTTATGAGAGAATGATTACCCTTTAAATGATGTAAAAAAAAGTCCACGACGCTATACGTCTATACGTTACGACGACGTTATGTATCTTTTAAGGAGCAATTTCATTACGTATTTGTAATTTTAAATGAGTTAAAACAATAACAGGCAAGTTAAATGAAATGAGTTTTTTAAACCGTCACTTCCTGTTATGTGACAAAAAGTATAAAATTGTTAATTGTACATTGTATTTCAATATAGGTATAAATGTTTTGAAAACAAAATAATGCATACAAGATTTAATTAAATAAAGAGTTAAAAAAGTGAAAGCCCGTTTCCCCGTCGTGGGGCACGTGGCGGAACATTTCTGTGTCCGTTTCACTGACACAATTTTATTTTTCCCTAGGATTCGAACCCAGGATCTCTCGCGCTTAACGCAATGCTAGGCAATACGTTTAACCGTTTAGCTACAGAGGTGGGAAAGAGTTAACTGAGTTTATTATTATTAATTTTGTAATTTATTTATTAACAATTTTCTTCTGTACCTTTTCGAAAACATCAAACTTTGATGGTGCTAATGTTGTAGCAACTTTGTTGCCGCACGTAATGCTGTGGATTTTATCTGAGGCTCAGTTTTTTGTCCCTATAACAATTAATTCTTAATTTTCCTTAAATAAATAAAATTAATTTACAAAAATTCTAATCTTTTATATTTGTTGATGTCTCCGACGTCAATTTTATTTTTATGTAAGGTTATTGAAATAATACCTATGTATATATGAAATACTTTGTCCTTATTACTTGAAGGTGTGTTTCCTTTGTAGCCATCTAAAATGACTTCAGAAATTTTAGTACTAAATTTGCTCAAAATTTTACATGAAAAGTGTTAGAAGAACGAAGATATTGTGTTTTTATATAATCGATGGTTATTCCCTAAAGATGATAAAATAGTATGATCTTGATAAGTAGGTGCGCGGGGCGGCATCAGTCTTCGTCATCATTTGACGTCTCATTTAATTTATTAAATATTTTATCTATACGATAAAGCCAAAATGACACATACTACATAGTTATCGAGTTTTTGTGGTGTTTTGCGAGACGGAACTAACTGTGCATAATAATTTTTTATACAATTTTTATGCACAGTTAGTAAAATTATAATGATTTTCTTTATATACAATAAAGGAAGGTTACCTAAGTCTTCGACAAAAATTTGTGATAAACATCAATTATTTCATATTATAGCGACTAGATAAGACCTTAAATAGTTTTAATTGTTATTAGCAACAGCTCTGAACAGTGTGGATGCCTGTTCAAGTCCAGCCCGCGTCGTAACTCGTAAATCAATCTTAAATTGATTTTTATGTATATACTTAAAACGTTTTATAATGATTAAAAAACCAAATGAACTTTGTCATTACTTAAATATAACCCAGACTTATATAATATCTTAATAGATATGATTATCGCAAATTCATTTGCGCACACGCAATTAGCATGGTCAGCGGAGCTTACACATCTTTTAATTGAAGTTTCCACCTGCTAGACAATTAGGAGTATTACAAACGTGATCCCAGGGCACTCTCTATACACCGCAGGGATTAGTGTGCAGTGTCTGGTACCGTTGGTACCCGAAGCAGATGGTCATGTGATACCATAAAGGTACTCTTCACACAACTCAAACATGTTTATTATAGTGCACGCATTAGGTCAAAAAAATGTATCGCGCTTTGCTTTGATTAAAGAAAATCTCTCAACCCTGTATTTTTGTATTATTGCAGAAGAAAACATTGAATAAAACAATTAAATCCGTCTGCGTGCATTCTCATTCTTTTTTAGCATGACTGCACCAGTAGACATTTAGTTTTATGCCCTTTTTTTATTCCCCCTACATTCTATATAACGTGAGAAGCAATCGCGCTAACAAAGTCTTACTCTGTGCATTGACACCGTCGCTTGTAATTATGAACGACGTTGTGTTGTACAACAAGTGTAATATCCTGCAACGGACAGGAGCTATAAAACTTCTAGAAGAATATAATCAATGTTATTCAATGGAAGAAAGATGCTCTTATTCTGGATATCGGGTGTGGAGATGGAAGCTTGACGGCAAATGTCCTGAAGAGAACCATACCTGACTGCAAAATGGTCATGGGCTGTGATATAAATAAAGATATGGTGGATTTCGCTAAAGCTAACTACTCTTCGGAAGATATTAACTTTATCGTTTTAGATATAGCGGGCGAAGTGCCAGGAAGTCTGAGGGGAAAATTTGACCATGCATTCTCCTTCTTTGTGTTGCACTGGGTGAAAAATCAAGAGTGAGTGATTTTAGTTTTTGCAAATAATAACTTTATTGAACAGTATTTTCTCATTTAAAAAGATTTTTAAGTAATTTAAATTATAATTACGTTTAGTATAAAGCATGTATTCATGAGAGATTAAAATATATATTACTTTTGATGATGTCATACCCTGAAAAGCATGGATGAGCCTCAATACGTATACGTTAAGATTCAGGTAACTGAAAATATAAATTGATAGATATAGTGATAAAGGGTGGGTCTCGGAAGCTGACGTGATCGTTGGTTCCAGTCTGGCCTGGGTCATAAATTGATTTTTAGCAGATGATGATGATGACGTTATTTTAGGATCGCATTTAAAAATATTTACGACCTTCTGGGAAATGATGGGGACTGCCTTCTAATTGTTGTTGGCCAAGCAGCACTCTATGATGGCTTCAGAGATCTAGCTCAAAGCAAGAAATGGCGTGGTCTGCTTGAAGAAAATGAAAAATACGTCTCACCTTACCACGATGGAGAGGTATATTAATTTTAAAACTTTAATATTTTTCACAAGACGGCATTGTATAAATTAAATATCGATTTTCGATTGAAAAAAATACGACACGGGCGAGACTTAAACCGCCATCCACTAGGTTACATGTTTTTGCTCTACTCAAACCGCCCCGTCTGTGTCGTATTTTTTAAAGACTAAAATAGATTTTTAATCCAATATTTTAAATTTGAGGCAAATATGGCATAAAACATTTATACATATATTCATTACATTTTTTTATGTTCTACCTTAATTTAAGGAAAAACAAGCCGAAATAATATATATTTCGCTACGCGTGTTTTCCTCAAGATTAATTAAACCGTTGGATTTGGCTTCTTGAGACTTTAGTTAGATCAAAGGCTAAATTTATGTCTTATTTAATATGTTTTGTGATTTAAATAGTTCAGGGCTATATTGCACTAAAGTACGCCGGTGGTAAATTCTCGACAGGTTGACATAAATTAAAAAACGGTTTATATTGCAAAAGTAATATCGCCAAGGACTTGAACCGCCATCCGTTCCAAGTGTTTCGTGCTGTTGCTCTAACCAATTGAGCTACCGGCTGCTCAGTGCATGACATAAGATTTTTGCCGACGAAAGTCATAAATAGGACACAAAAGTCGAAACTCCCTTTTTTCAGAATTGCCTTGGATTAATATCTTATGTACTTTTTTAAGGACTCTGTCAGCGAGCTAAAGGAAATGTTGCTAAAAATTGGGTTTTCAACCGTCGACATAAATGAAAAGCCCGTTGCGTTTAGTCATGATAACGAAGATTCATTTCGAGGTTAGTAAAGTGTGTTTTATATTTATATATGTGTTTCGTTTCTTTCTATTAATGTCCCATTGGACTGAAATCTTGCACGAGTGGGTTGTAAGAGCTTAGACCAACCGCGTTACTGCGGTAGGGGTTGGTGGGCGCAACCGAGACCGACCGCGGAGGCTTAACGTGCTCTCCGACGTCTTGGGATAACACAACCCACCCCGAACTCCGAGCTAGACCTAGCAATTTCTTAAAAAATCCTAATATCAAAGTAAAATTTTGCCCGACCAAGGATTCCAATCTGGGACTTCGAGGTCTGCAGTCGAGTGTAATTACGAGTAGATTAACAAGACAGTAAAACACTTAACACTTAAAACTATGTAATTGTTACTTGGTAATGTCAACTCTTAACTATTCTAGCCACGGGACATTTATTTATAATGTAAGGCGATTAAGGGTTTTAGCAATATCTCATTTTTTTATGATATAACGTCAGAAAAACAATTGTCATTCGTTTAAATAAATGGCTCCATACGTCTTGGCAGATGAGTTTGAAAATCTTTGAAAAGTTGTCGGCTTTAATGTACAATTGGATAGTTGCCGACCAGACGACACGGTTGCCGTCTGACCGCTTTTAGTAGATCATCTATTTAGATGAGATATTTTTATAAACAATTAATCGATTATTTTGACCTCGTAACTCCTTATTTCTTATTTCATTTCAGGATCATTACGAGCGCTAATCCCTTTCAACATCCCAGAAGAACAATTCGATGATTTCTTAGATGACCTTGCTTATGCAATGCAAGAAGGCGATCACAAGAAGTATAATTTGGAGAAATCATCGTCGGATTTGACTTTTAATTTTAATAACATTGCCATATACATCAAAAAGTAATAAATTATAACATCACTACTATTCAGCTAGTTTACTTGGTTATTTTTGAAATCAAATACTGTCTGTAGTTTACGCGAGTAGGACACGCTTACATAAAACACTTTAACAGTTTAAAACGCGATATATATTAGTTAAACATATTTGGAAATTACGGGTCTCCCTGTGACCACGATTGCTGCAACGTCGGGCCGTGATTAAAATAATTTCCAAATTAGTTTAAATGATATAAATCACGTTTTAAAGTTTATTTATTTATTTGACACTATTATAAAGCTAATATAAAATAGGGACCATATTAAATGATATAGAATATTAAATGTTGACTTGTAGCTTAATCTCCATAGTAATCGCTAAACAAGCGAAGATACAGCGAGAAATGAGAAAATTTATTCATCACCGTGGGTTTCCGAGGTGTACGCTGCAAAAACGTTCATGATACCCAACAAATATGTATGATAGAAGGATTTCTCTTTAAATGATGTAAAAAAATCCGCGACGCTATATGTCTGTCTTTTGAAATTAACTTTGGATGCCCATAATCAATATGTATAGCGGACGATGTCCCTGGCACAGCTAGTTATTTCCATACACAATCGAATTAGTGATAAGAACTGCAATAAAACTGCTTAGCTGCTTATACTTGCCACTCGCATCGTTTATCTGCTTTAATATAAACTAAATATCAATATGCTTATTCTAGTATCATTCATCATTTTCCCAATGTTATCACATTTCTCGCTGTATCTTCGATTGTATTATTCACAAGGCGATGTTTTATAGCCTACAGCCTTCTTAGATAAATGCACTAACCAACACAAATAACAATTTAAGATAATACGGAAGTGGTTAAGGTATTTTTTTCACTTGCCTTTAATTAATTATAATTCGGTACAGTGTGTAAATTAGAGATATAGTTGATTTTAATGTAATATACGTATAATTGTTCTACCACTTCTCATGAAGCGAAATACATTATGGAACTTTACTTCATGTCTTTACATCGGTGTAGAAGTGTAATGAAACGACAAATAGAAATATGTCATTTCATTTAATATATCCTCCTTATTGTAGCGTAGTGGAACGCATAAAATAAAACACTCTTAACGGTTCTAAACGCTAATTTATTGAATTTTAAATTTGACATATTCCATGGCTACTCTAAAGTATCTCAAACTTTAAACTTAGTTAAACATTAAATTTGCCTATATATTTGCGTTTTATAAATAAATGGATTTAACTATTTCGTTTTATCATCTTTTAATAATATATTAAGATTAGAAAATTAAGAAGAATAAATAGGTATAAAGAAAAATAATATAAAATGTCAGGTTTGCAAAAGAATAAGTATGGCGCAGTATAAACCGTAAAAAATGTTCGATTTTATAAAAATAAACATGAAGACAATTGCTTATTATACTGTTACAAAAGTGAAATAGACACACACATCTTGTTAAAAGTAAGAACTAACATAATAATAAAACCAACCCCTTTTAATCCTTAAAATATTATTTTCCTTATCTTCATAGAGTAATCATAAAATCGTGAAGTATTAATTTATTTTGGTTTGCTCAGTTCAACTTTTATCGATACACACATAAAGTTAGCCTTTTTGGAAGTGACGAGTGATTTCATTAGGTAGTCACCGTAGAAGAAAGATTGGCCCATTAATTTCTTCGTTATTTCAGAAAAGTTTAAACTTGAGTTGTAAATTCCCTGAAAAAAGGCAAAACATAGTGATACTATTCTGAATATAACAAAGAGCTATGTAGGGGACATTTTTTTTTTCAAAAAATAATTCTATTCATTCTTCAGTTAGTCAGTACAAGATAACACAACCGTCAAAATGCTAGTTAGCAAAAAAAGCAGTGCTAATTATGCTAATTATTATTATTACAAAAATATTCAATTTCACAACTACATATCTCAGACGCAAATGCACGATATACTTTTTTCTACAGCACAAAACCTATTGTCATTTTTCTTAAAAAAGCAATGCTAAATATGTGGACATTAGATACTGTCTATAGTTTACGCGAGTAGTACACATTTAAATAAAACACTTTAACGGTTTAAACACTTTAACGCTTACGGCGGTCTCCGACAGATGTCTCCTCGTGACCACGTCTGCTGCAAAGTATCCGAAACGTCTCGCTGAAGTTAAAAATCACTTTCAAATAAGTTTAACTACTTAATATATCGCGTTTTACACCGTTAAAGTGTTTTATTTAATTATGTGGACATTGTGACTAGGTTCCATGACTTTGCTACCTTTACTTCTTTACTCAACGAATTGCGACAGAGTTAAATACATATATATTACACGATAACCTAATGGTAGACACAGTGAATGTAAAATTTCAGTGAATGGTCTATCACGAGTTGTAGTACCAACACTATCAATTGTCTTTTTACTAATGCTAATAACAAAGACACGATACGATGTATACTGGATATACAAACCTTTTCTATTACACAATTATTTGAAGCCTTTAATTCTTTTTTAATAATCTCTGAAAATAAAAAGTGCTTGCAGATATCCGCCAATTTATATACCCACAATAGGCTTTTGGTTTTACCTTTCAGTTTATAGACCCACAATTTCACCTGTGAATAAATTTCATAATATCAACGTAATTGGTACGATACACAAAAATTACAAAAACTGTTTTGAACGTGTTGATAAAACATTTTTATATAAGCTGTGTTAGCGACTTCGTCCGCGTAGAATAGTTATTTTGAGCTTTAAGTTTGCCCACGACCCACGACGTCGCTCGCGTCTCGTCATTATTGCAAGTTAATCTTAAAAGATAGACGTATAGTGTGGCGGTACTTTTTTTTAGATAATTAAAAGAGGAATCATTCTTTCATACATATTGTTTGTGTATCTTAAATGGTACGCCTCGGAAACCCATTATGATGAGTAATTTTACCCGTTTTTACCACATTCTTTGCTCCTATTGGTCACACCGCGGTGTTAGCTATAGCTTCCTCAATAAATGTCTTCCCAACATAAAAAATAATTTTCAATTCGAACCAGTAGTTCCTGAGATTAGCGCGTTACCAAACAAACTCTTTAGTTTTACATATTAGTATAGATTCTCAACCTACTATGGTTTGCAGTTAACCTTCCTACGGTTAACGAAATAGAAGTACGTTTTACAGAAAATCATTATTTTAAATTAAGCTACAGAGATCTCAGAAAGACATAAGACAGAATGCAAAAGAACAAGATTTCGATTATTTACCTCGTCTATCGGACACTGAGTATGAACATCTAGTAACAGATTTCCATAGACATCATTATTCTGTTGAACTAATACCATTTTGAAATCTGTGGCATTTTTCGACCTCGGTCCCCTGCATGCTTCACATTCAGACCATTTTAGGTCATAAGCACCCTGTATAAATGGTAAATTCAAATTAATAATAGATATTAAAAATAATTATATTTGAATATCCAAATTATTTTTTACTGTGTGCCCGAGACATATAACACTATCCACTGGGTTTAGGTTTTCTTTTTAACCTGTTAAATCCTGTAATATTTATATAGGTGGTTGGGTTTTACTTATTGATTGAATATAATTTACATGTACACTAGTACTTTTATTTAGTCAATAGTCAACATTTTCATATTTCACATTTTAATAAATGAACATTTCCTCACAAAATTTACAGCAGTTATGTCCGTTTCTGAAGCACTGATTCTACAATCATAAAATAATATCATACAGAAAAATATTAACATCTTTACTAAACTAAATTTAAAAAACATTTGAGTACTTTCAGGTGAAAACTACATTTTAAAGGGGAGGAAGTAATTTTTGGACTAACGAGCTCAAACGATGTTATTACGAAAATCTGAATATTATCGCTATTTGATGTACTGAATTATAAATATGCTTATAGTATTGTTTGCATAACGAGTAACTAATGATGATTATAAGTCGGATGTTTTATATTTAGTATATCTAGTATAATAATAATAAACTCTTTATTGCACAAACATAGACATAAGAACATGGATACATAGAATTACATATACAAAAATAAAACATGTTTGTGCAAAGGCGGCCTTATCGCCTATGGCGATTTCTTCCAGGCAACCTTTGCATGTAGAAATAAGTATTAGACTCTAGTCAGACTAAGCTATAATATTATAGCATTCATATAGCTAGATTTCATCGTGCCAATTAAGAGTTTTAAATACTGTATAGTTTGCGCGAGTAGTACACATTTCAATAAAACACTTTAACAGTTTAAAATGCAGATATATTATATTAGTTAAAACTATTTGAAAATTATTTTAACTACGGCCCGACGTTGTCACGGGAAGAGAAATTAATTTGGCCCATGTGTAATAAAAACTCCTTAACTTCCCTTAATGATTATGCCATAGACAATAAACACACAACATCTGAAAGGGGCTTCACTATTTATGAAGTACCAGTCAGATTGAATATAGTAAAAGTAAAGTGTAAATAAAGTCTTTTAAACACTAAAAAAAACTTTAAAAATGAAAAGAGGAAAAGTACGCAATATTGATATTATTTTATTGTATATTTTAGTATAGTACGCATTAAATTAAACATTTTTAACGATATTAAGCGAGAACTAAACGAGTTTCAACACGAAGTTTAAGATGTTCTGCAGTGATTGAGTTTGTGTTTGAACCCATATTTTATGATAAATACATTTTACAATATTCCACAGACTAAATCAGACGCGTCTCTATCGAAAACGAAATCGGATACTACGGCGCTGGCAGAAGAAATATATATACCTCCTCTCGACGTGTTGAATGTCAGAGTTTTAGGTCTACGGCTACCTGATGAGAATCCAAAAAAATTCGCCATCAAAGCTGTTTTCTATGATCAACTGTTAATATCGTCCTTCATTACTTCAGTTGGCCACAGGGACAATGCTAAAGGAAGGACGTTAGCAAAAGGGACGATGAATTATGATCCTTCTGATTACGAGAAAATGTGCACGTTTGCTGATAATCCTTTGACAAGTTAGTTCTTATTAGTTCGTCTTTTATATTATACAGATGAAGGGTCTCAGGGTCTGCATTCATTTTCCATCCATCCAGTTTAGTTTCATTATACTTATAATAGAGCTTGTCTGCTTGAGGTTTATTTGGATGAAAGGTGAAATCGACCAGTCCTATAACATCAAAATGTTTCGTTTTTCACGTTTCAAACTCAGAAAATTACCCTATGATAATCCAACTTGTGAATTTGATGGTCACATTGAACCAACTATTCTGTTAATTTGAAGAGTTCTGTAATTATTAGATGGTTTATCCCTAAAAGAGTATTTCTTAAGAAAGGTGGGGTGGAAAAAACACCGTATGGGCCAACCAAAGCATCTTATAACTTTTTAAATTTATTTTCGTAAGAAAGAACTTCCTAATATGACCAAACAATAATACTCAATGTCTTTTAGTTAAAATTCAATCTTTGGAAAATATTGAAATGCAAATATTATACGATAACACGGAATCTCAAAGCGGATCCTTGGATGAAGAGGCAAAATTAAAAACGAGACCAAAATTGGATATATTTTGCTGTAACATCGATATTTTATCAATATTCATTGGTTTGTATTTGGTTCTTTACATTGTGTATTTCTATACTAATATATAAAGGTGAAGACTTTGTTTGTTTTTTTGAACGCGCTAATCTCAACAACTACTGTTTCGAATCGAAAAATTATTTTTGTGTTAGGTAACTCGCATCGCGCTATGACTAATAAGAGGGCAGAAACAGCGAGAAATGTGAAAAAAATCGGGGGAAATATATTCCACTCTCTGGGTTTCCGATGTGTACGCTGCGAAAACAGTTCAAGCCACCCAAAAAATACGTATGAAAGAATTATTCCTCTTTAAATGATTTAAAAAAAGTCACAAATACCATATGTCTATCTTTTAAGATTAACTTGCACGAACGACGGGACGCGACCAATGTCAAACAGCTTAAATTTATAAATATGAAGAGTAGGTTTACAAAAAAACGCGGACGAAGTCGCTGTCGCAGCTAGTTATTTATAAAGCATTAGGTATATGACGTTGATATTTAAGCGTCCGTATCAAACAACGAAACTTAAAGACCTATTAAGACCGAGCTACCTATCTCAGTTTTATTGCTTTTATATAAGATTTGATATATTAAAAAATGATAATATCTTTTACATTTTCAAATGATGTTTGAACAATATGAAACTTGTAATCCCACTATTGTTTAGTCTGTGGTATGGAACCCTGTTCGACTCGCACTTAGCCGGTTTTATTAAATATATAAATGTTAACAGGTACTAATAGATTATACCTAAGACAAAGAATGCAGCCAATGATAAAACCGCCAGCAAGTCAAGCGAAGAGTTGGGACAATTTACCTCTACTTACCCTGGAAATTACAGCATATAGAAATCCGGCTAATTTGAAACATCACAAACTCTTAAAAGAGGCAAACTTTATGAAATTAACTTTAATTGGATGCTACAATATGCACATCCCCTATGACGACGAGTTCGTCTACACGGCGGCTACAAAGATGCCTATACATAACGAACAGGTTTTTATTTTGACTTAAGTATCGTAGTAATAATTTCATTATGTCGAGTATAAAATTATAATTTACGCCTATAGCCTTTTTTCAGAGGACTAATATAATATAACAAAGAGCTTAAATATTGTAGACGTGAAATAGAACGCCTGATGGTTGTAGTAGCAGTACCCAACCAATAAATAAACCAATAAATTCGCGTTTTGAACCGTTATATAAAAATTAGATTGTCGTATTTTCTCAGATTAAAATAACATTTTCTTAGATAATTAATAGAGTGAGTTTGATTTCTTGATGGAATGAAGGATGTTGATCTTACTTATATTCACTCGATAAAGATGAAATATACCTGCCATAAAACATCTATACAAGATGTGCTTTTATTTTCTTAGTCTTACTTATACTTAGTCACCTCTCTTGAAAATTATTAAAAATATAATTTCTAAATTTACATTACATAATTTTCTTAAATTTGATGTTTCAGAATTGTAGCCTATACACGTTTAACCAAGGATACAGAATCCCGAGAAGATCTAATAATATGAGCTTCAACACGCACTGGGAAAGTCTTCGTCTTGGTGATGAGCATTTTACCGAAGGAGATGAAAAGTTTTCGGCGAAGTTAAATGATTTTCAAAACGAGGAGAACCTCGATTTGGAATATTATGTAGATCGTGCCCCCGAGTTTTGTAAGTACCTACTTTCCATTCAAACAAACAAAACCCTAAATAGTTATAGAAACAGTATACTTATTGAAAAGTATTGCGAGACATTTAATAACAAACGAAGTCAATTGTCATAAATTTAAAGTTATCATTAGAAGTTAATTGTCAAAATTTTCAAAATGTCAAAAACGTTATAGATCCTTAATTTTTTAATTTATTAATTCAAATAACCCGGAACCATCATGAACTCGTGAACTGTTGGGGTTAGACAGCTGATATTTCACATTTGTTTTATTTTAGTGGTCGCTGTAACCATTTGTAGGTATATTTTAGTATATATAGGATTTGTGACTGGTTTTCAATAAATAATAATAATTTTCTGATATTTACGCGAGTAAGACACAGGAAATATGTAAGTGAAATGATTTGCAATTTATGTTAACTACGGCCCGACGTTTCGGAGGCTTAGCTGCAGCCGAATTAACTGTTTTAAATCGTTAATAGTTTTTATGTTTTTAGATATTATAACTTAGTCATTGTTATAGATAAAGCAATATGGAAATCATTTCATAAGACTCTCTTACTGAAGAGTACGGAGAAATGGTTGTCTTATCATTTGCGGCGATACAAATGGCCTTTCGAACTTCACTTGTATGGTGATAACAATTGTGGATACAGTTTTGTGGGATTCCTGGATTTATTTAGATTACTTTATCCGGGCGGTAAGTATGGTTAAATTTTTCGACATGTTTGAAGACAAAACAAGACATAATAAAAGTAAAATAATTGCAGTTAAGCTAATTTTAAAAGACAAAACTAAAAAAAAAAGTAATTAATATTGCAATAAATTACTATATTCAGTAGTGACAAATAATTTTAATAAATTAATTATTCAAAGTAAAAGTAAAATAATAATTTATTCATGTAGATAACTATGTGCACTTATGAACGTTACAAAATTAAAGAATCTAACTTTTACATTTACTACCAGTTTTCAATTCAAGGGCGTAGAGCGAACGAGAAGAACTGGCAATAAACTCGCCGTCACTCCTTTTATCGCCAAGTTTCATTTTACATTCTTGACTTTTAGTGCACTACATATTTTTCCTTGTAAGAGCGGGTTCCTCCACACCCCAAGCATTTTTATCATTTAAATATTGATTAACGTCATAATACGATTATATTCACACGTTATATAAGGAGATCAAACATCGAATAAAATATGTTTGTGTGTATGCTTTAAAAATCCAAGCAATAAGCAGTCTTTCTCTATACTAATAATTGTCTTACGTTCGTTTGATTGGCAGAATTTTTTCTTAATATCTAATCGGCTCTTTTCATCTGTTTAGAAACAACAGCTCGGATAGCGGTGCCCCTGCATTGGGTGAATTCCGAGCTGATTTTAGAGAAATGCGGTTGTGAATTCCTCCTACCATCTAATGAGAAATCTCCTTCATCCTATGTTACCGTCCAGAAATCCAGCAAGTAAGTTTACGTTATGATATATCATTTAATTTTTTAAATAAAACACTTTAACGGTTTAAAACGCGATATATTAGTTAAACTTATTCGAAAATGATTTTTAACTTGGTCACGGGGAGACACGGCTGCTGCAAAGCATCCGAAACGTCGGGCTGAAGTTAAAAATCATTTTCAAATAAGGTTAACTAATATATCGCGTTTTAAACCGTTAAAGTATTTTATTTAAATGTGTACTACTCGCGTAAACTATAGACAGTCTTTTATTTTTGTTTCTTTATCTCCATTATATAAATTCACGAGGCAAGAGACCGTGCAGCGGTTTATTTATGCCACGGATTACTTGCTAACATGTGATCTAATATTTAACATAATTCCTACATATAAATATAACCTCATTTACTTAAATGTCGCGCCCGTCAAATACTCTTTGATTATTTTCCTAACACTTGTCCGGCGCGGATGACAATGTAGAGTATGTTTTGGGTTCCATTTTGTTCTAATAATCGGGCAAAATGTAATCCCAGACTCGTTCCGCATGCTTATTGTTAAAACGCAGTAGCTAGTACTAACCTTGGTACGTATGGCAGATCGCTTAGATTTTATGATTTATTAGTCGCTATTTAAAATTAATGACTCGCATATTGTGAAATAGATATTTAATAACTATTGCAACGTTTCTTGAATATCTGTTATAAATGTATTTATTATATTTCAGAGCTACAACAGAATCTATACAAACCAGCACCAATACCAGTACATCTAAAACTATAGGTCCTCGCCCAACAGGAAGTGATGAGAACCCGTCGTTTCTTCTCATCGAAGTCAAGCTGGCTAGACCATTTAAAGAAGCTGTTATACCACCCCTGATACCTCAGTAATTTTAACATCTAAGCAAGTCAAGAAGCGCACAGTTACATACATCATCATTGTAAAAAATATGACAAATATGTCTACGCTATAAGACACAATTTTTATTGTGTAGTAGTGAGATGATAAGGATGACTTAATTACGCAAGATGCTTTTTACAATGCACTAAACCTGCAATTAGAATTTAGCTTACTTATAGTGTATTTTTTCTAACTTGGCAAAATATAACAACAAATATGGCCAGATGAGACAGGCTTAAAGAAATATCCATTGTAATCTGTGGACTAACCGACCTTAATATTCTCAATAACTTTTACTCAAATAATATACTCAAAAAAGTTTTTTGACAACCAATCCTTATGTAAATGTCAAACTAAAGTAATTTTAATCTGTGCATTTGCGTAAATTAATTTTAGCATGAAAATGTAGTTTTTAGTAAGTGAATTTGAGGTTGTTAATAGTTGTAAACTTGTAATCCTGTGTCTGAAAGTGTTTATAATGTGAATCAATGTAAACTTGCGAGAAAAACAAGATTTCATGTAAATTGTGTTTGTTTACAAAAAATGCCAAGTAAGAAAAAATACGCTATACATATATCATTGTAATCTTAACGACAAATACGCCGCTAAACGGTCAAGCTCTGAATTGTTTGGTTACCGAGTTGCGATTTATTGTAATTCTTGAATAGCATACATGACCCGAACCTTTCAAAAAAGAAAATTTAGTAAAACAAATCCATGTGGACAGCTGACAATCCAATTAGACAATTACATTTCTGTACAGGTCAGATATAAATGATATGTTGTCGGCATTTGAGACAATACCTAGCAAACGTGAATCTTCAGGACGCGGTCAAACAGACAGTAACTGGCTATCTACAGTTCGGTCTGCAAATACATCTTTGAGAAGAGTTCCATACTTTGGTATGTCTAGATTTCTGATTTGAATAATTCAATGGTTTGAACTCAATCTGAGCTGAAAGCAGTATAGAAAATAAAGCTTACAAATAGATTAACCAGATCATAGACATTTAGATAAATAAAAAATGACAATTTAAAACGCGATATATATATACTAGTTAAACTTATTTGAAAATTATGTTAACTACGGCCCGACGTTACGGACGCTTTGCAGCAGCCCCGGTAACGGGGAATCTCCCTGTCACCACGACAGCTGCAAAGCATAAGGTAACTTTAACTATTAAACATATATCGCGTAATTTAAAAATCGAAAATAAATTGAAAAAATTTTCGACTCGGGCAGGACTTGAACCGGCATAGTCAGCTTTCCGTGCTGTTGCTCTACCAATTGAGCTGTAATTACATTGCGCGAGAGGTGCATGTATCAATAAGTTGAAAAAAATTCGACGATGAGGTGTAGGACTCGGTAGCTCAATTGGTAGAGAACAGCACGGAAACTGACGATGCCGGTTCAAGTCCTGCCCGAGTCGAAAATTTTTTCAATTTATTTTCGATTTTTAAATTATATAGTGCCTTCATGTGCAATAACATGTGAAAAATATTAATGTTTTCAAACATATATCGCGTTTGAAGCCGTTAAACTGTTTTGTTTAAATGTGTACTACTGGCGTAAACTAGAGACAGTATTTCAGATCATAGACTATAAAATATAACAAAAGCTTTAAGAACTGTTTTGTGACGGGCTCTTTGTTGTAATGGTGGCAATGTACGGCTAATACGGGCCCAACAAGGTTCTAGTTTTCTGAAAACATGTTAGACTTCGTCTATAACCCTGGATATTGGATGGTAGGAATGTTGATATTCCGTCCGGGTCCCGAACCACCGTCCATAGATGATAAGGCCGTAAAGCTTAATCACGTTTCGGGTTTCAGTGTGTGGATTTCCGAATATCCAAATGCAAAACAGGTCGACAGCGTATCGTGTTTAGACGCTATAGGCTGAGGTCTTTCAGCTAACATCAAGTGGATCTGTCCTTTTCTATCACAAAGAAAAGAACTACAGTTCGAATGAAACATTTTTTTTTATTTACATACATGACCTTACTTTATATAAATCTAGAAATTAACATACTTTTCAGGCATAACTGATATCTGCCTCATCAATCGCCAGTTAGGTGGAACAAGAACTCGTCTCGAAATATTGACATCTTTCTGGCAAGAGGCTGCCATCTATGTGAACAACAATTTCGTTCTAGATAATTTTCTGGACTCCAATGATACTTTTGAAGTAATTCCACTCGATGTTTGACATATTATATAAAAAAAAACTTCAACGGTTTAGAACGCGATACATATTAGTTAAACTTATTTGAAAATTATTTTAACTGTGGCCCGTCGTTTCGGATGCAGCGCATCAGCCGTGGTCATGGGGAGACTTATGTATAGCGCGTTTTAAACGGTTAAAGTGGTTTTATTTAAACGTGTACTACTCGCGTAAACTACAGACAGTATTTAACTATTATTTCTTCTGCATCTAATTCCGTTTTCTGACAGTTTAAGGCTTAACAACCCTAAAAAATTATTATTGTTCTCGGAATTCGAACTTTGTACCTATCACGCTTATGGCAACGCATTCTACCATTACTTATATGATTTGTTGTTTGTCGAGAAGAATACAGAAGCGGACTATCGTATTCAAATCTAGACTGACCTGCTTACAATATTTGTATTACTAGGAAATGACGTTGATGGCTCACGCGTGCCTCATGCGAATGACAACTGATTACTTAATGAACAAGGGCTTTCAACAAGAGATCGACCCGACGCTTAGGGCCGCGAGACACGCTCGTCAACTCAAAGATGCGAACCATGCAGCTGATCTTTATCATCAGGTAAAGCCTTGCCTAGGCTTTAGATTTCATTTAGTTTCCCCTCCGTAGCAGAGCAGATATTTTTGTATGTCTGTTTCTTTAATATAAAAGGCTCTTAATACTCCTGTTCCTACAGAAAGTAGTTATTATGTTTCCTCTGTACAGAAACCAAAGACATCTCTTGCGAACGCGAAACGCGAAATATATTTTAAATGTCGGGTCGTGGTTAAAATTAACTAATAAACGCTGGAAAATTCAACAAACGCGTTCGCTACCGGTACGGGTAGTACTGGAAGTCTTAGAAGTCTATGTCCAGCAGAGGACACCGAAAGGCGCGTTTTAAACGGTTAAAAATTTTGTTTTTTTTCTTCATCCAACTTATAAAACCAATAATGGTATTTTGTTAAACCCGCCTTGACTACAGATATTTACCTCATCTCATTATATGCTGTGAGCTACATAGTATTCTAACACACACTCGTCAATACGAAATTATTGCATTTTCAAATGTTAATATAAACTCTTTTACAGACGGTTGTAAAAGCACCACGTGACGCAGACCTCTGGCGTGAACTATCCACTTGCATGAAGGATATAGATGTGGATGCAGCCAATGTCTGTATCAATAAATCGATAATTCTTAACCCTCGACATCCCTTAAGGTGTGTATTAAACACACTTACGCACCATTAGGAATTACAGATTTTCAACTGTACTTATATTTTTTCCTGTTCAAAATCTGTAATTCCTATTTCCAGAGTTTCCTTGAATGTCTGCCGGTTGCTTTTCTATCTACCTACATAGCGTAGTTGGTGGATTGGTGGAAACGGACACATATTTTGGCGGCATAGATTCCACATCTTTGCACCATAGCCGCATGGATATATCCCTGGTGGAAAAGAACCCTAAGACCTCTTAATAGCATAGGGTTGACTCCAACTTCAATTCTCGTTTGGTACTATATCCAATTACCGAAGGAGCTTTTCGCTCGATCCGAAATTCATCGCTTGATTCGTGCTCTGCCGACCGGCTAGTCGGCATGGTTAGAGCATGTTCCAGTTTATCATTTAACCTAAATCATTATTTTCAGTCTCTTGTCAAAGGGATGCATGATATTTGATTCAGACCCTGACGCCGCGGAACCGTTTTTTGTGTCACTCCTGAGTCTCTATCCCTTTTGGACAGTTCTTTGGGTCGCTGCAAGTGCATATTACTGGCATAGAGAGCTGTTTCACATGTCTACAGAAATAATGTGTTATGTGAAAAAGTATGCTTGAAAACCTTAATTTACGTAAATTTCTACTTTGTACAATGCAACCGTTTAAAACGCGAAATATATAAGTTAAACTTATTCGAAAATTATTTCAAATACGAACCCACGTTTCGGATGCTTTGCAGCAGACGTGGTCACGGGAGACTAAAGATGTCAACGTAAAACTGCTACGCTAGCGCCACCTGTCCATGCTCCAAAGCGTCCGGAACGTCGGGCCGCAGTTAAAATATTTTTTAAACAAATTATGTAATATATTTCGCGTTTCAGTGTTTTATTTAAACATGTACTACTTGCCTAAACTACATACAGAGTCTTAGTTACTCTACAATATCGTTATTTATGACAAATTAGCATCCAAAGAGTTCACTCTACACCAAGTAAACCGTGGACGTTCGTCCTCCTCTGTCATAAAAAAGTGATATCATAGATAAAATATATTAATAAGGCATATCTTACATTTAAATATGTTTTAAAACGAAGGATGCACGCAGAGGGCCTTGCAGCAGAATTGCCTTACCCTAGAGCATGGGAAAAGGAACTCGGTGACTGGTGGGACCAGACTCCATTGCTGCCAGGGACGAGTCGCTATTATGATGCTGCTGATCTTCTTTTGAGGATACGAGCTATATCAGTTAGTTTTAGATCCTCTAAAGTTCTTATTCTTAAGATCCGATGACAAGATGACAAAAAACACTGTGTATGTGATATAAGGCCGCTTAAAGACAGAGTAGCCTAACTGATATTTTTATGTTGCTTATTTTTGATTTTCATAGTCTAAAAATGATGATCTAGATAAACACAGTGATCGAAAATTGTTAACATATTTTTTACACAAATTATAGTAATGTGTCGTATGATTATTCCCAGTTAGCGGAAGTATGCCTCGCTCGAGCTCTGACCGAAATTGGTGAATCTCCAGTTTACTATCACTTACTGGGACTATGCACCAGACTGCGTAAGGACGTTGATACGACGCTGTGCCACTTGCATAGTGCTGTGGAAAAGTTTGGAGACGTTAGTCAATTTATACCAATATTGTTAAGTTGAAGAGTTTGTTTGCACGCGCTATTTTTGGAAACTACCGATTCGTATTGGAAAATTCTTTTCTTGTTAGTTTAACCATTTATCGAGAAAGGCTTAAGGCTATAAAATATTAGAATACGACCAATAGGGGCGAAGAAACGGTAACGAATGTGAAAAATTTGAGGAAAATATTTTAGGGCTTCCGTTGCGTACGCTGCGAAAACGGTTCCAGAAACCAAAATATATGTATGAAAGAATTATTCTTATTTACATGATGTATGTAACAATATATCCGCGACAGTACATTATATCTATCTTTTAAGATTTACTTGCGAGAACGACGGGACGGACGATGTCGTGGGTAACAGCTATAATTTATAAAGATGCCCAAAATAACTATTCCACGCAGACGAAGTCGCGGGCTCAGCTAGTATTATAAAGAGTAATTTTATTTGCCTGTGGTTTTTACTCTTGACTGTCAGGGAAGTCAAGCAAAAACCAAAAAAGTTTGTACAATGATGTTGATTCGATGATAATTCTATTATATTTTTTATTTTTAGATATTCTATTTAAGAAGCCTGGAAGGTGAGTGCTACCATAGAAAGAAGGATTTCCCTAAATCAAAGATCTCTTTTGAAAAAGCCGGTGGCTGTCTCGGTGCTTATAGGTAAAGAAACAACTTAAAAAGCTCGTAGTAAATTTTACCTTTCAACTGTACCACCTTCCTTCCAAAAATGTAGCACTTTGTTCTTCGTCTTCGCCTTCTTCTTCTTAGTTTGACGGCTTCCCCATTTTAAAAAGATTCTACCAATGTCAAATGTCTTTATGAAGAACGACAAGTTGTGATATTTTAAATTTTAGTAGCTGTTATTTTATTTTTACCACTGGCGGAAAGAATCATGATATTGAAAAAATAAGTGTACCTAATTACTTACTTGAACGATCCTTTTATTATTGTATTAAGTTGTAAGTGTCTGTCAACTGTTGCAGTATACTTCTGTCTCTGCCACGAAGAGAAGCTCACCGCATACGAGCAATGCTGACAGATCTTATACGAAGGCAACCCAGCGCATACGCATGGTTGGCGCTCGCTGATGATTGGATGATGGTATTATTAATGAAATATATTTTATGCAATGCTAAAATATATAAAGTACATCCTTTTTATAACGAGTTATCTCTACCAATTTTATAAAGCTGAAAAGATCGTTTGTTTGTACGCGCTAGTCTCAGAAAAATTTGGTTGGAATTGAAGACTTATATTTGCGTTTGTACCATTTATCGTGGAAGGTTTTAAGCTCTTACATATCAGGCTGCTACAAATAGGAGCTACAAAGATAGATGTGTTAAAAACGGGGAAAATATGCATATTTGAGGGCTTCCAATGCGTGCGCTGCGAAAACTCATGAAATATGTATAAAAAGTTGATTCTTTTTCAATCTAAAAAATGTCCGCAACGGTATATTATATCTGATTTAAGTTTAACTTGCAAGATCGACGACTTGGTAACAGCTAGAATTCATGAAACTGAGGAGAGGGTTTGCAAAAATAATATTTGATGCCGAATCTAACTATTCCACGCGGACGAAGTCGCTAAAACAGCTAGTACCACATAAATAGCATGAATAAAACTAACCATATGTGTACAAAGCGGAGTGTGGTCGGAGAGGGTGGCGACGCTGGCGCAACCGACGAGCAAGCTACTGCTATATCATGTGGTATAGCTTGCGCAGTTCAGGCCCTCAAGCTGGATAGACAAGCTGGGCGCGCATGGGCACTTCTAGCTAACACCGTCAAACCGAGCGCGCGCAGATTGCATTGCGAAAATATGGCTACCTTTGTTAGTTAATGCCTGTTTAGTATTAGGATTTCTTAACGTATATTTTATGTAAGGACATTAAAATACTGTCTGTAGTTTACGCGAGTAGTACACATTTAAATAAAACATTTTAACGGTTTGAAAACCACGGCTGCTGCAAAGCATCCGAAACATTGGGCTGCAGTTAAAATACATTTTAAAGCAGTTCAATAATACATTTCGCGTTTTAAATCGTTAATGTGTTTTATATAAGTAATTTACAAACATACTACTTCAGTTTTAAAATGTTCTCTATATACAAACATATATCTCAGTTTGTTTTGCAGTGCGGGTACAGTAAACAGTCCGAAGACAAGAAGAATTATGACAGTGATTCGAAACAGTCTCTTTGTTATCGCGTTTCTAGAGCCTTGCGAGAATGTAGATGCGAGATGTGTGAACATCTCACATTTTAAATAAAAACAATTACAGCGACAAATACATTGTTGTTTTATTTTCATTCTTTCCGTTAAAAAAAGTCGATGACTGATGATAGACTGATGACGCGTTACGTAACTAATTTCCACCTTAAAACATTGTGTATCCTTAATTCTATCACTATCTCTGTGTACGCCAGATACGCAGTGTGGGGGAAATTACTGTAAGCCTATAATTATAATCTTCATGAGTTTAATCCCGCTTCTCCAACGACAGACACATATCTGTGTCCGTTTTACTAAATAAATATACAGATATGTATATCTAACTTCCACAACACTATTAAGCTTTACTGTAAGTGTTAAGCATTATTCGAAGGTAGATTTATATGTGTCTGAGGTGTTGTGATGTGACGCATCAGAAGGGTTCTAGCGGCACGCTCTTATTTGTTAATTCTAATACACTTAACATTAACTATAAATTAAATAAATTAAAAATGACAGGTGAGACAAATCTACGACCAACTGAATACCATATCGTTGATCGTTTTATGTTTCCAAAAATATTATTAAAATTATAACTATGAAGGATAATCACAACAATACTACCAACAATCTCCTACCATGTGTTAAAAGTAACATCAATCTCACAAATACAAGGCAATGCCGAACTAAACATAATGGCCGCTGCACGTACCGTATTTGCATTCATTTTATGTAATATTTTTATTCCGTCGTGTCTCTCTTTCACCAGTGACGTAATATTGAGACAAGGTACTCTGAGAGGATTAACTTTAAACGGATATAATGCATACTTAGGTATACCCTACGCGACTGTTCCGGCAAGATTTCGCGTGAGTAATTTGCTTATAATGTCTTAGTACATACACTTAGGTCTAATAATAATTGTTAATAACTCTGATTGAAATTAACCGACCGTTGAACGTAAGATGACAACTATATTTTCTATAAAACCTTTCTCTAAAATCTATTTTTGCACAAAATCCTGTGGTTTTTAGGAACCAGGTCCTCCTCCCTCTTGGTCTGGCACGTTTTACGCAACCAACGGTAACATCAGATGTAACCAAATTCTACAAGTACTAAACATTGCTGTCGGCAGAGAGGACTGTTTAGTAGTCAACATCTTTACGCCGCAGAGGAAAAATAGCCACGATCTGATTCCGGTCATGGTATTCATCCACGGTGGAGGCTTCCAATACGGTAGTAACACAATCCTACTGTACGACGCTCAATATCTCGCTCAAAAAAACATCATAGTTGTTACGATCAATTATAGACTTGGTCTCTTTGGGTTCCTGTGTTTAAATAAAACTGAGGCACCAGGAAATATGGGATTAAGAGATCAAGTCGCTGCGTTACAATGGATAAATGGAAATATAGAAAGCTTCGGCGGTGATCCGCATTCGGTAACCTTAGTTGGTGAAAGTGCCGGCGCTCTCTCAGTACAATATCTCGTGATGTCAGAGTTGACTAAAGGATTATTCAAAAGATGTATAATGGAAAGCGGTTCGATTCTAGTGCCTGTAGGGTTTGATGAGAATCCCATAGATAGCGCTAGAGCATTTACGTCACGACTTGGATATAACACCACTGATGTTGATGAAATATTGGATATTCTACAAAACGCTGACGCGTTCGAACTCACTATGGCTACTCTTGTTAATGTTAAGAACGATATTCGAAAACCGTATACGTTCCCACCGTGCGCGGAAGATCCGAAAACTAGTCCCAAACCCTTCTTAACGACGAGTCCAAGAGAACTATTGAGAAGGTTTAAAGTAGATCCTAACTTGAACTTAGTCATGGGTTTTAATAATAAGGAGGGTCTGATGTTTGCAGGAAAATTCGACTCAGACAGTTTAAGAGATATAGACCATCATCTTAACAAAATTTTACCTAGCAACCTTATCTTTAAAAACAAAGGTGACAGGGCTAGGGTAATAAGGGACATAAAGGAGATATATTTTGCCAATACGGGTGCTAATTACAATGGTCTCATAAATTACTTGTCAGACAGTATAATAATATATCCCTCTATAGAAGTGATAGAACATTTTTTGAAAGGAAACGCAACAGTTTACAATTATGTATTCATGTACGATTCATTGAGGAATTTGAATAAATTTATTTCTGGCTTACCGTTCACGCCCGGTGCTAATCACGGTGATGAACTGTTTTATATATTTGATCCTTTGCCACTTAAACTGTTGCCTTTTTTGGAGAACGACAGGAGGGTAGTTGAATTTATGACTAATGCTTGGACAAATTTTACTAAAACTGGGTAAGTTTGCTAAATCGATTGAAAATTTATTTAAATTGAAAAAAGCAATACTAAATATTCGTTTATTTTATTTTTTACCTTCGGGTTCGTAAATTCGAAAAATAACATTTGGCGTAAACAATGAAAATACTTGTAGTAAATGTTTATGATGTGTTTTGGTATTTTTAGTAGTGTTTGTTTATTAAAGAAGAAATAATATCGTAAATACGACTTGCAGAATTCCTTCGGCCCCCGGTGTGGAGTGGTTGAAAAGTGAGAAGAATAATTTAAGGTTCCTATCAATTGGAAACGATAGACACATGACGTCTATTCCATACAAAGAACGCATGCAGTTGTGGAAAAATATCTATCAGAAATATGGGTCGTATTAATTTCTTTGAATTTCTATTCTATTTAATGTAAAGCAAGATGTTGATTTCATTACAGAGATAAATATACAATATTCACGAAATTGTATACTTTGTACATTACTAAGACAAGGATTTTAAGTAACTACCCTCACTTTCCTACAATGTCAAAATGAGCACTGGTTAACCAATAGTTTAGTTTTCTATTGTAAAGTCACTCCCTAAACTAAGATGTCTACGTGGTACAAACCCTAAGTTGTCAAATAAAAACAACAAAGTGAAAACATCAGTAAATTATGTACACGTTCTGACGTCACATTCACTTAATTAATGGTAAAATAATAAAATAAATTAAGTAAATTTATCTGTTATTTTATATAGGTTTATATTCCATTGAATATTAACTATCCCATCTTGGGCTTGTGGGTCGGGGGCAGGTGTCTGTCCGGGGCGTACGCCGGTTCAGCATCAGGCGGTGGTGGACTGGGAAGCTCCGATAATTTTTGTGTAAGCCACATTAAGAAGTAGATGAAAATGCCCATTCCTGTAAGTTACATACATACGACTTACAGCTGGAACTTCTAAGATTCTTATTCTAGATTCTAATAAGGAATGCGAGATTAGTATAAAAGAGTAATTCCTCCAACTGGGGTTTTATAACGTTTCTAATTTGAAAACTTGAATATTATATGTTACTTTACATGATGGGCACCATATACGACGATGCCGGTCAAGTCCTGCTCAAGTCGAAAATTGTTTCAACTTAATTTTGGTTTTTATCTATACATTTCTAATTTATCTGCAACTTCCAAGTAGATTAATTTGTAATCAATAATAAGGAAGAACGATAAAATATCACCTGTCAGCTATTCTATTATCGAATGAAATTAACAATTGACAAGAGAAATAAAGAACTAAATTGAAATTGGTGGGATTGTAAATTGAAATTATAAAATACCCAACTTAAACACTTTAACGGTTTAAAAAGTGATATATTAGTTAAACTTATTTGAAAATGATTTATTTTTAACTTCGGCCCGACGTTTCGGTTTCTTTTCCGCAGCAGTTTAAACTATATCGCGTTTTAAACCGTTAAAGTGCTTTATTTACTCGCGTAAACTATAGAGTATACCCAACTTAAGTATAAAACACAGATTTCTGTAGACTCACTATAAAAAAAGTGAATTCCGTTTCCCCCGTGGGGAAGAAGGAGAACAGATTTCTGTGTTCACCGATCGGTTTTATTTGCAGGCAAGTAGTTGATCTGACTTATATGCCCGGCCCGACCGTAACAATTTAGCAATCCCCGAGATTCGAACCCAGGACCTCTAGCGCTTAACGCAATTCTAGGCAACACGTTTAACTATTTAGTTACAGCGGCGGTCCAGAGCTATGGCGACTCACTATACTATTATAAAATGTGTTTTTTAATCGAACTTAGTAAATTAAAACCAAGTTAATTAACTTAATATTTGATTTGCATGTAAATGAACTGGTAATTAGTACTTACCAACCATATCGAATAGAGTTAACGAAGCAAGCGCCGCAACCCAAACACAATGAAATAAATGGTGAATGAACGCGAAGTTTGGTTCTTGTTTATGAAAAAAAGAACAAACATCCTAGAGTGAGCAAGTAAACAAAGGCTAAATGTACTGTCAAATAATTTATTAGCGTATTTTCGGTCTTAAGTTTACGCGGGTAGTACATATTTAAATAAAACACTTTGAACGGTTTAAAACACGAAATATTATAATAATAATAATTTTTAATTGATTTTAACTACGACCCGAAGTTTGGTCATGGGGGTTCACTCTTTTATTTAAAAGCATTGATTTCTATTAAGTCTCGTTTTATTTTATATATTTTTTTTTAATAAAACGTACAGAAACATAATTGAGTTATACATCGAGTGGTCGCAATTTTGATTTAATATTTAAAATGACCTACTGCATAGAATTTGCCATCCTTTGTAAGAGTAAGAACTAAGATCTTAAAAAGATAGTTGAAACGAGACAGAATATCTGTTTCATTTCCCGTAAAAAAAGAGCGTTGGAATGGAACTTGTTATATATAACATATAATTTTACTACTTTCTGCTACAGTTAGACTGTGGATGTCACAGGTCAGAGGGGGGGGGGGGCTAACCGCCGCAAAATTTGACTAGGATAGAAGGAACGATGAGTGATTAAAAAAACAACGTGTAGTTCGGTTATGTTGATTTTTACTATCAATTTGGATGTATGTGTACATATGAATTCGAGGAAAATAAGAAATAATTATGTAATGTTTTATAATATATATCCTACATCGCAGTATTCGTTACGAACAAACATCACTTACTTATACGGAAGTCAGTACGCTACTCATAAAATTTTTGTTCAAACGCCCCCCGCACGGCGTCGTGCGACGCGGGCGACGCGGGCGATTTCATTACGAGACGATACGAGACATAACATAAGTATCCTCTATATAAATTGAAACGATTTAAATAAAATATATACTAGCTAATAATCACTTCGAACGTTATCTGCAACATATCAAATACTGCATAAATCTAACTGTACAGACACGTGACGTGTACGCATCAAGAAAACATCTTCGATATCCTCAGAACATTTATTACAAAGGTCTCGCTTACAGCTGATGCATAGAAACGAACAATGTCCTTTACTCACTGCGTATAGTAAAATCGGTGAAAAATTCGCGATAAAAACCTAAATTCCACATACTGAAAGTCTAAAAATATATTATAATAGATTCCAAATGTCTATACATAGATGAGTCCACTACGCGCTTATAACGAGCGTCGACAGCGCGCCGGAACGTTACAATACTTTTAAATACGTTAAAACGACGTCGCCCTTGCGCTTCGTGGACGCTGCGCATGCGCACCCTGGGTATTGTCATCTACACATTGAGATTAGCGTGTGCAAGCCGCGTCTCTAGTCAATTGGAACCGGTGGTGATGTGACCGAGTCGTTCACGAAACGCAAGCGCCACTGGGGTGGTCGACTAGACGCATCCTCGTACGGTGTACCGGTCGCTCGCCTACTAACTGCCACACATGTAGGATACACTCGATACGTCGGCAACACAAGCGAGACTAACACTAACAGTGCGTACTACCGAAAAACATTTGATTTTTAATTCATTGCACATAATCATGCTTATAATGAAAAACTTAGACTACGCGTAGCGGCTAAGTATTACGTAAGTACTTTAGGGGTGTCCATGTTATGGAGTGGGGGGGGGGGTTAACACATGGCAGTCAACATTGTGTCTATGTCTGAATGAAAGACATGTAGGATTCCCATATAGCGTTTCACTTGTGTTAAACTGCATGTAGATACCATGGTTGCGTTAGTGGGGCATTTAGTGACATGGGGAAGGGGGGGGTGACTGCGAAACCACCTTACGCAATACTTGAACAGCTTCATACAATCGGTATACATCGTATTTTGGTCTTTCGCTTTTTGCCACGAGTATCACCCTTATTAAGTATTGAGTATACCCTAGATGTATGCTAACTGCGTTAACATAGAGTTCGTAAAGTAAAATTACATATTATTGTATAATGATATATCGGCGTTCAAACGAACACCTTGGCGAGACCGTCCGCGCTGGCGCTCGCTATGAAGGGCCGCACCGGGTGGAAAGCCACATCCAGGATGCCCTCGTCGAACTTCTTGCGGTGCGCGGTGATCTCCTGCGGATGCACCAAAAAGTTATAAGCAATGTGACACTGGTTTCGTATTTTGATGTTTATAAACAATTATGCAGTGCACTCAAAGTACGTGAAGACTGCAAAATGAAACTTGGCGATAAAAGGAGAGGGGGTGAGTTTCTTGCCAGTTCTTCTCGTTTCTTAACCCCTTGATCTGAGAAGTAGGGGTAATTTTAAATTTAGCCTTTGTTTTTTAACGTTTTTTAACACAACAACTACTTAAAACTAACCGAACCGAAGTCTGACAATTATTAGATATATTAAAACCTAATTAACTAAAAATAATAAATATTTTTAGTTGTGCTAATTCATGGATTTTGAGATTATGTTTACCTGTACACAGGTCTTGGTGTCGAGGTTCCAGAGGCGCACGGAGCAGTCGTGGGAGCCGGAGAGCAGGAACAAGCCGTTGGGGTCGAGCGCGAGGCCGGTGACCGCGTCGAGGTGAGCGACCATTGCGTGTGCGCAGCGACCCGACACCGCGTCCCAGAAGCGAATGTGCCGGTCTTCGTGCGCTGTCACCAACACCGGCAGGGACGGGTGCGAGCGGACTCTCGTCGCCGGCGAAGAGCACGGTACGCGCAACACCGCCTGGAACACCATACCACTCCATATTAGATTCAAACGGTTCAAAGTAGCATTGCAGTGGTTCAACAAGTACTAAACTTTACACAACTTTAATATGAAATTAATTCTCTTTAGTGCGGAAGTGTCACCTTTTTTATAGAAAGAAAGAAACATTTATTACAACAAAAAGCCCTTAAAACAAAAAATAATTTAAGTTTGTATCAGAGATGTAAGTATAACTAAATATGACTTATGTGTGCCTAAAACTTGGTAAAGAACGTTTTTTATTATTATTTTGCCGTAAATACATAGACAACCAATGTTTTATTAATAACACCTCATTAAATTAAAAAATACCGACTGACCTTAAAGAACATCAGTAAAACTATTAAATAAGTGATCACTGTTGCTATAGTTAGCTAAAAATTGTAAACCAAAAAATAAAACTTGTCATAACAAATTCTTACTTGTGTAGTCTCCAGATCGTAAAGCAAAAGCGTCCCGTCATTGTATACGACAGCAGCGCGGGTCGCTGCATCCGCGAAGTCCGCGGCGGCGGGCGCCGCGTTACTAGCGGTCAAGGCGTCGTCACGGAGCGTGCATAGCAGCGGACGAGCAGCACGGGGCGACCAGAGTCGTGCCGTACCATCAGCAGACGCAGACAGAAGACGACCTTGCAAACTCGATAGAGACCACACGGCGTCGGTATGGTCGCGCAGTACTGGTCCCTGTGCAAAGTGTATGAATTTTGTTACAAGTCTTCATTATCATAATAATTTTGGTATTATTCACTTGAAAGTATGCAATTAGAATAAACGCAACGCATTTTTATAAGTTAAAAATCAATTTGAATTAAAAACACACTTTTATCACTGAAAACTATTATCTTAATCCTTAATAATTGACAAGACAATTTATGATAAAAAAAAATAAACTAAAAATAAAAAATAAAAGTATGACGTTATATAGTATGGCATAAACAGATCTTGGAAAAACAAAATTATTATTTTAGGTACACAAGAAATAGAAAGTATTGCATATTATAGTTTAAATAAAACACTTTAACGGTTTAAAACGCGATATATTAGTTAAACTTATTTGAAAATGATTTTTAACTTCGGCCCGACGTTTCGGATGCTTTTGCTGCAAAGCATCCGAAACCGTGGTCACGGGGAGACTGACAATTATGATATTATACCTCCCTAGCATAAAAACAATCACATGGGAATGATGTATTTTTCTCTTACATATTATTGAAATTGAGAATACTCGAATTGTAACAATAAATAGAATGAAGTACCTGTACAGCGGCATCATAAGGATCGTAGGGATCCGCTGTGGCCGATGGCAGGTTCCACACGCGAATGGTGGCGTCGATCCCACCAGAGAAACACTCCTCAGATCGGGGCGCGCCCATCGCGAGACAGAGGACGGGCGCGGTGTGCGCTCGGAACGTGTACAGCGGCTCCACGTCCAGTCCGGCAGACTTCTTCGCTGGTACGGTCCGCTGGAGGTTCCACAGCTTCAGGGTGTGGTCTTCGGAAGCTGTCACCAACGCCGCTTCATTCGGGTGAAACGCAACAGCGCGCACCTACAATATATTTCTATTAATATAGACCCTGCTTTTTTAAGAAATCCTTCATTTAATATATATAATATCATAAGCTAATAATAAATGTAATTATATCCACAATAAACACCCAAACAATTGTTTTTTACTATCTATAGTTTACTTGAAAAGTAAAAAAAAAAACTTTCGGTTTCAAAGCGCGAAATGTATTTAGTCCAATCTCAGTGACCACGGCTGCTGCAAAGCAACCAGTTGTTAGGCCATAGATAAAGCAATTTGTAAATATTTTTAACTAATAATACATTTTGCGTTTTGAAACCGTTCAAAGTATTTTTTTAAACATATTGTCACTTTTAAATTGAGATATAGTATATGAACAATGTCGAGTATTTTAGGATATCAAGTCGATATGATCTGTTGGGGTCTACAGAATTACTTATTTGTGTTATTTTTAAAATACATCTGTGTTTTGTTATTTCTCAAACACATATATAAATCCATACCCCATCAAAATGTGAGCGCAGCGTGTACTTGGGATTCCAGGTCTTCCTAAACGACTCCTTGCTGGCGCCAGCCACGTCGTAAGCCTCCGGCTCATTGCTGACAGTCAGCTGTGCCAATTCACCCAGCGCCAATGGCTTCTCATCGGATGCACCTGCCGGATAAACGCTCGGGTTACCAAACGGAAACTTCACTGTAAGTTGTTATGCACAAACCGTAATCTTTTACGCGATAACGCGAAAATTCAGGGGGTGATTATGAGATAAATTAAGTTTTTAATAAATAAAACATTATTATAAAGTGAAAGGCAAAACGTGAAGGAAGAAACATGGAATGTTACATAAAAATGTGGGTAAGTTAAAGATGTTTTTATTTTCTTAATAATAAAGGAATAATTTATTTATTTATCTTCGACAACTAATTGAATTACTGCTACTACTAGACAAGTGATTTTCTTATAATCTTCCATAAATACCCTCCTTAAATTTTACCAAAAGGTGTGTTTGTTGGTTTGAACGCGCTAATATCAGGAAATTTGTACCGTCATTAACGAATCGAATAAGAAAAAAATTTTCTAAGAAGGAAGTTTTTAGGCTATATAAAATCACACTGAATTTCACTGCAAAGAAACCAAGGGAAATGTGAAAATTTTCATCTTTGAAGGATTTTGTTGCATCCTTGCGAAAATAATAACAATGCAAGATGCCGAAAAAATATGTATCAAAGAATAAAAAAATATCCGCGGCAGAATGTCTATTTTTTACGATTACCTTGCAAAAACCCTTTTTATGGTAATCAATTCTGGTAGAAATTAATACAATACACGGGCGAAGTTGCGGGCACAGCTAGTTACTTTTAAAAGAAGACCTATTTTGTCAAAATTAATTACGTAGCAGTACTACTCCAATGGTCACAGTTCCACTTCAGGTTCTCTAGCAACATACATACCGACATACTCGTCGCCTTGTCCACCCCCATCGGCCTCTGTCTCGGTGAGCAGGTTTAGCTCATTGAGCACTTCCTCTGCTTCATGATCCACTTCTTCTGTAGACATTAAAACCGATGAATAGAAAAAGTATTTAACGATAAAGATGATCTTATAATGTCGAAAGTTAAGTCAAAAGCAGTTTTTATTAGACCTGCTGAAGTAAGCAAACTAATAAGAATACTGACAGAAATAAAAATGCGCATCCTATTTGGGACATTACGAAATTCTCGTTAACATCTCTTTGTTAAAAAAAACTTGTTGTTATTAAATATAAAGTTCAGTCAATACTTTTATTTTGCTTCCACACATCACCCCGAAGGGTGGCTGCTTGTTCATTTAACTGTAAGTTAATCAATAAAATAAAGGGATTATGTCTTTACATTGAACAAGTTATAATGAGGATTAGTACAAAGAAACATAAGGTCAATTTTACATACCTTGTTTGATTTGAGTATGATGTGCCTGTTTGGTATCTAAATCTTCGATTTCATCCATGTCCATTTCCTGGTTAGCGAGAAACTCAAAGTTGGCAAACACAGCATTTTCCTGTACAGAGAGACCTTCTTCGTTGTATCCTCCAGAGACAGCACCCTTGCATTGTTGGTCTTTGCCACCTAAAACAAGAAATTCAAAACTGAAATAATTTTTCTGTATAATTATTTATTAATATTTTTTTAATAATATTAATAATTTTTGTCTGTTTTACACTAAATAAGAGTTAAGTTGGATAAAGATCAATATATGAATAAATTACACTTGTACACTTATTTACACTCCTTCCTCCTATAAATAAATATGTCTTTCAATTTCCTTACATTAATAAGAATTTGAATAATGCACTAATAAAAATAATTTAATTTTTAAGTTAAGATTAAAATTCATAGACATTATATATGTGGATACAATAAAATTGCCATCAAAAACACATACCATAATCATACATCATCCTTTTGCGTCCCACAGCAGTATTTGTAGAGTAACGGTGTTTATCACAATTCCGATAGTTAGATTCCTCTGTCTGTTCTTCACTATTTTCTCCAAGTAAAGTCCTTACTCGATTCGAGCGTATATCAAGTATTGTGTCCGTGTAACCAATTTCCTGGACAGTTTACATATATATAGACACATAGCAATTATCCTATACAAAACCCCTTTTTATACCCGCTCATAAATAGAATTTCTATATCATGATTTATTACTATGTCTCAATGAACAAAAGAACACTACAAGTTTCTGATCATAGTTTAGAGGTGTAAGCAGTGGTCAGTTGTTCAAGACAAAGTAGTTTAGATTAGATTCAAATTTCTACAAAGTCCATACTGTACATTTTATGAAAAACAATTATCAGTGTAAGTGATTGAATCAGTTTAACAAATATGGCTGTCAGTAAGCATACAAATAGGGTGAACATAAAATTAGATATTCAAGTCACAAACCTGCAGGTACTGTTTGATGAGTTGGCGCCCCTGCTTCCATTGAGTTCTCTCTGCCGGCTCTGGCTCTACAGGTGGCTCGTCAGAAGGTGGGCGCATATCACCTTGTTGTAGCTCCACACCATATTTCAATTTGTGAAACTTAGCTCTCTCTTGTTTCAGAGCATACTCAAGCATTTTAATCCGCCTTACAAGATCATTTTTTAAATTTTCTTGGCCCTTCCTTTCTCCTTGGAGGAAGGCAATTCGTGCCTATTGTTGAAAAATATAAAAAAAGTTGTAACAAACGTCAAAAATCTACACTAAATTCTAGTACTGGTTCAATTAAAAGAACTTTTAAAAAACACAGAAACATAAATAATTGTTTATCCAACACATTTCTGGAAGTACTAAGGTGTTATGGTGGTATAGGAAGTAAACTTTGTCACAATATTTTACCTAAGTATAAAGCATAGATATTTCTATGAAAAACTGATATATAACATGATATGATGAACATGATAAAGTCATTCTCTTATATTAGACGAATATTACGAACATTTGACGAGCAAAACATTTCAATTGGAATCGAATAACAAAACAAGGTTTAACATAAATGTGACAAAATGTTATCTATAAATATATGACATATTAGAGATTAGTTAAAAATTTAAGTATATACAAATTTGTCACTGAAAAATCAATAATTTGTTTAAAAATAATACCTCAAACTCGGCTCTATCCACCTCCCATTGTGATCTCTCGAGTTCGAATCTCGCCCATTCATGTTGAATAAAATGCAAAATGCCCGGTATCGAATACTGGACACTTTGACTAGATTCTTCATTTTGTTTATTATTTACACTAACACCTATTTCAGATCCCACTTGCCCTCCGTTGTGATGAGAAACGGAGCTATCATCCATGGCTGTAGGGATTTTCATGACATGGCCACCATTACCGTACTTGTCACAGACCTATCAAGTGCTTTAACATATACTACGCGAAAACAATACTAAAATACCATTTTAATTTATAATCTAACGTTCAAGACGGTGACACCACCTAAATATCTTTTTTCCAATGGATTCATGAATGACAAAAATTATTGCATGACGGAATACAAAAGTCGAAACGACGTCCGTCCACCGAACATTGCCTTTTTTTAATTCGGTGTTGCCATAAAGAGATATGGTTTAACACAGATATATTTTATTTTCACAGATATATTAACAAAATTTTGGTTTTAAGTCTACAGATTAAAAACTTATATTTAAAATGTATCAGATTATATCATTTAAGTTGTTCCTTTGCTCTATTTATATAACATATTATAACGAAATATGTACTCATGGCAAATATATTTTTTTAATTCTTTATCTTCGACTTTTAATACCTACTAGTTCGATGCTTTCCGCTTATTTTTTTTTATCACAAATGGTGGCGGATATGTTAATAATTCATTTAAATTTATACTTCAATAACTAATAATTATAACACACTAGCTGGCCTGCAATACGTTCTTTTGTCATATGAATTCTTTCGACAACATTTGATTATTTGATGAAAAAACTGTTTTCGTGAGGTATTCTTAAAAGATAAATATTGATAGATAATTTTTAGAATGATTCTTTCTTAAACCTTTTTTTTGGGTATTTTGAACCGTTTTCGCAGCGCACACAACGGGTATAATTTTCCCCGTTTTTTTATCATTTTCCATATTTCCTTCGCTCCAAAAAGCCTAAGGCCGTTCTCTATAAATTGTCTGTATAGACAAACCAAATTAATTTGCACAATTCGTTCCTGAGATTAGCGCGTTCAAACCAACAAAGTCATCTGCTTTATAATATTAGTATAGATTAAAGAGAACTCACATACCAACAATTAATGTTTGTCTATTCTTGCAAATTTGAAATTATTTGTCATTACGAATCTTCGTGCGCATCTTATACATTCATAATTCAAATGCGTAATGAAAACGTAAGTCCTTTACTTAGAGAACTGTTTTGCTGCTAAAAATTAAATTAATAATTTTGTCCTTAAAATAATACAAAAAACCATTTCAGTTTTATTTATTTTATTGATAAATCATGACTTTGTACCTTAAACAACAAAAATACAGGAATGATAAGTGAAAAAAAGTAGCAAACACTTGGAAACTAAATATGTCATATATTATGTAGGTAGTAGCGAACTACAGTCTTAATTAGATTTTTTCGAATCTTTAGAAGGTGACCTGGACCTTGATCTGGAAACTGATCTTCCCTTGGAGCGAGATCGGTCGCGGGAACGGGAGCGAGACCGGCTACGAGACCTGGACCCAGACCTTGGAGAACGGGAGCGGCTGCGACGTCGAGACCTTGATCGACTGAAAACATTCCAAAATATGTTAGTTTTTTTTCATGAGTTATACTTGAGATGAGGTATACTTATTTAATATAAATAGTGTTATAAAAAACCACGGAAGCCCCTGAAATTTTATGAAGAGACTTAATATGTATAACAAATGTTAATCTACTAAATAACAAACAGTCAAGAAGACCTAGAAATAATATGATATCTTGTATAATTAAACTTTAGTGTCCTGAGAAACTATATTTGTAAATAACAAATAAAATATTTCAACTATTTCATTCCACTGCCTTCTTTCACTTACTCTTCAGTGCTCAGAAGAAGTAATCGTATCGGGTTTATTGTATCTAGTTGATCTGTCCGCAAGACAGATGCCATCATAATAATGTGTAACTCACTGAGTGCACGCAGTGATTACTTAACGCGAAGTGGCGCGATGCGCAGTAAGTATGTTATGCTCAATGCAGTTCTCGACAAGTGAAGCGTGCACGTAGGTTGGTACGAGGTTCGCAGAGCGAAGTTACTGAAGTAGCCAACATTAGCGCAGAACACGCAGCGAAGTGAAAGCTACGTAGCGCAGACAATAAGAAGTGCAGACACTGAAGAGTTTGGTCTCGGCGCACAGGCCAATGATAACCTATAACATAGTTATCATTGGTTTATGGTGAATATTGAGTGTCGGAATGGAATCTTTTTTTTTAATTAAAAAAGTGCATATTATGCTTTTTGCCAAGATTCCAAACCAATATATATAACAACAGTCCTTTTTGCAATTCAAATCACCTGCGTCTACGGCGCCGGCTGCAATCTCTAGCATAGTGCCCACGATCTCCGCAATCATAGCACCTGTCATCATATGGACGAGGAGGCAGCCTAGACCGAGGAGGGGGACCACGACCGCTGTAGCCTCTTCCACCATTGGACAACTCTACACGAGCTCTGCGACCGCATATAGTACGCCCATCCAAACCGCGAATCTAAAAAGAGAAGTATATTAAATGCGAGCCCATTAAAAATTAAATTTAAAAACAACGTGTAAAACACAACTTACTGCATCCTCAGCATCTCGGGGATCTTCAAACTCGACGAATGCAAATCCTGGCGGATTCCTGGCCACCCAAACATTTCTCAATGGACCGTAGTACGAAAAAGCATCTTCTAGTTCAGGTTTGCTAGCATTGTTGCCTAGATCACCCACGTAAATTTTACAATCACCGTAACGTGACATAATTACCTTAAACAAAAACAGACTTTTGAAAAACTCGCACGTTTTAGCCGGTATCAGTGTAACCCCTAATTGTAATGGCTTGCGCTACCAAGCAGTCATTGGCGCAATAAAAATTAGACGCATTCACGATTCATAAATAATACTCACAAGCAATTATTAAGTTATGGAGAACTTGTTTACACCATTTGTTTAAACGTGAATATAATAATTTTCTATCTCATCGAATACAGTAATAGTAGTATAATATCAAAACACAGAATCGATTCGAGCCTAACGCCAAAATGGCCGACAAGCGTGAAAGTATAGAGAATAGAGCACGCAAAGAGTAAAAATGATATAGACAATGTTAAAAGACTACATTATTATTAAATAATAATAAGGATATAAAGAAAGAAATGCAATTATTGCGCCACAGATACAATAGGAATTCTGGATTTATAGTACATGAAGATAATTTGCGTGAACATGGATCGACATTACATATAAAATAATTTCCAAACTTAAAATCATTTCTATTACGTACGATTTGTTTGTTAAAGTAAAACCCAAATAAATTAATCTCCTCATGTATTCTATCAATTAAATGAGTGGTAACCTATGGTTGTTTCTTTGTCGGATCTTAAATCTTTTACTCTACCTCAGACAATGCTTTACCGGAGGCAGAAGCGTACCTAGTTGGACAAGGGCCCCGGTCTACCTAATCCTAAGGCTCAAGAAAGAATCAGGTCCTCATCCCCTCTTTTAGCATAGCTTGAATTAAATGAACCTCCAAAATTATAAATAGCAACAAGAACGTTAAAAAATCCTTTTCTTCTACGCTTATATCTTCTCAAAGATAAGGAAGGGGGTCCTTAAGTTTGGGGGCTTGGGGCACTGCACAACCTGGCCCTACGATACCTACGCCACTGGCCGGAGGCAATCATTTTGTAAATTTATACATTATATTTTCCAATATAGTGCTTAAATTACAAAATTAGATTCGATTTTAATAACGAGATGTTATGTGTTCTTTCGTTGTAAAATCCTGGGTGACACTTCGAGTTTACCTCTTTATAGCTGTGATGAGAATTTAAAAGAATTTGACCGTTTGACCTACTTCCAAACTCAATTCTGTCCATAAATCATACATAATATTATTATCGATAGCAAGTCAGAGGATTTGAGACAGATAAACCGTTCACTTGATGGAAAAGAAAATACACTTCCCATATAATCTAACCAGGATGAGGTGTCGATGTATTTTAGCTTTGAATATTAGGCAATCCACAAACTGAAACTGCAATGCACTTCACAGCTTTTTCATCTGTGGACGTTGGTAAAAAAGTTGCCCCTGAGAAAATTTCGTAAAACCTATCGGGTGGAAAAAAAGGCGTTGCCTTTGCGGTTGCGTTTAAAAAGGGTACTTTAGATTTAACTGATTTCCTGAACTAAGTCCATCTTATAAAAAAAAATACATTGCTGAATCATATCTTGTATCTACAGGAGATTAAACCAAAGATCCGTATTAGAATCCACTCTATTCAAAAGACTCTTGTAAAGCACTGTAAATAAATACTACTTGTGTTAAATTAACACTATCATTAAAACCATTTTTATTATTTTCTTAAAATGTTTATTAACACTTACAGTAGGAATTTATAAAATGGCATCATTAAAAGTACCTACTTATAATGTTCATACTGAATGTTATCTTAGTATTGTAACTAATTTTTGATTGAGATCACATTTATTTCACACTACTTAAATATGTATTACTTGCAGTGACCCCCCTTTAACTTTAAATGAAATTAATGTAGACATTTTCTTTATATACAAAAAATATTAATACTTTTATATTATTGTAATAATTATAAAAATAACTCCAAGAATCACACTTAAACAATCTTTAAAATCCATAATATTATGTATAAAATGTCAGCTTTTCTTTAGAAGAAATTCATAACCGCATGAAAACAAAGGTGACAACACAACATTTAGGAAGAAACTGTTGGTCAAGTTATACCATTCCATTCCTATTGGCCACGGCACATTTAAAAACACTGTACATAAGAAGCCTCCTATATACCAATTTATTAATATATGTTAATATTTATATAAACTTATTGCATAGACAAAAATCGTTTTATTATCTTCACAAAATATATTGACGGGATGACGCAATGGATTCTTAATTCCGCAATAATCAAACTTAACTTATGAGGTGTAATCACAGGTGCTCAGGGTACGAATAACTAAATATTTAACTAGATAATCTATTGAATTTAAATCTCAAGACAGAATAAGATTTTGTCATTGTTATTTGTTAAGTTATGAATTGAAGACATCCAACAAGATTTAATATTCTTAGTAGTCATGTTATGAATTATTAAATACAATCAGTAACATTTGTTATGGGTATCAGTAATAAATCTTTCATGCATAAAAGTTAGCTCGCTTATCTTTTATAATAAAAGTTTAAGATCCGCAGAACTGCAGAAACTTACAATTGCGCAACATCCCTGGAACTGACTGCAAATCCCGTTAATATTATATATGTAGTGAGAAATCTATTATTGTTTATACTTGTCTGAGTACAGTTTATAATTTGGAAGTCCTTAATTAACTTAAGACTTTATCACCATTGTTATAGCAGCTTTGTGCAAAAATCACAATTATTTATAGTCTAACTTTAATAAACAAATTAATTCCTTGTATAAACTTATTAAGAGTATTAAAATCAAATATATATATCAAATGTCTCTCTAAAATTTGTTGATTTGTTACACATTAATGTTTACTTAGTACCTAATTTATTAGAGTGCTCTTCTACATATTCTTAAATGTTTAAAGAATTTAAGTTTGTACACTTTTTTGTATAAAACCATGCAACTAAAATAAATATGCATGCCTAGCAGAAATATGTTTAAAATTCACTATTATATGTGAATTTTGTGACATATGTCACAATAGAGAAGTAACACTTTTATAAAAGCTACAATAATATGAGCATATCACAATATTAATTAAAGATTTGGGCACATTGGTAATGAGTAACTCACTACCATCACCTTTCATGTTAACAAAAATAAATTAAAGAACACCTCAATAATATTAAAAACAACTTCGCCCATATCAGGCCGTTTCAAAACTTCACGGATATGACAAAATTTACCTTAATAGCAAATAGTGACATACGCTGACTGATTCCTGTCATTAATATATATCTTCACGGAATAACCTGCTTCTGATCCCAGTGTCGGTGGTGGTGAGAACGCAGGTGACTATCTTGGTGGCTATCATGATAATGGTGTGAATCTTGTGTATCATGAACTTTTTTGTCTGGTTTCTTCACTAAATGTGCATTAATAGGGTACTTAAGGGCAGTTCGCAATTGGTCATTGTGTTCTTCTAGAGAATTAACTGCGTAATGCAGTACAAGCTCATTTAATGTTCTGAAAAAAAAAAAAGCAGTTGTCAATTTTTTTTTATTCGATGAAAAATCGTCGACACATATTTCCAGTCTGCCTTATGTTGTCGAAATTTTGTGTTAATTAAATGTTTTTTTCATATACTCACTTGTAGATATTGTAGGGTTCAGCAAACCCATATCCACGCTCAGTCTTGAATATAATACAATGGTACACCATACCATTACAACTTATAGATAAAGCTAATTGACCAGTAGAGTTAGGCCGTATTAAAAAGGTTCCTTGGGGTTTTCCTTCAAGAAGGCGGGTCGCCATATCTCGTGTACAGTTTTCGACCATCCAAGTAACACTTTCTCTGTGCGCATATAACTCTTCAAGTTTATGAATGTTGTCATCTTCAAGGGCTTGTAAATATTCTTCTGTTTTACCTCTTTTCTGTAGCCACCTGAAATTTAGAAAAAAAAACATTATACACAGAACCATTTTAAATTTTTTCCACTCAAAAAATTTCATCATAATAAGTTGATGCAAAATGTTGTAATAATACAAAAACCTTAAAAATCTCATTTAATTAAAGCAATACATAAAATAAAATAGATATATATGTTTCTACTTACACTTTATATCTATCTTTTATTTTATAGAGATTAATGACTTCCGACTTTAATTTTGTGATCTCTCTCTCAAGTACCAGATTAGCATCAACAGTTTCCCTTAGGATGCTGTGGTGCTGAGATCTAGCTTGCTTTAAGCTATTTACTCTTGAAATAAGCTGTCTATTGTTTTCAATTAAATCATTCTTTTCATGAGGTTGTGCTTCAGCCTGCATTTTTTCTTGTAACTTCAGGTGCTCTTCACATACTTTAACAGTTTCTTTGAATGCATCTAATGTTTGTCTTTTGAATTTTACCTCCTCTCGTAGGCGCAAGTATTTTTCTGATCGCTCATTATAATCTCTTGTTCTGAGAACAAATTTTTTATGAATATCTTTGTAGTTCAGCTCCAGAGTATCATCATTTATGTTTTCTCCTCCATCATTATCTTGGTGTCTTGATAGAGGGTACATAAGTTTAATATCTAGGCTACTATTGCAGTGTGCCAATGAATACTCCCGGTAGAACCTAACCAGGTCAACAACCGAGTGAAATTCATATGGTTCACAGAATCCATAGCGGCCATCTTGGTTATAAATTTTTATCAATTTATTAGTGCCTCCTTTTCTAACTGTAAGTGTGTAGCCTCCATCTTTGTTTGAAGCGTTGCGGACAAGGAATGTGCCATCACAGGTGTCTTTTAATTTTTCATTAGCATCATCTCTGGAAAAAACAAATTTTCTACTCTTACAGCCATATTAAAAATTAAGTGTTAAAGAGTATATTCAAATTATACTGAGTCCATATCCATATTTTTGATATTATCATATTATTTTGACAAGTACTACACCAGTGGCTAAATTTATGTTAAGATCTTTTCATAGATAAGTTTCTAACATACTAATTAATTATTATTCTATTATTTTGTTATAATCCGATGGAAAGTTGTGAAATTAAGGTATATTCTGTACTCATACAATAGGTAACTATGCAACATTAGTTCTACTTGTGAAATTAAATATGAACACAATTCTCAATTGAGAAGATAAAATACAGAAATACAATGTATATTATTGTAATTTACATTATTTTGTGAATTAATAAAAATCAGTACAAACCGAGTAATGTCGCCCCAATACCAGTCGGCATTTTCCAAACTTTCTTCTGCAGCCTGCTGAGGAGCACCGATTTCCACCATTCTTGTGGCGTATGAAGGAAAAATTATTGAGGTTTTCAGCTCACAGAACAAGAAAAATCATGTACACCAGCACCCAGCGGCAATAACTACTTCCGCCTGATTGAGGTTACGAGATATAGTCATAATAATTTATCACTTACACAAGCGTTATGATCTAGAGAGCAGCATGATACACACTAGTCACATACATATTAAAAAAGGTACACTACACTGTATTAAAGTAAATGTAAAATCACAAAGAACCGTAGAGAGCGTACTTGTAAGACATTTAAAGTACTATGGCTGACAAGCGCAAAACCTAGTATGAAACTGATTTTTGTAAAGCATCTTGATAGTAAGATTAACTCGTACTTATGGAAGCCGTTGAATTTATTATTGTTTCATAACTAAATGCTTTCTTTTGTATAAAGCGCTTAATAGAAAAAATATAAGACTTGAATTTGGAACTCAGTAGAAATTAAGCTCAAAATGCACAATTTTATAATTTAGCTTTTAGACATGTTGCGGTGTTGCCACTTTATAATATTCCAGTCAGAATGCTTTAAGTTTTAAACAAATTATATATCACATTTTGATATATTCATCGATATTTTTATATATTATTGATACTATTTACTTTTAAACATTGGCAAAATATTAACACAAAACACTTGTAGTTATATCCTGTAAAATTGTAGAACTATTTAATATTTATTGTTTAATCGATAGTAAAATAATCTGTTACCGTCAACTGTTTCTTGTCAAATATCTTGTCACTTGTAATGTCGATCGTCGTCAGTAAAAAATAAAAATAATTGGTTGATAAGGATTTCAAATATAATGAAATCCTGCTCTAAAAACTTTATACCCATTTCTTTTTCGTTCGAAAATTTAGGTAGTTGAATACTCAATTGATAGACAATGTGTGACGAAACAGTTTAATACGTTTATCGCCAAATTACTCTTAATTTAAAACACCAGATTCAGTATGAAGATACCTTTTTGTATTTTAGTTATTTTCCTTTTATATTGTGATGTATTTTCAACGCACATTAAAGGAGACTTTTCTACGGACGAATTCTTCAAGTTCTTAGTGAAGTTTGGATTCCAGAAGACCGAGATCCACAACCAGAAAGAAACATATGGTTATATTTTCGGAAACATAACATCGAAAGACACTTTTAAATATCCGATCACTTTTGCGGTGTTGGACAGAAAGCATTTTATACATTATTATAACAACCGCGACATCAGCGACAAAGAAACAGCATGTCAATATATGTTTCAAAATCTTAACGCTTCAGCCTACCATCCAAAATGTAATGCTTATGGTCAAGACCTATTTCGAAGAATCCCATGTCCTCATAATCAGCTTTGCATTGATGAGGATATGCCATGGAATGTGATAAAACACAACCAATTCACATATGTTATACAAAACAGTGGACAGCCAAGGTATGGCTTTATTGCCTATCTGTAATATGTCATGTATATTACAAAATAAGTAATGAACTAGTATTGTGGGATTGAAACAATCCTCATACATTTATTTTAAATAAATATATTAAAATATAATACTATACTTTTAATAGTAACTTTTTCTTTTCATATCTAGTACTTACTGGCACATGGGTATATATTCTTTTAGGGCTTAATGAAATTTTTAAATGAAAAATTTTATGTTGCTTTCCATATTCAAATAATCTTACAATTATTTCTCATCTTAATTTCAGGTTTTGGTATGTGTCAATGGTTTCATGTTATTTAGATGAAACAACATGTTCTTGGCATCACTACTCCGGTGCTCCATCGGCAGATAACAAAACACTTACAGAGATCCCACAAATTATCAACTATGACTTCTGGCTTGTAAATGGAAGCCCAAACCTATCTTTCTATAACACAATGTTGTATCAGTTTTCGTTTGATAGAAAAAATACACTGGAATTGTATCTGGTTTTCTGGTTGTGCTACATTATTCTGGTTCCAGTTCAGTTATATGCTGTGAGGTAAGTGTCTTATTAATATATATTTTTATGTTTTCAAGTTGTTTTATTATACATAATATATTGGTTAATAATATCAAAAGTAACTTCAAAAACTAGGTTGATTTACTAACAATTTCTGTTTTTCAGGATACAAAGGCACCCAGTAACAAAGCTATTCACTTCTAGTCTCGTTTTAGAGTTCATTGCGCTCTGCTTTAATGTCCTCCATACAATGAAGTTTGCTGCAGATGGAGTCGGATTTACCGGTTTGGATGTGGCTGGAGATATATTTGACATTATGAGCAGGGTAAGAGGAATATTTTCTTTAAGGCCACGTTTTCTCTTCAGTTATAAATGTTTTGTAATTGATTATTATTATTTGGTCAATAGAAGGCCAGGTTCACATAATCCCTTTCCAGAATATAGTGTTTTTAAACTGTAGTCTGATACATTAAATTGATATTGAATTGTCTGGTAAAAATTCTAAGAATTGCTTAAGTTTTTAATAATAATTTCTTTTAGTGTTAGTGATAAAAGTTAGTATGGTTCGTTTCTGTATTTCAGACACTATTCATGCTACTTTTGCTCCTGCTTGCCAAAGGCTGGGCTGTGACAAGACTCGAACTGACATATAAACCACTGGTCTTTGGAGTGTGGATGGTTTATGGAATTGTCCATGTATTACTATATGTCTGGAATACTGTAAGTTATTTGTATAAAAATTGTGTAGTCATTCGTTAATTTGTGACATTTACGATTAAGATAAGATAAAAGTTTACTAGTTTATTATCAAGTATGATGGTTATACATTTGTCTCTTTGACAGATTATTTTGATAAATGGCTCATTGCTATCTGCTATTGCGATATTCTTCAAGATAGTATTCAATAGGATTTAGTAGGCATTCCTGCACATGGGGAATGTTTTAATGTGTTTTTAATGAAAGACACTATCAGAAACCACTCTACTCTACTGTAAAGCCTAACAAATAAAGTAAAAATTAATTAATGTATTATTTTGATATTATAGACATAAAAACAATTATACTCTATGTACTTAATAGAACATTAAAATAATAAACGAAAGGGTTTTGGGAGGTTAGGGTTTGTTGTTTTAAAAGCAATTAATGGTTGTGTAGATTTTTTTATCATATTTATGTAATTTGCTCCGCGTACAGCTCACTTGGGTGAGCTTCTGTCTCGATCTTGAATCTTCTTTCTATTGGGGTCGAAGCCAAGGTCCCTCACGGGGCACCCCTGGTCTAGCCGTAGACAGAGTATTGACAGCCCCGAGCCTAAATACTTAATAAATAAAAAATAACACTTTTGTAGTGTAATCTTAATGATTACAGACGGAAGTGGATATAGTTGAGGAAATCGACGAATACCAAACGTGGCCTGGCTGGCTCGTTTTGACGCTGCGAGTGGCCATCATGACGTGGTTCGTATTGGAACTGCGCAACACAATGATGTACGAACATAATATGCCGAAGCTGAACTTCTTGTTGCACTTTGGCGCTTCGAGTCTGGTGTGGTTCGTTTACTTGCCCATTATAGCGCTAATTGCGCTGCAGATAAGCCCACTGTGGCGATTCAAATTTATTTTAGGTAAGTTTTTATAGCATGCAATATTTACGCACACATATTATTTAACCTTAAAAAAAGAACACAAAATCGTCCTTCTCGCCATGCCACGTAAAGACTGAAATTCTGCACCCTTTTGCGCAGACTTAAATTTATTAATTTATGTTTCTTTTCCTTTTATTTAGTATATATATAGGTAGTTACACAGTTAACGACGGGACGCGAACGACGTCGTTAGTAACAGCTTTAATTTATAAACATAAGATTATGGAAAGACAAATATTGATACCCAAAACAACTATTCTACGCTGACGAAGTCGCGCCAACAGCTAGTTATGTATAAAATTGTATAATTATTAATACAACAATTGTTTTTATATCCAGGTATTACATATTCAGCAGACTGTTTAGCGTTCTGCATCATGGCTCACCTTTTATGGCCAACGCGATCTGAACAGTATTTGCTGTTGGCGCCACCTGATTATACTGGTGAGTGATTCACCTTTTGGTAACTTAGATACGAGTAAGACTCCTGAAAGGGTCTGAGTTCTGCAAGGATCCGGCCAACTTCGCCAAATACCAACTACGACAGATGGTGCTAGCGTAGTAGCTTTTAGCAGCTCCCCGTGACCACGGCAGCTGCAAAGCGTCCAAACCATCGGGCCGTAGTTAAATAATTTTAAGTGAAACTAATATGTATCGCGTTTTAAACCGTTAAAGTGTTTCATTTAAATGTGTACTACTCGCGTAAAGTACAGACAGTATTTAAATCGTTTCGTATTTCATTTCCAGCTGGCATCGAAGAGTTGGATGAATTTAGTGAATCCCCGCACGTAGTTCACAGCGATACCGTGGCGCTGACAGCAGCGGAAAGCATCAACGCTGATGATGAAGAAGTGATCTTTACGCGGCCTCACAAAAATGGCATCGCGTTCTCATAGCAACTCCCATGGACCACTGATTAGTGAATCAACTCCAAGGTGTCAATCGAAGCGAGAATAAAGTACAATTTTTAAATAGTAAAATAATAATCGCCAAATCAATTTTTTTAACTTGTTAAATTGGATTTTAAAAAGAAAAAACAAGAAATTAAAATAAAAACTGGGTACATTGAAAACACATAACTGACGTTGATGACAGTTGTAATTATGTTGATGACAGATGACAGATGTTGATGATATTCCCTGACGAATAGTAACTGGGCATTCTTGAAGTTATAAAATTCAAATACTTCAGATTAATTATAATATATATTAGATTAAACATAACTAATAAAGGCTGTATTTTTCGAAATGATCATGAACTCAATTTGAAAATTTAAAACACTATTGTACTGAAAACTAGCATTTGTTTTGATGCTGGTAGTATATATATATATATATATATATATATATATATATATATATATATATATAATGAATTTTGAGGCTAAATATCAATTTACACTAGTCGTTTTTTGGGAACAAACCAAACCAAATATTAGTAAAAATCGTATTTTGCCTTGTTGAGTTGAGTCAATTTATAATTTTCATTAAACATGGCTGTTTTCGTTCGAAAAATCCACTTATTTAATTGGTGATAAGAATGCAACGCCACAATGTATAACTTTGAATTTCAGTCTGTGGATAGTCAAATGTCCAAAGCTAAAATAGGACGACAGCGCATCAAGTTTAAATTTTACATAACTGGACTAGTTCTCTTTCCACCACGTGAACTATGAAACATAATGAAAATTTAATAAATAGGGTCTTAAAAAGCGTATAGTGTGAATCGATTGTATTTTCTAGAACATGTCCTTGTCTTAAAAGAAACATGTGCAATTAATTATAGTGATTTTAATGTATTTATAACGAGGTACAACGTTTGCCTCCAGAAGAGATTAAACTCGAACAATATGATTGTTGTATAATTACTATGAAATTGTGGAAATTTTTTAATTGTATGTCGTTGATGTGTGTCGGTGTCTCTTTCATAATAAGTCATTTTTAGTGTAGTCAAATTGTATACCTATAGTGAAAGTTTCATATAATTTATACCCTTTATAAATGAATTAAACGCTTGATATAATAATTATTTTTTAAATGTTTATTTGCGATATTATTTAGTTATTTTGAATGTACATAAAGCTTGATTTGTAAATTTTGTAATTAATTAATTGAAATGTGCCAACCATTTCAAACCATTATTGTATTTACTCGCTTTAAATGCGTTTGCGTTATAAAATCAAAATATACATAGCGGTTTCTTATTACTTAGAGATTCATATTTTTACCTCTATAATTTGATTTGGTAGTTTTGCTATACATTGGCAGCTTTTAATATCCATGACGACCTTGGGAAAATATTGTATTTTACCATTTTGATAAGCTTTTATTTCACTGATACAACAAAATTGTTGTGTCAATTTGTCTGTTTATTATTAATATTAAAATATGATTATTTTTTAAATAAGTAATTCATTGAAAGACAAGTTATGTTGGATTACTTTTAATTATTTTAACGTTATATAACGCATTATTCAAAACCATGTAGCTCATTGCACTGTGTATAGAGTACATTTTGGTACCTACGTAAGATTTCGTGAAATGAAACATACAAATTGGTACATAATATATATTTTTTTGTATCATCAAACTCGTATGTAAATCGCTTCATTTGTGATTAAGTATTATGTAAGAATTTATTTAAATACAAGATCTCTTTAAGCTTCTTATTACTACGTATATATATATTAGTCATAGTCCAAATGTGAGACAGGTACTTATGTAAAGTTGTGTTAGGACTTTTCTTAAAGGGTTGCTCCTTACGTTCATTTGAAAATAATATCTGTACAAAGAAGTGGTCATTATACTTATTTGTTGACCCAAATTATCTTTTTACTACATCAGAAGTGGGATATTTTAGCTCGGCGTCATCTCCAAAAGAAAAAACATTTTATTTTGTAATTCGTATAGGGTAAGTTTTCATTTTTGAAACTAAAAGACATTGCTTGCTGCTTTAAGCGCTTACGCTTATGATCATGATCATTAGTTGTATCACAAATCATCACATTTAATTAGTTTTCATAGGCTACTTGTGGTTTAAAATTTGGAGGGTCAAAAATAGATTTTTGGCTAAACATTTCTAACGGCTACCCAAACAGATACCTATGGTTACAAAAAATGAGATGCCAAGAACCTGCCTATTAAATGAAAAGTTGCCGAACCAGGGGTTAACCTCTTATGCCCTACTGTTCAATCTCGTATGAAAAATCATCGCATTCGAACACGCCTCTTGTATCAATTCAATCGTGATCGAAAGCCTTTACGAAAAGCACAGTTCCGTTATGTGATAAATACTTTACAATGAATATAAATAGTATTAAATTGATTAAGTGAGAACATATTTAAAATTAGTGATTATCGAATTTCTGTGCATGTTACATTACTATTAGTTTAAGTAGTATTATGTAGAAAAGATGATTTCTAATGTTGTACTGTGTTATGGTGTAAATGAATGATGTCAAAAGAAACATAATAAATGTGGTCACTATATGTGGTTTTTTCAAATAACCTAAATACGACACAAGTCATTTAGTAATATTAGAAAATATAACGTCGTAACATGACGTCACAAATACCCCTTTTGATTCGTGTCGATAAATCTCTCCCTTTGAAGTTCTTTGAGGACAGCGCGCAGAAGTTTGATCAACTAATGGCTCTTAAAACCAGCAAGAAAATAGAAGCAGGCACGCGTCTATTCTTCGTTTGGCTCTTCGCAGCCGAAAGAATAGATTAGAATATAATTCCTTTTATCTCGAAAAATATCCTTTTAAATTTATATACACTCCTTTCTATTTCTAAAAAAATGATTTTCAGCATGTCTCGGGGCACTCTTAAACGATGTATATTGAGATCATAACTTATTTTAATGAAAATAAAAAAATAAATGATTTTGTACATGGCTCGGGGTACGTTAAACTATTGATGATGAGCAAAACTCTACAAGTCGCTTCATCAGGACGTCAGGGTCCAGCTAGTTCTGACAGGTTTAGTACCTGGAGTACTAAACCTGGGAGATAGGTACCAGGTATGATACCTATATTTACTACCCGCGCTAAAGCAGTAGGGTCTATTTTTTTTAACGGTACATGAATAGGTCGAAACGACGTACCTATTATATTCGTACGTAATTTTATTTCTATACTTTTATTGATGTTTCTTTCCAATTATACGTTGCGTGTTTAGAATACCAGTGGGACTACTTATTACTTAAGCTACTTAAATTTATTAGTTCTAATTGAAGGTTGCGTTATCTACCTACGTAGGTACGAGACAAAGCGAACCTTCCTAGTAACGGTATAATTGTAAGGAGGGAAATTTTCCGAATATCCAAAGCCTATATATAGGTCAATTACAATTACACCTCCCACCAAGCGAACCCCATGCTAGTCTGCTCTCTTATGTTAAAAAAAATCTCAAACTTTTGACTTACAGCATGCCAGAGGCCCTGTACATCAATTGCATGTTATAAGTCCACACAATAGGAATAAGACCTACAGACATTTCCTAGGAGGGTTTTAATCTAGACTCTCAGTGTAAGTACTTTAATGATAGTATAATAATGGAAACTGCCAACAAAGCGATTATACAGTCACGCATTTCAAATAAAAAACAGTTTAGAGCCAACAATAATAATTTATTTTATCCACACATAGTTAAATTTAATAAATATAAAAGAAATTGAAGCTAGCACAGCACTTTTGGAAGATAACTACATATATCAGTAAAACACATTTACATTTCGCTTCAACTACGTGCCTACGGTAGTTACAATACAGTCATGGCGTAATAATTGTACCTATTCAATCACATATAATAGAAAATAACCCGAAAACAAATCTTCAGGACAAACACCCGTAAAAATATAGTAAAAAACAGTACGTATCATGTAACTTAAGGGCAACTGAATTCGTTTAAACCGTGTACGTATAGCGGTTAATATGACTTGAGGCCGCTAGAGGCAGAGTAGCCTAATTACAATTTTATGACTTGAGATATTTATATTTTTATGCTACAAGAACTCAGTGACCGAAAATTATTAGCATAATTTTTACACACGTAGGTACAAATTCATTTTCGCCTAAGTTAATTGCGCATTTTCACTTTCCTCTTTATTGAAAATCATGTTTTTTGTTAATATCCTACTCTGCCTCTAGCAGCCTCATGTTAAGTGTATTTATAAAAATAGGAATATGCAATTGACTTGACTAGTAAGCTTTAACATTATACAGTTAAAGAAAATACGCCTTAGTTACAGAGTAGTTACATAACTATGAAACCCCTTTACCAAACAACAACTAAATATAACTATTGGAACCCTACACCAAAGAATGATATCAATCATTTAATTTAAACAACTGACGACGCACTGAGTTATTTTTATATAAATTAAAGATACTTAAAAGTAACAACATAAGTTTATTTCACGCCACAAATGAACAAAGAGATTCCCAGAAACTTTGAAATTAACATATACCATACAGGAAACGTTGAGATACACTTATTCATGAACAACAAAAGATTTCATTGAAATACTGGGAACTTATGGAGATAGGATTAACCCATACATATGTCTTGTACATATTATCTAATATCTCATAGACATGATACAGCTTAACTTGAAAACGACGAAAGTGAATTCACAATTTAAAATTCGTAGTCTTTCGGGGGTAGTTCTCTTACGGACACGAAAAAGGAAGAGGTACAAATAAGAATAAACCTCTTAGTAACTACCCTACTTAGAATGTGTTCTCGGAAATTATAAGACGTATATATTCGTATATGACGTCTTCAAATTATAATATCTCAGTGATTACTGAGAACAAACATTTTGTCATCTAAAACTGATTCTACCTTCCTAATTATAAATACAAGTAGCTAGTTACTAAGCAGGTTTTATATAAAAATGTCAGCGTTGATCAAGTTTCCATAATTCTAGTGCATATTATATTACAAAAACCTAGACGACGAGAGTTCAACCAACTTTAGATCTTAAAGCTTACAGAATACGTACAAGGTGTACAAATACAATAAATATATGAAATGGCCTCGTATAGAAGCCATAGGACGCGAGGTGAGCACAGAAATCTCAAAGTACAAAACTCAATTAGGTGTATAGTGACAAAACGTGCATTTTCTAATATGTACTTCAAAGTTGCACTGGGAAACCATCTTAGCTATTACATTTTTTACAAAGTTTTATATTATTATCGGCTTTGTATGTATATACCCATAATTTACAAGAAATCAATCATTCAAAAGCAAAGTATAGTAAGTATATAGCGTGACGCAATAGTTAATTAAAAATCTCGATTTATGACATACGCCAGACCATAAACAAAGACGGGAACGTAAACTTTCCTCTGACTACATTATATTCCCAGCTCTTCTATTTTCGGCTTCTTGTTTTGAATCGAATTACGATATCAAGATCTGGCGATCTTTAAATGGCTTATGAGAACTGAAGGCTATATAAAGATTTTTAATGCCGCCTCATTCTTTAAAGCAGAATATTCTGGTCCTTAATGAGACGTATGTAATTGCACATTTGAAAAGCCGCTGAAGAAAAGTCATAAAGCCGAAATACTGGCACATACTAGTATAGTAGTTTATGCTTTGAAATTTCTTTGCGATTTAGATCAACAAAACTAAAGATTAGAAGAATTTTGATAGAATTTAAACGTGAACACGGACTAGTATTCCATTTTGCAATAATAAAAATAACATTATAATACGTATTTCTTTAGTGCTTTGAACAGAGTTCCATTTTACATTCAAACCAATATTTTCAAATACAACTTCTAAAATTATTTATATCGGAACAATCCTAACACAATACTATGAGAGATCTATAAAAATACGTTAAGCGTGTAAGTAACTCACAAAATATATCTTATTTATAATGCATTTATATGTAGTGACGTATTAAGTGTAACATTTAGGTACTATGAAATAAAATGATCTAATATAAATTCATATGCGTGAACTAAAGCGTATTTCTATATATTTTCACTATATATTTATATGTGTATAAAGTGGCCTACAAGATGCAAACGATGTTGCGAAATAGGTAAACGAATGCAGAAAGGAAGCTTACATTTAACACCCAACAATTTTTTCTACAACCTGACTGCGATTAGAGTATTAAGATGGGACAGAGAACGACGAACAAACATTTTACTTTAAAAAATTAAACGTATCATTTTCTCCACTATTTGTGAATAAGAAGCAATAAATTATTTTATTGTTTTAATCAAAAATACAACTGGCCTCGTGTATTCGGTAAATATAAGGAACAAGTGACTTGAATATATCGCAGTCAGATAAAGCGTATTTAACCTTATTAGCTAAGACGTGCTAATATCTACTTACTACAAACATGTTACTTTTATTTAGCTATTTTGCAAACGACAAGGGTTCACATCTGTGCATTGCTGAGAGAGATTTTTGTGACCTTCCAAGACATTTTGCATGTAAATAATGAAATATAGTGCTAAGCGCGTTTAATATAAACGTTTGTAAATATTTTTTTTATTACGAATTACCTATACTCAAAATAGGCGTAAACGATGAAGCTATAGGTACGTATAAATTTCACAAGATCTGTTCATTGTGTTTTAAATATTCACAAAAACACAAGTCTTATCTGTTCGCTTTCCTACATATTATATAATATCGAAATGACACCTTTGCTTTACTTTTCAATTCTTTAGTCATCTTATATCTTTAACATTACAAATGATAATAAAATCTTAGGAGGACTAGAATACTTTCAAATATCCACAATTTATAAAGAGATTCCCAGCCTTAAGTTTTAGCAATAATCAAACACTTTACAGCAACAACTTTAAGATAAAAATTGAAAAGATCAACTTCCTACTGAACATTATATTTAGTTACAATATAATTATAAGAATAAATTAGTAAGGTACATGTGACAAGAGATATATTTTACATTAGCTTCATAATATAATTATAAATATGTATATTATAATAATTAATATCAAATACGTTATTTAATGTTCATTGAAAAAATATACTGTATCTGTTTTAGGTATATTATGTTTCGAAATCAAAGGATTTTCTTGAACAGAATATAGTTTATCGTACTTAATAGGATAACTGTGATAGTGTTAATACTTAATAAGGTTATAAAGTTTAACGACGCGAGCGCGATGCCGACGAATTACTTACAGGAGCTAATAGCCGTCGGGGTACTAGTAAACGAGCGTTACCTCTAGCAGCTCTCACGGCACCCGGCTGTTTCAAATCTGCGAGATGCGACGCATAACCCTCGCTTAAGGGTGTCGCCAGGTTATTGTACTTCTTACTAATCCTCCCGATAGCATATATTTGCTTGTGAGATAACCCACAGTTATGATACACGCTTATATCTTTCCCCGATCCGTAGGCAGCGTGAAGTATTACGCCATGCTCATTAATAAGATTGTTCAAGTGAGCAGCCTTATGACCCAGCGGATCCGTGGATAATCCATCCGAGAAAAACACAAGTCCATGAGGAAAATTGTGCTCTGCTAACCACGATACCACCTTTCTCTGTTGCATGTCAGGGCGGCCGGTTATGTAGAGTATAAGGTAGCCTAAATCCTGCCAGAACCTTACGACGTCTACTGCGCCCGCTCTTACTTTAGGATCGCGACCAGTCACTGAAACACTGGCGGTAAAGGACCCGTCGATACTAAACACAACACATTCTGTCTGAGGTGGTACGACTGCAAGATGAAAATTGCAACTCGTGTGGTCACCTCGGACTACCACTCTAAAAGGATATATTCCACACGCAACGCTTTGCTTGTCGGTCAACGTGTACGTTATCCGACCGGTTTTGTCCGTTACAACAGTTTCTAACAAAGTCCACTCGCCAGCTGGTGGATCTTTCATCATGTGTATATCTACCTTTTCTCCTGTTAACGTAATCATATCCAGAGGCCCGTACATAAATCGCGCAGTAAATGTTTGAGGACATCCCTCTTTTACAATAACATCGTTTGCACGATGATTCGCGGCAACGTTCTTTAATTTAACCGATGTTCTCTTTTTAATCCATTTCTCTTTATCTTGACCAGGATTGAAGAGTGTACAGTCTTTATCATCATTGTGACTATATAAAGCTAAGTCAAAATGACCTACTTGCCTTAATATAAAAGCTATCACATCTGAACTTTCCCAGTAGCTTGCATGAAATAGATGAGGCAAGGCGTTTGTAGGAAAATTTGATAAACCCTCTGGGCAGTAGAGAGCATAGTCTAAGCGTTTCGAACCCCACCATCTTTGTTGAAGAGCATTCATAGTAATTAATGGTATGTTATCAACTAAACCACTCACTGTACTTTGTACTGATGCTTCAGACAGTCTTCTTAAAACTGGTGTCGGTGGCATTTGTAAATGATCACCAAAGAGAGTTGGATGGCTCTGAATCAATTCCATCAAATGATATGGCTGTCCGTTCCCTAAGGGATATTTGGCATATCGTGCAACGTTAATAGGTGGCAGGTTTGTAAACCTAGCTGACAACAATGGTTCTAGTCTAGCTGCGACGGGGTCAGTTGGGTGAAATAAATTATACACCTGTTGAACGGGTGGTTTTATTATATCACGAGACTTATCATCGGATATTTTTCTTGACGCCAGAATTAGGGACAATGGACTACCAAAACTGAAAAAATCAGATATTTCAAATTCAAGTTTACTATGATTATCACTGGCTGTAGAAGATCGTCGTCGTGGAGTTGGCGCTTGTAGATGAGATTTATTTAAATAAAGCTCTGTAGGTTCATTTGGTATCATTATTTCTGTATCTAATATACTAGTCTCGCTATCATGGCGTGATTGATATTGTACAGTGCGACATAAAGCATCGTATGCTAGTACGGATCCCATGCTATCTCCGACGATACAAATTTGTCCACCAAAGCCTTTACCATCCTCCGATTTAACAAACTCATTATAAACACCATTTGCCGAAAGTATAGTTTTCGTAACATGATCCGAGTATTCAGGTGATGATGTAGCAATGAGTGGGATGGCTCCAATAGGTATAAGATCATTTGTCAAAGATGGTGTTTCCAATGTTGAAGGTGAACAGTCAAAACTATATGGGCTTAGTGTAGATAAAACACCTAAAGCTTCTGTGCAAATCGATGGACAAGAAACTAATTTAATTGCGATATGTCCCACAAGTGTAGGGTAATGCTGGCGCATCACTGATTCAAACGCTCCCTTGAATGTAGTAACATCTGACTTTTTTGCAGTCATATCAATATTAGCATCTAAAACGCTTCCAGCATGGAACACAAGCACTAAGACGGTTATTGGGCAGGAACTATGGACTGGTGTATCAGGGCAACCATCAATGCTTGGATGACTATGTAAAGCCACCATTCTTCGTGAACCCCTTTCTGAAGTAACCCTTTTTAGGAATGTTGGGTTAAATATACTATCTTCTTGATTATGATCTCCTTGTGTGGGAGATATATCAATATCAGCTTCGTCCAAAGAGCACAATGATGACCATTTATTAAAAGAACTTTCACAATCATAAAACTCATCTTCTGATCCAGTTTCTGTTTCTGATTCTCTAACTAACGTTTCCATTCTCCAATTAGAAACTTGTGTTTGCAAATTTTTTAAAGAACCTGATGATGTTGATCTTAAATTTGTTTTGGAAGAACTCCTTGTTTCTATTGCAGGAGAGCCTTCATGTGATAAATGTTTTTGGGAATGTATTTCGGAATTACTTTTCTTTGTAGTGACTGGTGTGGCTAGATCTTCATTCTTTTCTAAACTACTCATAGTAGCAGCTAGAGATTTTGAATTGTCTTCAGAAATTTGGTCAGCTTCATCACTAGTCTCACCGCCCATTTTTTTCTTGAGAGCTAATTGTGTCTGTCTCTCAATTTCCCGGATGTCTTCCATTGTCAGACCATGCCACTCATCCTGCCATGCCCATACTTGACGATGTGCTCTAAGCATGGTTTTTCTTAGAGCTACATCATGTATAAATTTTTCAAGCTTAGTTTGCATACCCCAATAACGGAACTCAACTCTACAAAGCTTATAAGCACACATAAGTGATTTACCATTAGGCAATGGTTGCATTTTGCCTTGAACTTCTCTCCAATAATCTTCTAACCATGATTCTGTCAATGGCCCCCTATTGCATTTTTGTGAAACAAAAAGTTTTGGGTCCTCCTCTTTAACATAATCTGCACCATACAATTGATCTTTAACAACATCTATGAGATCAACTGTTCGACTTTTTAAATCACTACCGCTTAACTTGAAAACATTCTCTTGATGTCCATTGTCACCAAAATAATAAGTTTCAATCTCGAGTGAAAACTTTTCCACAAATGGGCATGTGTATTTCGTTTTTGTGTAGGGATATGCATTCCACGCTTCTTCAGATACAGTTAGGGCAGATTTTGGAAGCAAGCTCTTAAACCAACCAGGCAAGTGACTTCCTACATGATAGATTTTTTGTGTATACTGGCCTTTGCCCCCTGGGCCATTCTCATAAGGTTCATTTACTATAATTTCTACTCCACTTCCCTCACCAGAACTTTCTTCTCTGCTCTTTTTTGCTATCATGTAAAGTTGAGCAATACGATATTCTTCAACCGTAAGGGGCAATGGTATTCTATACTCTTTAATTAGCATTCTGACTTCTTTTGTTACCTCATAGGTGTATAACCATTGTAGTCTGAAAAAACAATTCTAAAATTAATCCTCAGTTATATATCCTTCATATATTGGATCTAAAATACCTAATAAATATTCATATAATACTTGTGATAATAAAACAAACATACCTCATACAAAGTAAAGGACAAAAAACATATTATTTGCTTAAATTAGTTTTATAGTAACATGAGAGACCAAATATTATATTTTTTATTTACAAATTATAATTTATATACAAAAGCAGGAAGTCATTAAAACATAACAAGTACATATAATTTCCTGTTAATTAGGTCTAGGTAAATGTTGAGTAGTTTATTCTACTGGACTTAAATTAGTCTCAAATAAATTATTATGTTGTGTATATTTTATTACCTATGCAAAAAAATACATAGAAGGTTACAACATGGCCAAAACTGATAATTGTATATTTAATAGGAATTACCGAAAGGAAATGCAATCAATAATTCCGTCAAATAAATACGCGCAAATATAAGGTAAATCCACATAGACAGATCACCGTTGATTAATGCTTACCGTTACTGAAGTGCACTTTATTCATTAAATCACAATCAACAGTTAATATCCCTAAAGACACATTACAAGTACTCCGCTGAAGTAAAACATTGCTTCTATTCGGGAAAGAAAAAGATATTACGTAGATAGCTAGTTACAGGCGAATTTCTTAGATTTTCCTATGCTAGGTATCAATTATCACTCGTATAATACTACACAATATGCACAATTTGCAATCACCACAACCCACAACTACAATGTAGGTATAAATCCTGTACCTACAACAACACGAACGAAACCTGCGAGCGAGACTAAACTACTGTAGTGAACTTTGACATTTTCACTTTCATACGCCGCGCCTCATTCCTCACTCCTTGTCATAGACTGTAAATATTTTAGACGGAGCGTGTAGTTTTTGACAAGTTTCAGTTTATGTTGTCTTCGCTTTTGGGGAAAGGGAAATAATACTTATCGTTTTCTTAATTAAATATAAAGATCTGAAAATAAACCTGACCTCAAAATTTATGCGTCATAACGTCACGTTTAAAATAAAAAAGAAGCTACTTTTATTTGGTCGTAACTGAGATTTTAATATAGGTATAGTCGTTTTTGCAACTAATACCAATTTAGTTTATTCTTTTACCGGATATCCAAAGCCAAAATTGTTTTCGCCAACGCATTTTGTTAAAATATTATTTAGACAAGTCTATCATAAAAAAAGAGACACTTTTTTTAAATGATCCTACGTATTGAGCCCTGAGGGGGCCTGGCTTAAAGAGACACACAAAGTATGATAAAGAACACTTTATTAAATACAATATTATTTTATCAAAACATCTTGTAAAAAATATGCTTATTATTATAAATATTAACAATATAAAATATCTTCTAACTCTAGGGTTCCTAGACGAAAGGCACATACATAGCACATCCAATAAAATATTAAGATTATTATATAATCAAGAAGCTTTAAAATTAATTAATACAATTAATTGTTAAGCTAAAACTAATTATAAATACCCATTAAAAGTATGAATACATACAATAAATAAATGCATTTTTGGATTAAATGTAAACATTTTACAAAACAATAACAAGTCTTGTCTTTTCAGCAACCCATTATTATCTCTTATTGAGCATTTCTATATATTAAAGGAGGCAATAATAAATGAACATAGCTGAATTTAACGTCACAGTAACTAATTTACTTATAAATAAATGTTGAAGCGAATTTTTTGGGTCAGTCTTAATCCCTTGTATTTGCATATTAAATCATGTACATAATTAAAAGGCACTGGGTAAAAAATTGTTGAACATGATTTTTAAACACTTAAAATCCCTGTTATATCAATGAAGGATTTATGCAATGCTTCAATAAACTGCTTGCTGTCATTGTGTTCCTTATAGCTCGTTACAGCTGCTCCCAATTTATCAGCGAAAGCGGAGTATCTAAAACAATTCAAATAGAAGCTATTAGGATATATATATTATTTGCATCTTACTATAATATGATACTTTATGTGATATTTTTACCGGAAACTGAAATACTTGTGGTTCTCAAGAAATTTATGTATGTTCAACACATTAAAACACTAACAAAGGCGGTAGTAGGTACTTACGCGCCATTATCTTGCCATTCCAATTTAAAGGCACTCTAGGTAATTTTCTATAATTATGACAAAAAAACTTACCCGATTCCGAAACCGTCTCGTGCTACAGGTCCAAACCCTCCCGCGAGCACAAATGGAGAAGATAAAGTACTTGTACTCAAAATTGACTTATTCAAGAAATTGTATTCATATGAGTCAAACATTTCTGGCCTTTGTAATTTATTGTCTTGGGCAATCTTCATGAGAGCAAAAAGGTGTCGGTCAAAACCCTGGCCCATTGCTGCTTCTTTTACTAACTCGCTGTGATATGAAGAGCATTCTGCCATCAGTTGTCGAAGGCTGTCTTTTGATGATTTGTTAGAATGAAGTTGATTACAGAATGCCTGAAACATGGTTTACTTTTATTGTAACAAGTTTTAGAGATTAAAAGTATTTGTACATCATAGACAATTTAGTCAAGACAGGAACGTAATTATAAAAGTATTTTTGTTATACAGCCATCATCATTATGCAATATAAAAGGACCATTAACAACAACACCACAATACCATATAATTTATATTAACTTACTTTAGTTTTGTCTGTGCAAGGTCGCATCGTCTCTGTTCTACCGTGTTTGAAAGCTGAAGTACTGCAGGATTCATATGTCCCCACAAATTTTCCATATAAAAGATGATAAGCAGCCTGAAAATGAAAAAATAATATTTTAAAAATCGAAAAAAATTGATTTTTTTTTATTTTTCAAATTTTAAATTATATAGTGCCTATATGTGCAACAACATGTAAAAAATAATAAAGTTTTCAGAATAATATTTATTTATTTAATTTTGTATATAGGAAATATATGTAACAAAAAGTATGTACCTAACAGAATTTTAATGTACAAAAAATATTTAGCAGGAGTTTACTTTCTATAAATATTCTTTAAGACATATAATTGGTACAGTTATTTTATTGTAATGTGTGTGAGTGATCTACGCAAAAAAATCATATACCTGAAATGATATCTGCATAATGCAGTCCGCGCTGACATTATACTTCTTACAAGCCTGTTTGTTAAGTCCTTCATAAAGTATGTAATCAATACTCAAAGTATCACACCATTCATTATAATCAATCTGTGCATTTTTAATACATTCTTTAGTTTCATCATCTAAGTTGAATTCTGAAAACAAAGACCAATTAAAATCATAAAATATCAAAACAACAAAATATAATTTATCATACAAATACATATATATAAAAATTACACCGACCTAATTTCTTAACACTAATATTGTTCTCAGAAGGTTTACTCTCTGGATGTATAAATGGTCTGTTTGTAATCTCAGCATATGTGTCTTTAAAGAATCGTAATACAGCTACACCATCTCCCCATGAATGCTCAAAGTTAATTCCAGAGACCCCATCTTTCGTCACTATAACACTAAATGATTTGTCAAACCACCTGTAAGTTATACAAATTTAATTTAATTATGTTGTATAACATAAATAACATAAACAATATTTATATGTATGTCACTAAGTTAAACTCTAGTGGTATTTATAACAAAGAGTATCTAAAGAAAAATTATTTAACTAATATATCTTGTTAAAATATATAATCAAAGTGTGAAATAAGAATAATCAAGTAAAATACATTAAAACAATACCTATTATTTCCATCTCCATGTAGAAAAAGCTTGAGGATTTTATGCTTATCGTCTTGAATTGATTCATCATCCAAGACAAGATTAAATATTGCAGAATCAATCTTTTTTAATGCATCTGCATTACCTGTTTCTTCTAAATGCCTTCTTTGTTGGGCCCAATCATTTCTATTCTGACAAGTTAAAATACCTAAAGGATAATCATTTCTTTGTGTTGTGTCATTGACTATTTTTGCCATGTTTCCAAGTATTTCCTCAGGGCTAAGTAGATTTCCTACAATAAAATAAAATCTCTGAATAGATAAAATGTTTGTTACATGAGAATGTATATAACATATTTATGTAAGTTGTTACTAGCATATAAACCTACTTTGTAGCAAAAGCCCTGGTATGAATTTCAAGGAAGTTAAACAAGAACAAAAATATGTACATATCGCTTTAGGATATAGGATATTGAGATCTGTTTATTTATTTAAATTACTTTTATAATACTAAATTATTATCGAGTAATCATATTTAATCTTTGTAATTAAAAATTAAAGTATTTCATTATAGGGATAACAAAAAATATTGTTAAAATATGGAAAATAATTACCATTAGAATCTAATACATCAAACACATAAAAATGTCCATTCTTTTGCACAACAACATGTTTGCTTGCAGGGTCTCTGAAAATCATGTCCTTGTCAATCTGAGGTATTCTTGTAGCGTTAAATAAGCCTGAAAATTGACTCATATCTAACGGGAATGCTTTAAACAAGTACGCACCATACCTAAAAAGAATCTTAGTAAACAATCTTGTCATGCAAAAAAATGAAAATTTCATTTAAATACATACCATGATAAGCTCTCTGGTAAAAGACCAGTTACAGTTCTGAATAGTTGAGTATCACTCTTCTGAGGTTGCATGTGAAATATTTCAGGTTCAAGTATTGACTGACGCATAGAAAGCATAAATCTAGAAGCTGTTACCAATATATTTGTTGCCCGGATGAGTTGATTTCTATATTCAGGCCTTGTATCATTTTGAAATACCAACAATGGATTATAATTGATGGGCAAAGGTTGACGATCCCGTAAGTATAGATCAAACCAATAGTCTGATATGTAACTTGTATGTTTGTTTGCCTTATCCTTTTGTATTAATTTAGCCTGTAATTCTTTACCTTCGTTCTGAATAAATTTATTAGTTCGTTTCTCAGCGTCAGCATATTGAGCGGAGCTTAGTAACGGTCTTAAGGCATTCAAATACCTTTCTCCTGTTTTAGGCAATTCCGGAATTGGTAGCCTAGGGATTGACTTTTGAAAATGCATTGTTGGTAGCTTGCTTTGTTGCAAGTATTGATAATTTTTGTCCCGAACATGTTTAGTTGAATATCTTTGTTTTAAGCTCTTAGTCACTATTCGACCAGTACTAGGCTGCTTAAATACTCTTAACATATTTTTTAATTGTACTTAAAAAAATATATAGAACAAGAAACAGACAGGCAGAGTTAATAATTTTAATTACGTACCAAACTTAAACTTTTCTTTTATACGTATAAACTATTAATTGTAGCAATAAAATAAAATGTACAAATAAACAAGTGTTCAAATTAAACTTAAACTGAAAAACGTAAACAAAAAATCTGGTCAAAGTACATAAGTGACAAGTCAAAGTCTAAATTCCGAAACAATACGAATTTGAAAGAAGTACACGTAGAAATGTATATAGTACGTCTGTATTAGTTATTGAACCATTTTGTATAGATACATAATAGATATGCAATATAATTATGCACAAATAATTACAATAGATGTAATTGGCGTTGACATTATCATCGCTAAAAGTTTATTACAATGCTATAAAATTAGATATTAAGCGTTTTAGGTAATGTTGTCATTTTAAAAGGCAAAAATATATGTGAGAAAAGCCGGAGCGTGATTACTTATATCATTATCTGTGAATTAACATTGATTTTGTTTATTTCACAAATCTGTGTCTTTATCTGTAAAGTCATGAAATGTCAAAGCTCTAATTTTAGAATGACATTTTCATTCAATTTCAAATATAAAACTAGCCAGAGTTGTTACATGTACATATAATTCAAATACCAAAAGAGTATTATTTTATAAATGAATAAATCGAATTGGTATGTAAAAAAAAATAGCTAAGGTAGTTAATGTTTAGTTTATCCAAGAATTACTAAATACCATCTTATTTAACTTTTTAGATACAATAAATTCTTGACAACATATAATATCTTGAATGGTGGTGCTATTTTTGTATCTTAGGTCAAATGTTGGCCATTATTTTGAGTTTACATCTAGTTTAATGTTTACTCATGTCTTTACTAGAGAGTAAGATGAATGAATCGCCGGAGACCAGCAACGGCAATCCTGCTACAGAACTTGAGACTTTGGATTATCTGCATGGTGTAAAATCATCAACATGTCTTCTTTTAACTCCGAGCCCGACAACTTTAGACTTCAAGCACCCACTTTCTGAAGAAATTACTGATAGTGCATTTTTAACACTAAATGATGACACTAAAAGTATTAATATTGGAAATTCTGGTAAGTATATACCCAATTTTATATACTTTTGCATCACCAGCAGTGTATGAACTACAACAAATACGAATATTCTTAATTTCTTTATTGCAAAAGCATTAAATGTCCTCCAAAGATAAAGTGCCTCGATTGACTGTGCCTTAGTTGACCCAATTACTATTGTTGATAAAAATCTGTTTTTTATTATATTCCTTATGTTGTCTTGTACTAATATATCTATATTAATTTCTTATCCAAAGAGTGTCACTTTAAAAGTAATAATAATTGTTACTATTCTAGAGGTAAGCGCTGGAGACTCAAGTTCCTCAGGTGACTCTAATTCAGTTGCACAGGATCCTGTTAGTGCACAGCTTATAAATAACATCAGTATGCTTGACTATCAGACTCTCAGTAAGAATGGAGATATAATATTAGGACAGGTAAATATTTTTTAAGATTTAATTCAAGATCTAATATTAAATGAGGTTTAAATGACTCAAATGCCCAAACAAGAACAGAAAATTTATTTAGACACTGAACTAATGAAAAATATCATGCAGAGGCATTTTGTTGTAATTTTGGGACAAATTTAAACTGAAACTATACTTATATCAAACATGTAAAAGACCAATTCTTTCTAATTAGATCCAATGATTTTGAATTGACTTATTGATACCAATTGAACAAACACAATGAACAATTCTCATACACTTGTGGATGTTATTCACTATTTGAGACTTCTCTGGTTACTTCATTTTTACCTATGTACTAAAAGGAGTAAGTATTTGAAGAAAATGAAGTAAAATTGTTTTTTCAGCCTGAAAGCAAACTTAATGGCAGTTTTAGTGTCAACAACAGAAAACTGCCAAGTTTTGTCACATGGAATTGGCCATTTATCAGAAATATTCTTCTATGGATTGTCCTATCAGGTCTCATTGCGTGTTTGGCAGCCATCATAACTATGATTGTAACTATACCTAAGACCTGTAATCCAAATCTGCCATGGTATCAAGGTAAGGTATTCTACGAAATATTTCCTGCAAGTTTTAAGGATTCAAATAATGACGGATTTGGCGATTTAAAGGGATTAATAAAGAAATTGGATTATATCAAAGAATTAGGCAGCTCAACTATTCGTTTGAATTATATTTTTGAAGGACCTGATTATCCTGTTCACTTTTATAATGCGACTAATATGTTACGAATCGATAGAAGTATTGGCGTTTTGAAAGATTTTCAAGATCTAGTAACAGAGCTTCAGAACCGCGAAATGCATATTATTCTCGATATGCCTGTAACAAGTTTAATTCATTCTGGAGCATTTGAAGTCTCTAATCAAACTGCATTTGGCTTCAATGACTCAAGTCTATCAAATATTGATAGAACCACCATGTCCATTATGTATTGGATATCTGAACAAAATATTGATGGACTCTACTTGAAAGATTTGGAAAATTTTGTGGATCATCCAAATTTTGGGAAAACATTACAAGTCTGGAAACAGCTATTAGGCAATGACAAAATTTTAATGGCCAATGAGGCAGCACTCAATATGGCTAAAGGCGAGAGTCTCACAGTTTTGTTAAACAGAGTTGATCTTATTGACATTCACTTGGATTTAAAAGAGGGTATAAAAATTGTCAAGGATAAAATAGATTCGGTGACATCAGGAATTCTTTGGGAGAGACCCCATTATCCCTGGGTTCATTGGAATGTTGGGAATATACATAGTGAAAGGATTTCAACTAAGGACTTGAATAATACACTATCCACGATAGCTTTGGAGATGGTATTACCAGGAGTTGTTGGTATATTCTATGGCGATGAAATCGGGTTGGGAAGTTTAGAAAAACATGAAATCGAATCTGACTTCCATGAACACGAGCACGTGCACAATCTACCTACAATGTCGTTCTCTGACCATGACAAAAATGGTGCAATTCTGCCGTGGAACCAACAATCTGTTTTGAAGCCTAGATATGAATATTTGAGTGCGATAAGGCAGTTGATTCAAATGAGATTGGATACACCCACGATATATTTACGGGGTATTTATAAAGAGGGCAATGTTCTTAAGAATATAGACATTCGTAAGACCGAGGAGAATCTTTTTGTAGTTGAACGGTGGTTTCCTCGTAGGAACACGTGTGTCTTTGTTGGTAACTTCGGCCGCGAAGTGATAACAACAGACCTATCGACTATGTTTTATGGTGGGTTAGTTGTCGGTGCCACAAACACGTCTCTAGTTGGCCAACTGTTATATTTTGATAGCGTTACGTTTCAGCCGAATTCGGCAATCATTATAAAATTAGAAAAGTAGTCTTCAATACAGTTTTTAAGTAGTAAGTACTATTACTCATGAGAAACCAGAACCATAGGTATTATCAAATCTAGTCCCATTTGTTCCTTCACATTGTTTTAGCTACAAATAGCACAAAGTACTAAGCCAAATATCGTAACAGTATTAGAATGAATCTTATAAGTAATTTTAAAATTACTTTGTAAATTAATATATTGTTCCTTTACCATGTTTTACTAAGTTTAAAGGTGTTAAGTATTAATCTTATATGAATCTCAATAGGTACAACGCTAAGCTCAAAACTTTTGTTAATATGATATTTTTGTTATAAGGGAATGAAGAAAAACAAAAAGCAAGTTCTTTTCAAAGATTTACTATGTATTTGTACACAATAAACGTTCGATGTACTTACAATATCTTTATTATCAACAATCTCCTATGTACATTTTGTGGTGAAATAAATAATAATTGTAAAATTATTAAATTTCTATCGCTAACTACAACTTAGCTATGACTTTAAATTTACATATTCATTAAATATTTTAATAAATGTTTCAGATAAATATTGAGTATTTTACTTTATCCGTTCACTATTTAATAGTGAATCTTTCACATTATTTATGTTACTGTGGATGGTTGTGCGTTTTCATATTCTAGTTTAATGTACTTATAAATAATGCTACAGTAGAAGTGAGAAATCTTTGCAATAAATGGGTAAAAAATATAAACAAAGTTTTTAGTTAAAAGATTAGATGAGACTATAGTGAGAAAAATAGCATATTCATTCATACTCAAACATCCCTTTTTTCCAAAAAAGTTCCACAGCAATTTATTATACAACCTAAATATTATGTGTTCTTATTAATAAAAATTATAGCATTCCGCAGATTTCATGTTGGCTAGGGAATGTACGTCGTTCAGTCTTTGTTGTTATGAATAAGTAAATAAGAGGAAAGTTCATAGCACTGGAAGGATTCACAAAAGAGCCCTAGTACGAGTGATCGGGGGTGAAATGTTTTTATAATTATTTATTTACAACATATTTTGGGGTGGCAATTTTTTGTACACTCATACTTAGGGTTACAGATGAGCATGTCCATCATGAGCTCGGTTGAGTTCTTTTAGTCTTAACAACACTTGGATGCATCACATAAGTGTTTGACAATGCTCTCGGTGTGTGACTTTCTGAACCTGGTAGGGCTGGTAGCTTATCTGTTGGATTCCTCACTAACACCCTCTTTTGAGTACCTGTGCTTACTTTTCTGCTACCAAGGTCTGGCTTCTTAACATCTATATTATCGGTGGTGCTTTGATCGGATTTAGCGCTTTTACGATCACTGTCACATTCTGCAGTCGGCTTTAGTTTCGGAGCCCCGAAAGCCTTAGTTTGTTTCAGTAGTGATCGGTCATTGCATAAGGCGGCTATTAAAGGCAAATCCAAATTCTTGCTCTTCTCTCTAAGAGTTTTAATATCTAGATCACAATTGGCGGAATCGCTCGTCCTACTCACACTATTTTCTCTATATGTACTACAATTTGGGAGTTTAATCTCTTTCAAATGAGATGGAATCTTTTTCTTATGTTCGTAAGGAGGCGGTGGAGGCGGCGGCATTCTTCTCATTTTCAAAGGCGGTGGGTCCTTAATTATAATCATATTTTCGTGTGATTTAGTTCGAATAAAGTTCGGAGCCTCTGTGATGCGTGATGGTATGGGCGGTCTCTCTAGATTAATGGAATGACTACTTGTAGAATTACGACTAGTCATCGAGTACCAACTAGCACGTGTCCCTGGTATTTGAACGTAGGAATCCGACAAGTTCTGAATGGATCCATATGTGGAGGAACATGAGAGTGACGTGGATAAAAATGGCGTACTTCTATAATGTAAGCCGTTTTTGTGCATATTCGAAATTCTAGATTCTGTCAGCTTGTGATCGAGGTAGTTCTGTTGTGAAACAGATGGATCTTGAAGGGGATAGTATACGTAGTCTACGTCACTATATAACTGTTGGTGAAACATAGAGTTGTGTGGCGGGGGTGGAGGTGGCAGTCTTGTCACTGGAGGTGGAGGAGGTAATCGTGTATGTCGAGGTGGTGGCGGCGGTGGTGGCAACTTCATCATCGCTACTAGAACGTTTGAATTTATACTCTGAGGTGCTTCCCTCGAAGGAGATAAATTGGTGAGACCTTGAGCTAACTTTGATCGCTCAGCTCTCCGACTTGACGCTTGATGTCGTTTAGACTTTTGAAATCTATGCTCTAAGACCATCGGACTGGCAAAGGTACGTTCCCCTGATGTATTAACTTCTCCAGCTTCAGCTTTAAGGATAGTTATCATAGGTTTTGATGTGACTACCCTAGCTTCCACTTCCTCTTTTTCTGTGCTAAGTTTTGAGAGTACACTTGAGCTACTCATACCTGGATATGCGGGAGGTGGTTTAGTAGGGGTTGAGGTAGAAGAGGATAATGTTTTATGATTGTACTCATATGGAGGTGGAGGCTTGTCAGGGTATCTGGGGAAAGCTGACGTGTTTTCATCTAAATCCAACATATTGGGCAACGATAAATGAAAACCTTTTCTACTGTCCAAACGAGTCGGTGGCGTCGGAGGACGATCAAAAAATGAATTATTAATGTAACTGTCTCCAGAATTCCTGTTGTCACGATTTTGTAGAAAACGCTCTCCTGTTGATGGCAAGGGAATTCTCACGTAATCTGATACTGAATCGAATGTATCACTAACAGATTGTGTTTTTGGGTATACACCCCGGCCTACTATTAAATCACTTAGTTCACTAGCACTGAGGATGTTATGTTTATTATCGGTAGGATCACTTCCATCGCCATGAAAGGAATTTGCGCTTACGTTAGAGTTTGTGCGTTCGCGAAAATTATTTTCTTTAATTTCACTTTCAGTTTGATTACAGAACTGAGTTATTCCATCTATACAATCTGAACTAGATTGTGCTACTCGACTTCTTTGTTTCGTAGGAATAACAGTCCTTTCCGATTTGTGTTTCAGAATTGACGATACGCTGTCAAAATCTGCTAGGTCATTATCTTTATATCTTTCGTATGAACCGCAGTATTCTGTTCGACTTCCTTGAGAAATAGAATAAGGCTTTGATCGTGCTGTTAATTCCGAGCTGCCCATTGTGTATACACCACTTGTTTCACTTGAAGCAGCCACAGTTACTGCCTCCCCGAGGCCGTCGTAAAGTGCAGAAGCTGTATCCTGTGTATATTCGATGTCTATGCCAACTGTGCTGTTATCGCTTAGTATCGAATTTTGGGCAGTGTGACTGTATCCCAACTCTAAACTACTTCCATTTGATACTCTGCTAAGAGTACTCAAGCCGGTTCTTGCCATTATGACTGTACTACAAGATGAGGAACATTGCGATCCAGTGCATTTTATATTACTAGACGTAGGACTATCCGTTAATGCTTCACTAACGTTTTGATCGGTTTCATTTAATTTAGTTCCCGGTTCTTGTAGATTTTCGAAAGGCGGGTCATTTTTAGATATTTTATCAATGTCTTCTTTGCTCTTCTTTCTAGCTTTAGATTTTTGAATTTGGAGCGAAGATATTTTGTATGAGTTTGAACAATCTAATAAATGAGCGAATGCTAAACTTTCCGTTGATGGAGCAGGAGGCGTATCTATCATAATCTCTAGTTCATCTTCAGATTGAACTCTGTCGCTTACAATTCCGGAAGTAGTATTAGAACTCGTAGATGATATGAGAGAAATTCTTTGTTCACTCTTATTTTTATTATAATTTAAGCTGAATGATTTCGAATAGGCAAAACAATTCTTTCGTTCGTCTTCTTCTTTAGTTAAGATTTCATTCAACTTAGATGATATTTTCATAGAAAACTGATGCGTTTCCTTACACAGTGCAAATAAATATTTGCATTTCTCCTCGCTGGAGGAATATAACGTGAATTTGCCTTCTTCTGTTCTAATTTCAAATTTCTTTCGATCAAAACTTAATTTACCTATAGAGCTCCAAATAAAATTTGATGTACAGCCATTGTCGGGTAGAATTTTAATGCCCTTAGCCGTGACTAGTAACCATACGGTGCCCGGTTCCTGTTCGGTTTTCGATTGCTTCAGCCTATACCTGTGCGAGTTTATTGTATCAGGTAGAAGGCATACTTCACGAATGAATCTTGTTTCCGCGTCCGTTTTTGTTAGGCCTCTATGTTCTCGATGGCAGGCTCGGACGGCAGCTGACACCCAGTCCCCAGTCAAAGAAGACGGAGCATAATCTTCAATCTTAAAGTATTCCCTGTTTTCATAGCATTCTTCATCTCCGTAGTCAGCCTGTAGAGCTAACCCGATGAGGAGTAAAAGTATTTCTACTGGTAAAGCGTCCCTTGAACGTATATTGTGAAGAAGTTGGAGGAAATATAAATGGCGCCCAACTTCATCGTGTAAAAGTAGAGGGCTCTCCACGTGGAATTGTACGACTAGGTGAAGTTCAAGCAGCGGCTTTCCATTAGCGTCTAAACCCTGTAATTAAAAAAATGTTACTTATAACATTTTTTTTGGGGCAAAATAATTTTGCGGCTAACTAAACATTAACATACTGTGAATAAAACTTACATGAGTATGGGATGATCTCCAGCCCTTTGGTGCATATTTTGATAGTTTACTCTCTAAATCAACGAATAAGTACTCCCCATCTGAAAGTAATATGTATAACATTTAAAATATTAGATTAAAGTACTTTCATTGCTGTCCATTTCATATTCATTCCATTTAATTATGAATATAACCTCATTTCTAAATTACAGAAGTGTCAGTAAGAGTTTGCTTACTTGAATTCGTTTAATTTTAAAAATAATACCCTATTTGAAGTGAAATATCTTAAATACTGTCTATAGCTTACGCGAGTAGTACACATTTAAATATATTACTTTGTAAAATAGCCAATCCAAAGAGCTCTTTGTCGGTCATGCCTTGTAGTTGCGCGTGGGTATTTGCCAATGTTTTTAGTTCTTTGACTTTTGCCTTCGCTTCTACAACAAAGTGGATGGGCTGAGGCTGGCCCGGCATTCGCAGGGACAAGAGGCGGGCGCCTGCGCCGAGCGCGCGCGTCTCCCCGCCCAACGGCCCGCGAACCGAACACAGAGCACGCATGTCGCATCTCGACACCCCTATTACACTCCCTGGAACAAGACAAAAGACATTCATCATCAGAATTTGACTCCTCTCTACACCTACACATATATCATCTTAGATTAAGTGTAGAGAGTATGTAGAACATAAATTCGCACCCTTTTTTAAGTAAATACTTGCTTACTTTGTAAATCATATGTTGTACATATCGACCTCAATCACAATTATAATTAATTGCTTAATATTCCAATCATTAACAAATATAAACGAGTAACTAACACGGTAGTAATCCATATCATTATTTAATAATAAAATGTATGATTTATTCAATTAAATATCGAGCACGAGGTAGTGAATATTAGAAAAAAACAGTGAACTTTTCATCTTCCTAAAAAGTAACTTTGTTCAATGTTTTTGTTTATATCGTCTACGTAGTTTTATTCTATTTTTATTTATTAAACTGTTTATCCTCCCACTTTGAGACTACGCAGCAATAATAAAAATATTCTATTAAAGTATATCCACGGCTGTGTGAGGAATGTTCGGATCTCGTAACATCTGTGCATTCCACACTTTTTTGTTCGACACAACTTTTTTCTACCTGCAGCTTTGGCGATCGCATTGTTATCTCGCTATATCTTATTATTATTCACAATATCATCTACAGGCTTACAGTATTATCCGCTCCGAGAATAACGGATCTGGTTTTATTTAGTATGGTAAATTGATTTCAAACTTGATCTGCAGCATATTCCACGTGAGGCGATTCGTCTATTTATATCTTACTATGCACTATATAATTAATATGTCATTGATAATTTGCCAATTCAAAATAATAAACCTGTTGGTTAATAATAAAAATTTACTATCCTCGTGTTGATAAAGGGATCGCCAACGAAATTCAAAGCGTCGGGCGAAATAACAAGAATGTTGCGCTACGAACTCGCCTTATACTGTATGTATTATAAAACGTTTCTTGGAATGTAGCACCGCGAGATCGCTTCGAAAAAACTAGACGCGAATAAATTTCATCGCATCCGGTACCTCTGCGGCTCAGCGCTTGATAGCCATAAGAACATGTTTTTTGTTTTAGTAAATGCGCGATAGTTTGTGATGGCGGCGGGCGAGGTGAGGCGAGGGCGGCGGACCGGTTGGGCGCTCTCGGAGGCGCTACGTAAGCGCGGTAGCAGCGGACGGCGACGCGAGGAATGCGGACGACCTTCAGACCGCCCCCCTTCCTCCCCCCTGGCCCCAGCCGCATCTTGCGTCCTCGCATACCTATGGACGTCGTTGCCTCCACTTTTCGACATCTCGCTACCACTTTTGACACTCGCACGTTGTTATGATATAATGGACGGAATTTTAAGGATTGTCGTACGTGTTCGGATTTCGTGTTCTTACTATTGTTTGTGCAACACAAGCCTAACAATGGTAGCATTCTTATTGCGCAGTTGCCGAACAGACGATCTGCGATTTCAATAAGTTTTTCAGTAAGATATTTAAATATCAATAGAAAAGAATTATATTACTACTTTGTATAATTATACTGTTTTGATTGCAATTTAAAAGAATTGCTACATTTCATTTGGTCGGTTTCAAAATGACTACGGCTAGATATTTTACTTTGCTAATACGCGTCGATAAATTCCTGATTCCCTATAACGATACCATTTTATTAAGTGTGACATGTATATTTTGAAATATCAATCTACCGTCATACTTCACTTTTAGAGTATCTACATACGTATATAGGGAGCAGAAGTTATTTTAACATGAAGATCTTTGATATTAACTGTAAATTTTATAATAATACACAACGAGAAACATGCCGCTTTACAAAAATCGCATGGCGTTTGTGATAGTAATATTGTGGATTATGTTCTCCTGCTAAGCTACGAACGTCATGCTCACGTCAATAAACACAGTTCGTATACACTCTCTTATCTTTACTGTTTTACTTGTATGTTTTTTAAAGTCTTATTAACGTCAGCATTGTCGTATGCATATTCAATTTGTCAGGCTTGATTAAAGCTCTTGGCGCAGGTATTTGCATCAAACATTAAGTAAAATATTGCTAATACTAATGTTGAGTTTAAAGTTTTATACAAAGCGATTAATTAGACTAGAACTAATACACTTTAACGGTTTAAAACGCGATATATTAGTTAAGTAATTAAAGTTTTAAAGTGTTTAATTTAAATAAATTTAATAATACTACTCGCGTATTTAGACTAGAACTATATAAATAATTTATTTGATTCTAGGCTAATTTTTTGGTCAGCTATATCGATCTTTAGTTCGCCTCTTTGCATAGATTTATTAATTTCACTATATTTATAAGCATTGTCTATAATACGCGAGTAGTACACATTTAAATAAACACTTTTAACGGTTTCAAACGCAAAAGATACTAGACACCACACGACCACGGCTGCTGCAATGCATCCGCAACGTGGACTCGTAGGTAAAATTGATAAAAAGTAAGTTTGACTAATATACATCGCGTTTTAAACCGTTAAAAATATTTTATTTAAATTATCTATTTGTATTGATTAATTTTGTCATTTGCTGACTATGTATTTAGATTTCGGGAGAATGTCTTTTACACGTGAACTTTTTAGTACATGTGCGTAAATTAAATTAGACTATTACTTCCCGCCAAAGATTCATGCACTGACCTGAGCATTCTTGAATTAGAATTCCGAAATGCTGATCAATGCATATTTTAGCATGGATCAGTCTATCTTGCATAATTGCATTTATTTCTCAGAATCACAGGACTGGTTTTATTTCAAAATTTCTTTGAATATCTTCGTTTTGTAAGTTTCTATGTAGCTTATTACGCAATAAAAATGCTGGATACCTACTTAGGTATGTGAAGTCAATCGCTAGATGTATTTACACGCCGCGCTATCGCAGGAATGCGGTCGCAGCCGTTTGTAGCCTGTTTATGAGTTAATGAATCATATTTTTCTATATCAATCATGAAACTAAGGTTTTATGGCCGTAAACCATTTTTAAGGTTGCATTACCTTCTAATAATGATATAGTATATCGTCACACAGTTATAATCATTAGAAAACATAAAAAACAGCTTCCTTCCTTCGACATATACCCAGGTATTTAGGGAAAAAATATAATAGGCACTAGAAGTTCTACGAATATGATAAATACAGTTTGATATGTAATTAGATACTCAGCTTATAATAAAGACCAAGTAATAATAGATAATGCGCATTTGTAACTGAGCAGGTATAATAATTTCTTAGATCGTTAGACGGATTACAATACTGTGTTTGGTATTGGCATTCCAGCGGTTTGATTAAATTAGTAGGTTTATACTTTCCAGAGGCTTAAGTATCTACGCCATTAAATAGTCAGAATAAAACTGTAATAGTATTAGGTATTTGACAGATTGCAATGGCTCCAAGTGCGTGTTTTCTTGTTGATTAATAATAATCGATATGAATCCCAAACACAATACTGTGGTCTCGTGGAATAGTAGAAAGAAGAAGGGCGGCAGGGTCAGCGGCCGCAGTGCGAGCGCGGAATGCGAGCTATGTGTATGAAATGAAAGTGGCCGGATCGTGAAAGCGCGCGCATCCAAAGCACCCATGGATCGAAGACATATCCAGCACTCACCATCAATAAACAAATCCAATGTTAAGTCGCTATAGCACTTGGGTAAACCGCATCCATAGGCACTACACAACACTCGCGTTCACACCGGTTAACATGGAGCGCGGGTGCGCGGGCGCATAATCTCTATAAGCGCGTAGAAACGACTGAGTGAAGTGAAGAAGGCGCGTGGGTCGGCGAAGGCATGAAGGCACGCGCGGGGCGCGCCGCGGCTTCGGCTCGGTGGAATGCGGCATGATAGTGGCGCGGATGCCCGCTGGAACGGGCTGCACGAAGCCTCCTCTGTACGCGTCTTGCCGGCGTCACACTCGCGGAATGCGCGGCCAAACCGTCGAATTGCCCATCACATTAATATTACATTAATTTGCATTAGATAAAACGAGGTGTCTGATTGCTTTGTTTTATAACTGTAAATGTTAATTTTCGATTATACAACTTCAAGTTGGAAACAATGTGCTTTAGCTCTATTGGAACTACGAAGTACTAATCTATAATTTACAAAATAAATAATTTAGTAGCTTAAATTGTTACCATTAAATCAGTTGTTTAGTTATTTCGTAAGTTTAAACATCTCGACTTTCTATTCGTCACAATATGTATATTACACTAATTTGCATAAGATAAAACAACGTCTTTAATTGTTTTCTTTTAAAGTGTGAATGTTAATTCACGATTAGGTTAGGCTACATAAAGTTTGAAACATGCTTTAATCGCATTAAAAGTTAAAACCAATGAGATATTTAGTATCAACTTACAAGTTACATTACGAGAAAGAGAACAGATTTTGTGGGTAAATCGATTGCAAACTTACTTTTAAAGTAAAAATTGTATGTTTATTTGAGTATTGCTCAAAAACTCATGAGCCGAGTTTAATTATTGATTTAGGAAGGGTTCCCAATGTCCAAAAATCGAAACCGAATTATTGTAACTTGATGGTATATTTATTAAAAATCAAACGACGTAAAAGGACGGAATACATATTTTTACATTTTATTCCCGCTTGATATTCATATCAGAGATTTATCTCTACCTGTTATTTTAAAACTGTGTCTATTGTGTAAAGTATGTATGTGATGTATAAAAGCTTTTTCAAGGAAACAAGAAATATAAGACTTGTAATATCTATGATAATATTAATCAAAAAGGCAATTAGTAGTAGTAGCCTAGTATTCACCAGACACCATATCCAGTATAGTGTTTAGTGTCCCGCCAAATGACGTTTATTGATATTTGACAGCGACACAGATATTGATTATTGACATTTGTCATCTTCAATATGCAACTTACGTAGGAATGACGGCTGACAGAATAGACAGAAAGGACGATTTTTTCGAAAATCTATTTGCTATACATAATAATACACGTAAATTAATCAATATTATTGAACACCTGATGCAATCGTTGGAAATTTGCTTGCGCGATAATAACATTGAACAGTTTGTGTCTAGTTAACAAACGTACGAACGCAGAAGTGCTAAAAAAATATTATTAGGAAGATAAGTTCTAGACAAACAAATATTAAACAAAGAGTTAATAATTCCATTGTCGACGATTCACACCAAAAGGATAATGAGAATAACTACTAGTGTACGCAAGAAAACTATAGTCCTGTGTATTGAGTTTTAATATTCATTGTTTGTAAACAACAAGATGATTTTCTCCAAGGCAGTGTTGTCTGTAGTGTGTGTACTTTTATTACTATCCATATTTATGGCTAGTTTATTAAATACCATAGCTACAGATCATAATTATTACAATGAAAATAAAGATGAGGGGGAGAATTTTACACAACATTTAGCTAACAAGTACGGTCGAATTACAGACACCACAAAGAATCTTATTTGGTTTCTACAGGTCAGTGACATATAAGAATCTGTATTATTAATTATAAACATATCGGAGGCTTTTGCCCTAATGAGAGACAGAATTAAGAGTTTGCTTCTGTAATCTTTGATTAGGAAAACAAAGCTCTTTTGTACACTAAACTAATTACTAAACATTTACCTACAGGTGGTGAATACTGTTATTTGACAGCTAAAACTTTGTTTTACAATTACAGATCTCTGACATACATATTAGTATATTCCGGGATCCTGGTCGGATATCTCAATTCCAGCAATTTTGTGATAATACAGTAAAGAAAATTAAACCATCACTTGTTTTGGCTACGGGAGACTTGACTGATGCTAAAGCTAAAGATAATCTTGGAAGTTCTCAAGTTAAATCTGAATGGGTATATTACCATAACATTATAAAAGAGTCTGGAATCACCGAAAAAACAACTTGGTTAGATATAAGAGGAAATCATGGTAAGTATTTATATAAGGAATTGAATGAGTTATAATTTTATTATTATTATTATAATCACCTCCAAAGCTCAAATCTCTTGCCTACATGCAATAAGTACAATAAGGTTGTTGTTTGATATCCCTATCTATCTATAATCTAAAGAATATCCTTAGAAAACTTTATTATTTTTTACATGTTATTGCACATGAAGCATGATATAATTTATTTTCGATTCTTTTTAAATTATAAAGAATATCTTTCATATCCCTTATTTTTTACATGTTATTGCACATGAAGGCACGATATAATTTATTTTCAATTCTTTTTAAATTATAAAGAATATCTTTCATATATGCCCTGCCCTATATAGGGCCTGCTTGTAAATTACTAAGGTTAATGTAATGGACATAAAAATGTATCTCATTCTATGTTCTGCAGAAGAAAAATGTCATTTCATACATATATTGAGCAATCTTGAGACATATAATATTAGTGTCAGAATTAGGAAGATTATCATTTTCTGATAATCTTAGAAATTTTAGATAACATATGTTATCAGGAAATTTGGCTTATATACCTTTCTATTTAAAATTTGTTAATAATTCAATAATTACTAATCAAATAATTACTTTACAGAATGTTAATGTTCTAATGTTCATCAATGTTTAAGTAATATTTTCTATTTCAGATAACTTTAATATAAGAACATTGAATTCTCAAGAAAACTATTTCCGAAATTATTCAGTACAAGGTGTTAGTAATGCAAAATCTTATGTTCACATCATAGATAAAAATGGTGTAAGGGTAGCGTTTTTGGGGATTGATGCTTGCCCTGAGCCGGGCCTCAGAAGACCCTTTAATTTCATTGGTATCTTAGATGGTCAAGAACAGCAATATATCCAGAAACTTAAACAGGAAGCAGAGAGTAAAGCTGATCATATAGTATGGTTTGGACACTATCCAACATCATGTATATTGTCTTTAGAGTGGGAGTCTCAAAGACTGAATGTAAGGCAAGTTATTGGTAGTGCAAGTGGATCGCAGGTTTATGTATGTGGTCACTTGCATTCCATGGGAGGTCTTGTACCAAAAATGTATACAAAACATAAAAAAGGCTTCTTAGAGCTGGAGCTAGGCGACTGGAAAGACAATAGAATGTATAGATTAGCAGCAATAGATCATGGAATATTCTCCTTTGTAGACCAAAAGCATAATACTTGGCCTATAGCTCTTGTTACTAATCCTAAACATGCCAGATATGTAATGCCTGGAAGGGAACCATTGGGTTTAATACCTCATTCCACTCATATAAGGATATTAGCATTTAGCGATGTCAAAATGGAGAGTGTTAAAGTTTCATTTGATAAAATTAGTTGGTTGGATTGTAAATCTGCAGATGGGCCGTTATATGTATGCGATTGGCTACCACACTTGTTTTCAAGTGGACTTCATAACTTGCATGTGAAAGCTGTAGATGAGATTGGCAGGGAAGCAAATTTAACCCATCCTTTTACTTTAGATGGTACTGTGTTGAACTTTGATGTGACACCGAGAGTCTTACTTATGCTGGATGCAGGATCTGTGGTAAGTTAGATAGAGGGATAAAAGTTTGATATTATTGTATGAATAATTTAAGAAATAATAAATTTATAGATCTTTTTCAGTTTCAGGCTGTGTTTGGAACTCTCCTCATAATAAATGTCATACCTCTAGTAATTTTAAGGATTCAGAAGAGTCCACCAAAGTATAGAAGGAAATGTGGCCGTCAAATTCTACGCAGAGTTTGGCTGTTGAGTAAAATAGATAGAATATTCTATCCGATTGTGTTATATGCACTGTACTTACCTTTCGGGCCTTGGGCGATTGGAGAGCTCATAGATGGATATATAGGAACGATCTTCGCATGGGGTATTGTCATCAAGGGGACGTTTCTACCAGAACCATTCACGTATATGTATGGAAGTGTGCAGATGATGTTCGTTCAAATACCGCTGATATTTGTACTTGCACATTGCTTGGAGACACGGTTATTAAATCAAAACGTCTCAGTATTACGACGATTAATCAAGAACATACCATTTATATTTCTTTTGACAATACAACTGCTGCTTGCATATTTCTTTTGGCTGGAATATGGGACTTTGTCATTCCTCACAAGTCCTTTGAGAACATGGAGTGTTGGGTTGAGTACAGTACTTTGGTATAAGACGCTAACACTGCCACCAGATTATTGCAGGTGAGTGAAAATGTATTCATTCTCGTAAAAGGTCGTTTGGTTAATTAACGCCATTTTACTAAGTTATAAAAGCATACATCGAGAAGCAAAACTTCACATCAACATCAAACAGACAAGAGTATTGTTAGGCCGAATCATTTGATATTTTTAATTATTATTAAAGATGTTCTCTTTTCCAGGCGCCTGCAAAAGTTAAACGAAACACCAGCGTAGGTTTACGCTACAGTCAATTTATAATATCTATGTACATGGCTGTGCAAAATAGTCACTTATTTTCCTTATGTACACCAAAGACTCGATGTTATTTATGTATTTAAAATACAAAGAACCTTTCCCATTGGAGCGGTTAGCGTATTAATTTTTCCAGTGTTCCTAGACATATAGAATGTGCTAAAACTTCTGAATCTATCTTATATAAATACTCTTAAAAAAGACCAATACATTTAGTTTCAGTGTAAAATTATTGTGATTGCACACTTAAAAGAACAAAATGACCAAGTATCTAGTCTGAAAGTTTTTTTTCTTAGCCCAGTCAACTAAAAGAGTTGTATTTTTTGATGGAAAACTATTGTAGTTATTCCACTGTGTTAAAAATTGTTGCATTGCAAGACATTTTATTGCATATAGTAGATATTATTACAGCTTAGATGGTGAACGTATATGTGTATATTTACGCTATGGTTATACATGTTTAAGTGTTAATAAATGTGTACTTAATAAAAACATCTTTTAATAATTATGCTTCGCTGTTTATCGTAGCAAATACAAAACCTCTGGTTAGTATTAACAGTCCCGGCCCAAATGTGATTCAGTCAATAAAAAGGTTTCTTTTCACCAAATTTCATTGTTTTGTTGAAATAAAAAATAAATTTAATTACGAAAAATATTGAAATGAAAACGCCTTGATTAGTGTTATAGCAATAAAGTTATTAATACGTTTCGTTTGCAGGTATTACAAATAGCTTAATTTAGTAAATTATAGATATCTTAATTTTTTACAAAGTTAAAAATTCAATTTAAGTTTAATACCCTAACATAAAACTTTAACATTGAATTGTACATAAATGTAAAATATAGTATAGTATAATATATTTATTGTAGATATAAAATCAGATAAAGGCATTTGTTAACTTTAATAAAATACCCGCAACCATAATATTACAGGTAATTAACTAAGAACTATAACAATATCACAGATGTTCTATTCAGAGGTATTCTATATTAATTGTGAAAGATAACCTCCTTTTTTCCTTGTTGACAGAAATATACAGTGCTCTCCAAACTTGATGGCCGAGTTGAAGTTAACGCGGATGGTTGCGCAGAACGCAAAATGCAGGTGCGGGCCGACTTGATTGTTCGCTTAAATTTGACAGTACTATGCGCAAGATGGCGGTCGCGCTAACTTCAGCCCGGCTAAAAAGTTTGGAGAGAACTGTACTTAAGTAATTGCGTACGTAGTGTTGTATATAATCTGTAAAGTAGCTCCAGACTGCATAAAAGCTATGTGCGTCGATTTCATACAAATATAAAAGTTTATTTACACGCTTTGTATACTCTGTATCTTAAGACGCATAATAATGTGGTCTTTAGTAATAATATCCAGATAGCTAACGCGACGCAGTCTGTGGTGAAATTACCGGATAATCCTAAATACTCTAAGTAATACTTTGGATCTCTGAAGAGGCAAATGATTTTGTAACAGGGCAATTTGGGTCGTCCAAAACCATACACAGTTTGCATGAAAGCGTCGAAGGAATATCGGAAGTATGAAATTAGGGCGAAGGGTTGTAAGTAGGAGGGCATCTCTTTGTAGGGAATGAAGAATTCTGAGAACATCAGCATGGGGATGTTGGCCGCTGGTATCACAAAGAGACCCAGCTGGAAATAAAATGACATAATGTTACTTATATATACGGCTTTAAACATATTTAAATTATTACATACGTTGGCATTAAAAACATGTTTTATAATTCACGTTTAAAAGTAAATGCCTTTGCCACTAATTGAATTTATTTAAAGGAGTATACTTGAACAGACATATAAAGGTGGGATTTGAACCCAAGACTCCTCTTGCTGAACACAATGTATTTAACCGTTAAGTCTCGAAGACACAATATAAAATTTCATTTTTGCATGCTTTAAATTAATCGTATTTGTTTTCCTATGATCTATCGTCATCAATAGCTATTTAACAGTTGCCACATATAATATATTTCAAACGTATTATATCAGTTATAAGAATTTAATCTTGTAATCAGAACACGACCTCACCTTTACACCACAAGCAGCACCAACGACTAAACCGAAAGTCTGCGCCAAAATCGTGATGAGTACGCAAACTAGCCACGCAAGACCCAGTCGATTGATGTCCATTGGTTGTGACGTGAGATACCAAGCCGGAAAGACAAACACCGTTGCACATACGAGCTAAAGATAAAAGTATAAACATTTTCACGAACTATTTTAAGTAGTTACTTGACGTATTAAGTCTTCAATTGAGTTTAAGTAAGCTTAGCTTCTAAATTTAAATAAAACACTTTAACGGTTTAAAACGCGATATATTAGTTAAACTTATTTGAAAATGATTTTTAACTTCGGCCCGACGTTTCGGATGCTTTGCAGCAGCCGTGGTCCCGGAGATACTTAACAAGCTTAGCTTCTCTTAGTCGAGGAACGACATCTTTGGACGAGCTCGTTGATGTAATGGTAGTAATGTAATGGCTAATAAACAACGGATCGTGGGTTCGATCTCCACAGGGTCCAAAATTTTTCTGAAACATATTAGTCTTCGTCTGGATGTTAACTGTGTGGTTGGCATATCGCAAGAACCAAAAGACCCTATAGTTAAAGACTTATAAATAAAAAACGACAATATGAAAGCGTGTCACACTCATTTCTTTAACTGGAGGAATGACCCGATTAAAGGAAATTTCACATTGTAATTTTGTATTCTTTCATTTAAAGCTATCTTGACAACATCGTCTTAAAGTCAACTTTTTTTTGGCATGATGTATTCGTTTTATCCACTCTTGAATGTAGAAGAAATCATTTAATCAACAATAATTTACCTGTATAGGAAGATCCACTAAGATTTTTGACAAGCAATACGTCGTTAAGTAATACCATTTGTTCAGATGTTCCTGTAATACTACAGTAGCTTCCACCGGGACTGGAAATAATAATTTGATGTTATTCTTCATCAAAAATAGAATGTCGTTGTTTAATACCGATTGATTTTCCTGTTCCAGAAAGTATAAAACAAATAGTAACTGAATCTAGAGAAACTTCAATCAAAAAGTGAAGTTCATAGTTTATCATTTCGTCGGCATGTTTACCAAATGATTTTGTAGGAAATGTCACATGCCTAAAAAATTATAGACTCTATTCTTAATAAAATCTATTTCTTAATAAATAGATTATATTAAGAAATAATGGTCGCCCCGTGACCATGGCTGCTGCAAAGCATCCGAAACGTCGGGCCGAAGTTAAAAATCATTTCCAAATAAGTTTAACTAATATATTATTGATTTAAATGTGTACTACTCGCGTAAGAAATAATGTTATGTAATTGTCTACTTACAAGTGTGTATAGTTGGCATGGCGTTTGAAAAGTATAAAAACAGAAGAAAGAAGAACAAACATCCGGTATTTGAAACCGTTCTGCCGCCATCTTGGCCGGCGCCCTGGTACAGCGCGCCTAAGAGAAGCGCAACGAAAAAATGTGTAACTACCCGAATCTGTAACATAAAAAAATAGTTTAGAATTGTTTTATGGCAACTACATAACAGTGAATACTAAAAATGAAAAATAATATTATAAATCCCACCTGTGTCAAATGGACGTCTCTCAACGCTCCAATATAACCCCGCCAAAGTAAAGCTCTCATTTGTTGACTAAACCCAGCTGCATAACGTTTTGTTTCATACGAAGAACTTGGATTTAAGAGGGCTTCAGCTTCAGGTGATGGGTCTGGAAAATCATTAATAAGCTGGCAATGGAAAGACGACTCAAGAAAATAATTTATAGGCTTCTTCTACTAGGAACTTCTAGGAATGAGTCTTTATAGACCTCATTATGAAGTTTGTGATCAAAGGGGACAATCAAATGCCAAAATACCAAAGTTATGCTCATTTATATCTGTAGTTTAGTTGAGTTCAACTGAATATAATATTTAAGATAAAATTGATGCAATTGAGACTTTTTGTGGGCGAATTTTGGTAATTTTTTGTGCTGAATATAAGTCTTCTGAGAAAACCGGATATATACTAATTATGAAACTGTCGTCTCCCATGACCTTTGTTGTCGTAAGTATTATAAATGATTGCAGTGTGAACTTCAAATTTGAAATGTCAATTGACAAATAATATCTAGTATAGAAGAGAAGCCAAGTTACCTTTGCCATTCTTTTGCTGTACATTACTTTCAGCGATTTTCTTCATTTCCAATGCATATTGTTTCGCTTCTCTCTCCAACTGTACTAAGTTGCCACTGTGTTCGCCGCTTGCTATCTCTAACACTGAAATAAGAGAGACTCAATGTTTTATTTAGTTTGTTATAAGGAATTTATTTTCTCTAAAAACATAAACATTTACTTAACGAGAAAACAGTAATAGTTGTACTAGTACATGCGTCGGAACTTTTTTAAAAGAACAATGATATTAAAAAAAACAAATGTTTAACTTATTATAAAATGTGCGATTTTAATTATTTTTATAAATGTCAATTGACTAGGCGTTTTTCATACTATTTCTACTTCTATGTTTGTTTTGTCTTGATTTTTTTCAGTGGGAATTTACTGTGTGCTATGTGCTATAATATGTTTCATTTAGTTTATATTTATTTACTTTGAATTGCTGAGTTCAGACACACAGTTGGTTAATGGCCTTAGAAAAGTCGAAAAGTCTAGAATAAGTTTCGAAACGAAAAATACTTATACAGATCCGCGAATATATATGAGGCCGTGAGAGGCAGAGTGGCCTAATAAACTAAAACATGATTTTCAATAAGGAGCGAAAAAATTCGCGAACTTAGGCGAAAATAATAATGCTATTTGTGTAAGAATTATGTTAACAATTTTTGGTTGATGAGTCTCTGTTCTATATAACAGTGATTTTCAAACTGTTACTATATATTTAAGGAATCAAGAAAATATAAAAGTCATTAATGAAAACAATGATTTACGAAATCCAGCGCTACTCGTTACTTGCAAAACGCACTTATGTTAATGACGACCCTTCGGTATATATCTTATCAAATAAAAAATGTAATACAATAGTTGTAAACGATAAATAGCCGTATAATTATTTTAATCTACAGCACCTTTATATTTTTATTTAATTGGCTTCGTGATTTTATAATTACGCCGATAATTCACGACTTCTGACAACTTTGATAACAGCGGTAGTGAATATTTTGTAATGAATTAATTACTTATAATCGTTCTTCGTGACAGAATCTATTAGCTTCAATAAAAAGACGTGGCGTGGAAGGGTACGTAGGTTCGAATGTAGTGAAATGTTTGTTTCAAAAATTAATATGTTTGTCTTATTTTATTATTATTGAGAACACACGCCACATTTTAACCACAGATAATCTTTAGAAGTGATATCCCGATTCAACCGTAGGGTCTGGGGCGAACATATTTCTAAGTCCGTTTTTTCACTGATCGGTTTTATTTACATACAAATAGCTGATCAGACTTTTGTGCCCTACCCGACTTAAACAATTTATTATTAACTAGTGATTCAAACCCAGGACCTCTCGCTATTAACGCAATGCTAGGCAACAGGTTTAACCATTTAGCTACAAAGAGTATCATGAAACTTACAAAAATCGGCCATGTTGTAATAATTGGGGCACACAAATCCACATCTCTTAAGAGTATCTGGTAAGTCAGTTATGGCCCCAGCGTACATTGTCTTCCCTGCTGCTAGAAGTATGACATCATCAGCGGAAGTGAAGAGTTGGGAGGAAGGTTGGTGGATGACACAAGCTACCGTCCGGCCACTGTTTGCCACAGATCGTAACGCCTGTGATACAGACATAGACGATACAGAGTCTAAGCCGCTGAAAAAACGTGCAAACAATTATCATCTTAAAAAAAACTAAGTTAAATAGTTTAATTTTTTGTGCAAATTAAAATAGCAAATATGACATAATCATCGTGTTTTACTAGCGTAGGCCTTTCATATCATATTGAGGGGGTTAGGGAAAAATATGTAATCCGCCATTTTGTAACGGCAACCATTTTAGATTTATAATGTTATTAATTATTATATTGTATTGCCATCTAAATTAAATGTGTGTACCAAATTTCAGATCAATCTGACAGCGGGAAGGTGCTTCAATTTCAATTTCTAATTTTGACCCAAATAAATAAATTCCGTACGGGTCGAGCTTAATAAAACTGTTTAAAAACATACAAAATTCAAAGTTTATTGCCTTAGTTTTGTGGTGAAAAAAATATCTGACAGCAAAAGTTAATTTTACACCGGAAAGAAAAAGTATTTAATCGTCATTTTGAATATATTTTTTCAGTTTTATAATTATGGTTTCAAGTGTTTTTAATTACTCTTCCACACCTAAGACCGATTGAAAGGTGAATAAAATCTACATGACCCTGTAGATTTTATTCAACTTCGCCAAAAAGATTTTGTAACGAAGGTAAAAAATATCGAAAGATTAGACCTGCACAATTATATAAGTCTAAATGCATTAATGAATCTTATTTTAATCTTGCCTGTGTTCACGCTATTAGCATTTAAATAATACACTTCTAACGTTTTAAAACACGAAACATATTAGTTAAACTAATTTAAAAATTATTTTAACTATAACCCGAACCTTTGGATACTCTGTAGGTTTAACTAATATATTTTGCGTTTCAAACCGTTTAAGTGTTTTATTTAAATGTGTACCGAACCGACCGAGACCAAAGTCCACACAAGTTGACACAACTTACTACTATCGGTTTGGAGGCACGATAGCCGTGAACCAATAAAATGGATATAAAATACTTGGTTATGTTAACTTTACATAGATTTACCTCGTCGGTTCGTCTAGTAACATAATGTGTGGATCCGTGATAAGTTCACAGGCGATTGTCAATCGTTTTCTCTCACCCCCAGAAAGTTTCCCAGCTCTCGTACCGAACACTTCATTTATACCGAGTTGCTTTGAAACACTTTCGATCTGAAAAATAATTCTTTAGTAATGCAATATAAAAATCATTATGTTAAAGGTTGCGACCAATAGAAACGAGAAAGATGGGAAATGTGAAAAAATACGGGGATTGTTATTCGTCTTTGGCGGTTTTTGTTACTTGAGTTGCAAAAACGGTTTAAGATATCCATAAATATGAAAAAAAAACCTTATTTTTCTTGAAATAATTTAAAAAAATGTCCGCGACATTTCTCTCACAAGAACTATTCTTATTGTAACCAAATTTGGTCGAATTACTTTATATGGCAAAAGAACTTTAGTTGATAAGTTCTGCCATAGTCCAAAAGAAACAGTAAGCATATAAACGAGTAATATAAAATAGAAACAATAAAATAATATAGTTATTATGCAGAACAACAACATAAGGAATTTTAAATGTGAAAAGAAAAATTAAAATATGAAACATAATTCTAAAATTAATTTTTTGTTGTACATATCTCAGAACGCTTTAAGCAAAGTTTTTTAACACTTAGTAACAGGTCGATGAAGCTATTTTATAATATTTATACGGTTCTTAAGCTGCGTTTGATATTTATATAACAGGACGGAACTAAGTAAGGATTGACGTTTTATTCAGTTTTATTGAGATTAGCTAATAACATCTAATAATAATCTATTTAAATTAAAAAAAGGGGGGGGGGGGGGGGGGGGGGGGGGGGGGGGGGGGCCCCGCCCCCCCCTTTTTTGTGCAATAACATGTGAAGAATATTATACTTTATAATTTACAGATCATTTTGTTCATGTTATATGACATAATATATGTTAAAGGAATTTTTATTGAAAACTATGTTTCTGCCTAAAAACTTAACAAATAAAGTGATCTTTTGCTTAAAATCTTACTTACACATTGTCTGTAGTTTACGCGAATAGTGCATATGTAAATAAAACTTTTTACGGTATACAACGCGAAATAAATTAGTTAACTTTTTTTATTTAATGCAGTTAAAAGTGTTTTGTTTTTAAATTCATGACTTTTTCATTCGTCCCTCTTACGAATACTCACTATATAATTTCGTTCATTTCTCGATGCATTCGGTAGTTTTAGCGCAGCGGCGAATAGAAGAGTCTCTCTTGTAGTTAGAGTATCAATGAGCGTGGCATGTTGTGGTACTAGAACTATGCCACTTCCTCCTCCAACGACTGTCCCTGATACTCCAGTTTGTCTGAAGATAATTCCATATAAAATAGTTGAATAATGTCTATAGTTTACGCGAGTAGTACACATTTAAATAAAACACTTTAACGGTTTAAAACGCGATATCTTAGTTAAATAAATATAATAACGCGATATAATAGTTAAATTAGTTTAATATATCGCGTTTTAAACCGTTAAAGTGTTTTATTTAAATATAAAATAGTTATTAAAAAATCACAATTTTGCTCCATACCATACTGTTTACAAAACAATAAATGAAAATCTGATGTAGTAACAAACATCGGTTTAAAACGCGAAATATTTTAGTCATTAACACTGTATTTTTTAAAGATTCGAAGATATTTATATTTTGATACTAATTTCGACCAAATTTATTACATAAAGAACGGTTATTCAAAGATAAACATTATATGCCTCGGCTATTTTTATTAAATAATGTAAAGAGAATTCATTCTTACAAACATATTTTTTGTTTTTTGAACCGTTTTCGCAGCATCGCAATGGAAGCCCTCAAGGATGCAATAGCAGCGTGATATAACCTAAAGCTTTCAAAAGTAATTCGAACCAGTAGTTCCTGAGATAAGCGCGGCTAAACAAACAAACACTTTAGCTTTATAAAATTAGTATTGATTTGTAAGGCTACAAGGTCATTATTAGCGTTTAATTCGTGTGTTTCGCGTTTGATTTCAGAGATTGTGATATTTCTTCTTAAGTGCTGTCATAATCGGCTACAAAATGTATTGTTTCAAATGTTATTATTAATTATCTTTTTATTAATGTTTCAAAAATATATGCTATTCCTATAAATAATTCTAAATTGCAACATTTCTAAAAGATTGTTACTCACTTTCGTCCCGCGAGTATTTTGATTAGAGATGTCTTCCCAGCTCCCGAAGGACCGAGGATAAAAGTCAGTCTTCCAGGTCGTATAGCCCCGCATGCTTCCTTGAGGATGGTCTGTTTACGGTTCTGTTCTGCTTGCTTCCTTTCGAACCATGATCTTCCTTGTAAACAGTAAGAAGACCAATTAAAAGTACACTTTCAGAAACAGATGTTAGTAGTACGTGTAAATTATAGCCTTATATATATATATATATATATGTGTAAATTAAAAATTTTTTTTTTTTTTTTTTTTTTTACTTTTTTTTTTAATATAAGTGTAAATTAAAAATCGATTATAAATTGAAACAAATTATGACACGGACAGGACTTGAACCGGCATTTACAGCGTTCCGTGCTGATGCTCAAACCAATGTCCTACATTTTTTTACCAATTGATACATGCGCAACGTATAAGGTAAGAAAATATTAAACTTTTCAAAATAAGTACGGGTTTGATCCTTGGTTGCAATGTATTGTTAATAATCAACTGATTGGGTGCTATCCCACATGGGTCTAATATTTTTTATATAAATATACTACTTTTGAAACATTGGTGACCTTTGTCTCGAAATCTGGACATTAGGCAAATGAGTGGTAGAATAATTGAACTGAATTTTATTTTGACTTAAGTCTGTGGATTTCTGAAAATACAAGGCCTAAATAGGTTCACAGCTTATTTTGTTGAGCGAGCAAGCGAATTCTATGCGTAATAAAATAATGTACAAATAATACGTTTGTAATTTTGAGTAATAATTATTGAAATCATTTTTAAATTAAGATCAAAATACAATTTACACCAGCAAAACTAGAAATCTGAAAATTGTCTGAAACATAAAATAACAAGGAGATTTGTTTTCATATAGCAAATGAAGAAGACCTTTATAACGTACACGTAGAGACACGAGAAAAAGTTTAGGAATTGGTTGAAATCAACAACTCATAACCAAATGCTATTTATGAAAATATTTTTGTAAAACATCGAAGTTTGATTGCAATAAAGACTACAATTTACTAGCATTCGCAAGTATAATGAACCTACGTATAATGTACTGTATAAGCTGTGTCAGCGACTTCGTCCGCGTAGAGTAGTTATTTTGATAGCCAAAATCAAAATAGTTTTTACAAACCTCCTTTTCATCTATAAAAATTTAAGTTTAAACCCACGACGTCGGTCGCGTCCCTTCCCGTCGTTCTTGCGAGTTCATCTTGAGATAGACAAATACCGTCGTGGACTATTTTTTAGATCTTTTAAAGAGGAATCCTTCTGTTCTGTTTCTTCGCTCCTATTAGTCATAGCGTATTGTTTTATAATACATATATATATAAATGATCTAACCATAACAAAAATAATTTTTCAATTCGAACCCGTAGTTCCTGAGATTAGTGCGTTCAAACAAAAAAACAAACTCTTCAGCTTTATATATTAGTATACAATATTATTTACTACAACGTTACAATAAATCATTAGTGTCAAGGTATTATGCTATCTGAACATATAACATATTACACCTACTTGAAACGTTACTTAAGATCGTTTGAGAAATATGTACGGTTTATTGTGTAAAATTGTTGAATTTGGTTTTTAGTGGCAAACCTAAACCTGTAGGGAAAAAACCGAACCCTATTAAGCGCTAATGATCTAACCTCACCTCTAACGTTCAATAATGCAATAAGTTGGCACTGTAAATTAAAATTGTTACTAAATACTCAGTTTTAGTTACGATAAACGAATGACGCAGCCCTATTTAGCTCGATATCATCGATGTGTTGCTTGAAATAACTGAAACAACTTAATTCATATATCGCGTTTTAAACCGTTAAAGTGTTTCATTTCAATGTGTACTACTCGCGCAAACTATAGACAGTATTTAAATGAAACAATACGATATTTTTGTACCTAGCGAAAGGTACGGGCTCTTCGTGTGACATGAACCGACATATTCCTGTGTCCGTCCCACTGATCGACTATAATTGACTGTAATTTGATCAGACGTTTGTGCTCTATCCGACCGTTTTATTTCCCGGAATTTGAACCCAGGAAGATTCACATATGGCTTGGCAACTCGTTTAAAAATAAAAGTGTGAAAAGAAGCTAAGGGATGAAAATCAAAAAGAAGGTCGCTTATGTCTTATTTAACAAGAGATAATGTTGGGAATAAAATCAGAAAGACAGGCACAATAAAAACAGCAAAAAGTAAATAAACATATCTTATGTAAATCTCTCACAGTGTTACTTTAAATTCTAGTCAGCAACAATGCGTATTGTTATGTTCTGTGACAATACGAATTCAAAACGTGCTTTTGCATATAAACTGATTAATTTTTGCTGTATATTTAAAAACATGCATATACGTAATATATTTGTATATATTTGTAATATTTAAATAAAACACTTTAACGGTTTAAAACGCGATATATTAGTTAAACTTATTTGAAAACGATTTCTTAAATAAGTTTGAGTAATATATCGCGTTCACATCCGTGAAGTTCAATCGTTTCAGTTTTCAGTCTGTGCATTTACTACGAATACTCGAAGCCAAAATGTTTAAGATGCGTGGGGACACCTTTCATCAAGTGAATCTTATGCTTGTCCTCTATCATAAAAGAAATATATAATTTCAATTTATTATTTGGAATAAGGAACAAAATGACTTGATAAAAAATTCCGACTGTTTTACTCGAGAAGATTTTAATATCTTTTTCAAAATTCCTCCAGTACAAAACACGCAACAAAAAACTAAAGCGATATTTATGACTGCTTCGTATTAAAAGGGTTAAGAAGGTTACTATAGGTCAAAAGTAAAAAATCATTTTTTCACGTGAGTAGGTACACTTATGAACTAAAGGCTCTTTACTATCAGTTCTCAAATCAAGGGCGTAGAACGAATAAGAGGAGCTGGCAAGAAACTCGCCGCCGATCTTCTATCGCCAGTTTTATTTAACAGTCTTCACATACTTTAAGTGCGATGTATATATTTTTTCTTGTTAGTTCCTTCAAACCCCAAGCATTTTTATCGTTTAAAGATGATGAACGTCCTAATAACTCTTTCCAAGGAGTTTTTTAAGTTCGATTTAAGCTCATTTATTTATTTATTTGCAAGATTTCGCTGCCTGTCTGTCTGTCAGGGCGACAATGAACATTTTTTCTGTACACAACACCGATGTGTACAAACATCCTGCGATTTTGCCATTTATAGATAAAATAAAGGACAAATGGTGTCGAGTTCAATGTTACACACTAATGACTCACTTTATCATATAATCACACTGATTTATGTACAGGACAATCCGCAATGAGGTTAAAAAAATTGTTAAGGCTATACGGAATCAAAGAATACAGAAATGAACAGTAGGTTAATACTTTTAAATAAAACACTTTAACGGTTTAAAACGCGATATATTAGTTAAACTTATTTGAAAACGGGGAGACTCCCCGTGACCACGGCTGCTGCAAAGCATCCGAAACGTCGGGCCGAAGTTAAAATGTACGCCAAGCGCTTTAAAACCTTCCTTTCCTAGTTAAGTCCTTTGATAGTAATAACATAAAATCAATCGATGGATTGATTCGTTACAGAACCACTTCAGAATGGAGTAATAACATTGGTCTATCTTGTAAACGATTCGATCACTGGTTGTTTAGTATTCTGTGCTTGTATGTAAAGCATATGGTAGAGCCATGTAGAGCTATCGCCTAACGCTTTAATGCTGAATGCCAAAGTTTACACTTAAGACGTACGTATAAGTCTAACATTGAATCTAAATTAAAAGACAAAGGTATGAATACTGTTTGTCTATAAATTTAACGTGCCCGTCGAAATGTGTTGGGTTGTAAATGAATTGTAGACTCGCTACGACTTGCAGTTTTTTTAATAATAAGTCATTGAGAATTGTTGCTTTATGAAATAACCTCAACCTTTAACTGCCTGCAATATGTCACACATGAGTACAGAACAGCGCAAGGTTTACTTGAAGGAAGTTAAAATAGGTATTTTTATTATAAAAATTTAAAAAGTGCGCTGTTGATTGGACACTGGATAATCGCACCGAAACTCGATAATGCTTCACGACAAAATTTCTACCTTCCGTTTAATAGTAATAAATCAGGACATTTTTGATACATCCAAGATGTTTCTGGAAAAATATACATAAATTTGAATCCAGAACATAACAGCTTAGAACGCGAAATATACTAATCACTACTCTACTAAACTACACTAATCGAACTCATTTACACGGATACTTTTCAGAAGCTGTGCCTCCCCGTGGCCAAAATTGTAAATATTAACTATAGATCCCAGCGCATATCCTTGGTCAGTAAATTAGATGGTTTTATATATCTGTAGAAACAATTAAAGTATGGCAAAACTATGTAAATGAATCGCTGTACGCGTGCGCAAGTTATACAGATTAAATAGTGTATTTAAATGCAATGTACTTCATGTGTACTTCCTACTTGATAAGAAATAAAATATATACTTGTATATACATGCGGTTAATATATACCATTCTAGTTGTACAATGTTAGTTATCATAATGCGAATTTCGTTCGAAACGGCTATAGCGATTCTCATGAATTTTTTTCAGGTCTAAGAATCGTTACTATATATTTTTCATATCCCTAAGTAATAAAGATTGTACATCCCCAATATTTTTTATTAGAATAATTCTTTTCTATAAAAATTTTTTTGTAAAGAATTTTTTTGTAATAGAATTTACAATTTGGATTGAATAAAAATTAACGCACGGCCAGGACTTGAACCGGGTTCCACTGCGTGCTGCTGCTCTAACCAATTGAGCTACTGTGTTACACGTTAAACGTCTTCGGCGATTTTTTGAACTATTGATACACGCACCTGTCGCGCCATGTTACTTCAACCTTAACACTTATATTCATTTTTTATTTATTTATTTGTATTGTTTTTTTTATTTTGCGAAAAAAAGTATTCATACAACACACACTTTTACCACTTAATTACCAACCGCAATTTTTAATAGTTCTTTAAAAATATAATAAGACAGCTGATAAATATTTCTTCTTTACGCTAAATATTTAAATTTTACGCGAAATAATGATTAAAGCGATAAATAACGTTTTTTCCGGGTCACCTAGTTCAAGTCTATAATAATACTGTTCAATAAACGATCGATGCGTAACGATTCAAGAATTTAAAGATGTTTCACACTGACTTATTAACAGTTATACCTCTATAAATATACTTAAGCTTTGCCGAAAAACCTGATCGTCGATCAAGGTATTTTTAGCACCACGTCTGTTTATTTATATCGACATATTATGGTTTTAACATCAAAGCGGTCTAACATCAAAGAACCTAACGTATTCTTTTAATTCTTTAGACACACATTTAGATATACATATTATCAAATTTAAAATATTTAGTTTGTAACGTTAATCATGAAAATTATTGAGACAAAAGTTGTAGGCTAGGCACAGTAAAAAATAATATTATTAACGGAGGCACTGTAGTGAACTGTACTGTTCACTACAGTGCCTCAACAATTGGAAAAGAAACATGGGAAATTAGTTACTCAATTTATTTGTATAGAATCGAGGACTATTACAATTAAAGTAATGGGGCATATAAAAGACTGTTCGTCCTCTACATAAAATATAGCTAATAAGCCACTTTATCTGCCCCATGCCCAACATACGGAGAAACGGGATTTTACTTTATATTTTCTGTACAATAACGGTTTGCTAACTTAATAATACTAGCTGCTTCACTTGTTTCGTTATAATAACGTTCAACCAAAAGTTGATAAAAATTAAAAAGGTTGTGGTAAGTTAACCTTAAAAGATAAACACATATTGTCTTCCAGCGTTTTCGCAATGCACGCAATAAACGGCTCAAAAATGAATAATTTTCCCCGTTTTTTTCACACTTTCCCCTGTTTCTACGCTCATATTGGTCTCAGCCTAATGTTTTATAGGGTTAATCGATTGATTTCACCACAAAAATGAGATTTCAAGTGGAATCCGTAGTTCCCGTGATTAGCGCCTTCAAACAAACACTTCAGCTTTATAATATTAATACAGATTTTAAAAAGCGACGGACGCTACGCAAAGTAGATAATAAAAGTGATAAAGAGTGGAAAGGTCGTTTATTATCATGCTTTGTGTCTATTAACTATAATGATATTTAGGTCACTCGAAACATTGGTTAAGTAATTACGTGAAGAGATTAAAAATGTACTATAATACTGTCTGTAGTTTACGCGAGTAGTACATATTTAATATATATATTAGTTCAACTTGTTTGAATTCAATTCTGCAAGGACCCGATTAGTTTCGATAGTAATGGCTTCGATGGAAAAGATGGCACTAGCGTAGCAGTTTTTTTACTTTGACATCAGAGACACCCTCCATCATTACTCTCCCAGTGTCCACGGCTGCTGCAAAAAATCCAAAACGTCGGGCCGAAGTTAAATTACTTTTCAAACAAGTTTAACTCATATATATCGCGTTTTAAACCGCTAAAGTGTTTTATTTAAATATATATGACAATATTTCGTAGAAACATATATGGTAATGTCACCGGAATCGATACGATCGATCGAATACTAAATATGGCTAAATTTTATCTCTGGTTTGTAAAAGGTGCTGTTGGATAATAAATAATTGAGAGATTTTTTAAATTGAGACAATTAAAATATTTTTTAATTGACATGAAATGGTGTATCGTAATCATTTTTAAATTAGTTTTTGTCCTTTTCTTCTAAATAATTTAATAATTTTTTTTTTTATAATTTCTTTTTTTTACCTTGTAATTTATAGTATTTTAAAGCTTGGTATTTTTCGTACGCAAAACCAATAAGGATGCTTTTGAGATGAATTCTAAAAGCACTTTAGTTAAACATAAAAGATAAGTTACCTAAATAATGTTTAAGCTAAAATATACATCTTATTAAAACTATAACAGTAAATGGTTAATATCCATAAAATTAAGCTATGTATAATATTTTTAAGTCAATAATCTAAATCATAAAATGTTTAATGTCAGGTCGAGACCTTCTTATATATTATATATAGATTACAATTTTTCATTATGTAATGAGATCTAAAACAACTTAGACTTTTAGTATATGAACAATAGTAAGTCGCTTCTCTCTTACCAACTTTTGACATAGTTTTAAGAGACGAGAACGCGATCATTAACTTTCACCGCAGATTTAGCTATCAATTATAAGCACATACCTTCAACTTCGTATATAAGATCCGAAAACACTGTTATGTTGTTTAACTTTTGACAGTTATCTCCAGTCGGGCCGATTTCAATATCCATTTCTATCGTTCAAGGCACGTGTGAAGTCCGTACAGACAAGTAAAATAATGTCGGCTTCGCGAGAAACATTTACTGCGACTACACAACGTTTTCCGCACGTTCCCTCTAGCGGAATGTGACGAACTATATTATTATAGTTATATGTTAATATTGCACTTAATGCATATTATAATACGTTCACGATACATTTGTCTATATTATATTAGAATAAAGATTAATGCAGTCTGTGTAATTGAAGCATGGAATGCTTGGAGAGTTTGAAATTGGAAAGGCGCGAATTTCTTCCGTAACTGTCAAATTGTATGCCACAGACTATGATATTCCTTATGTAGTTAAAGAATATTTAACTTCGTAAATATAAATGACTCCCGACACATGTTTGTTTGTTTAAATTATAAAATTAATTCATTCATTCTTAGTTCACAAGTTACAACTATCAAGTTACACAAAACCGTTATAATTATACATAAAAACTATTAACTATAAAAACCAATACATAAAAAATAGATTAGGTACAATAGAAATAGATCATATAACAATCTTCAGGATTTTACATCTAAATAATAAATATGATGACTTATGGGAAAATACGAATACTCGTAACGTATTGAATTGGGTGGTTGTATATAATTATATTGAAAATATTTTATATAGTGAATGCTAGAACCAGTTCCGTTGTTGAGGGATAAGTAGAATATTTAAAAAAATATTGTAAGAAGAATGTGAATAAATCTTTACACACAAAGAACAAAATGCGGCATCTGGTTTACCGAATAAGTAGCAAATCACTCGGTTCATGTAAACTTTCATTTGTTTGCTTCAACGAAACGTAAGCAGAAGCTTTTAAAATACCAGTTATAAGTTACCTACAAGAATGTGTTGAAAATCAAGTACAATTCCTGACTTTGGAGTTTCATAAAGTGATTCATAAATGATCCATCTCTATAGATAATATAAACTTTGCTAGCCACCATACCAGCAGAAAAGTTGGGTCACAATACGATTTTTTGGCCTTACCTCTTTTAAATAAAACAATTTTAAACGTTTGCAACTAAAAATATATTAGTCGATTTTATGTTAGTAATGTTAAGAGCCCTATGTCCGAATTTCGGGCCGTAGTTAAATTAAATTTAAAAGTTATCAAATACATGTTGCGTTTTAAACCGTCAAAAGAATAATACATGGACTTATACAGTACTTTAAGACTTTCGCGGTCATTTTGTTAATCTATTTGGATTGTAAAAACATTAATAATAAAACAACATAGTCTACATGAGTTCGTGCATTTAAGTAAGTTAGTAATTATTATTACTTTAGATATCGATGATAATAATATATTATTAGTATTTACCTTGATACAATAGTTGTTGAACTAGTCAGTGTTGTAATTACAAATGTAAATTAGCGGGACTTCATGTTGAAGCAACCATACAATGTCTAAGTAGTACATAAGTGCATTTGTATAATTCCAAACGACAAAACAATAAAAAAAATCAAACTCATATTTACCCTACGTTACACAATTTGGCAAGAGATATGAACCTTTTTAAATTCCTTTAAAAAAAGTCAAACAATACATTTAGTTAATATTCTTTGACTACATAAAAAATATTATAGTCTGTGGAATAAAATTTGACAGCTACGCGATAGATTCCCGCCTTTCCAATTTCAAACTCTACGAACTTACAATGCTTCAATTACACTGGCCACATTGATAAAAAAGTTATATATTCTTATGTTTTACTCACCAAATAACGGTACATGTAATCCATATGTGATTCCACTGAACGCCATGTATTGTCCATCGTCGATACTCAGCTCGTCTCTTCCCAGCTCAAAATCCATATTTTAAAATGCACTGCAGCGCGATACCATTACAGATATCAGCGGAAGCATTAATACAGTCTGGTCTTTAGGTGGAATTGAATGATTATACCAAGATTATACGAGTTAGCAGTCGTCCTTTGTGTTTACTTCTGCATTCTTCTATGTCTACACTATACAATAATTCACAAATTACTAATTCAATTACATTGTTTATCTGTTTCCATGTCCAAAACTGTGATAAAAATTATAAATCCGTTGTAATCTTTGATAGCTTGTTAGGTTAACAAGAGTTTGCACCTGTTTTACTCTTGTATAATTAGTAATTAAAGTCTCGCTAGACTCGTTTACTTTCTAATACTAGGTCTCCCACTTAAGCAATGTGTAACGCAATTCATAGTTTTAAAATCTAACTTATTCTACAAAAAACCTTAAGTACGACTATTGCTGTCGTAAAGATATAAAAAAATAAATTGTTTTCTTAAATATTTGTATAGATATAATTAATTACATGTAGATACTAGCTGTGTCCGCGACTTTGTTTACGTGGCATAGTTATTAAAGACATCATATTCTTTATTTTTGCACACAACTCCCTCAGCTTTATTTAAAGGCAAAACCTTATTATGCTTTTTCAAATATTTTTTTGGTTTCTTTAACCGTTTTTGCAGTGCACGCAACGGAAGCCATGTTTTAACCTGTGATGGTCTAACCAACACAAAAATAACTTTTCAATTCGAACCCGTAGTTTATTAGATTAGCGCGTCTAAACAAACAAACTCTTCTGCCTTATAATATTAGTATAGATAATTGACAGTTAATTTTACTTTAATCATCGATCAATAATTAATAATAATTCATAATTTTTATCCTTGTGGTCAAATGATTCTATGTTGTTAAAAGACATCATTCACAAGTTTGAATGCTTTGTAGTGATCGTTACAAGAACTTGAACGACAATAATTGTACGATACTGATCTTTGCTTTTCTTTCGCAATGAAGGGCTAGTCACCAAAAGTTTATCCATATACCGCTGGATTAAAATACAGTCAGACATGCAATGATAGTAATACAATAGAAAAGGGATAAGCCGTTGTAGCAGGCTCCGGACTCTCACAAGCGTAGTTGCGAGTTATTAGTAAGCTAGGTGTGCCCGCGAATCCATCCGCGGGAATAGTCGTAGGAATTGGGCATCTAAATTTAATTATGCAAACAACCTCGTAACTTATAATTACTATTACTTACGACGTCGTTCGCGTCCCGCCCTCACATGCGAATATTTATGTCGGCCCATCCACAGTTTGTTGGCTCCCATTGTGATATAACATCACGCTACGACCAATGGGAGTCTAAAGCCTTCCTCGAAAAATTGTTTGTCGAACAAAAAAATATTTTTTCAATTCGAACCAGTGGTTCTTCAAATTAGCGCAAACAAACTCTTCAGCCCTATAATTATAGTATAGATAGGCCACATAAATGACTTTCGTATATTTAAGGAAAAGAAGAGAAGTAAAAATTTTTTTTTATTTATTTACATATACAAACTAGATACAAATGAACACATACAAATTACCCAGTATTGAGCAAATATTGTGGACAGTTTCCGATTTGGCGTTCCGCTTAAATAGGAAATACATTTCCAAAAAAGTACCTTTAATAATTATGCGCAGTAACATAATTTAGTTAAACTATAAATACGGCAATGATAAATAATATTATACATTTTAATATGTATCAAATTTAAGTAAAACACTTTAACGGTTTCAAACGATATATATTACTTAAACTTATTTGAATTTTTTTTAACTACGCCATAGTCACGAGGAGATTTTAGTTTAACCAATACATATATATCGCGATTTAAACCGTTAGTGTTTTTTTTAATGTGTACTACTCGCGTAAACTACAGAAAGTATGTAGCAAATTGATAAAATACGAAACAAAATAAGGGTTTTATTCTCAAGCATAGGAGATTCGTAGTAAAGATAGTCGTTCATGTCATTATTTAATTCGATAAAAATTAATAACCTGGAATTAACAAAAAAGTTTTTTATTCAAATTACACGACAAAACTTGATGTAACATTTCCAAACGGTATCAAAAGTGTGAATAATAACTTGGTTCGTATGCATCACAGATTATAAAGCCCGAATTGTGTGGTAGAAATAAAATCTACCATTTGTACCACATCTAGCGTAAAATTACTATACGTTGTATATCTATGGCAAAAAAAAACGTAAATATAATCTGTACATCACATATATTATGTTAAAAATTAATATTCGAATGTTCGTTATTACTAATTTTTCATATATGGACATAATTAAAAACAAATCTAATCTAGATAAAATATAGTTTATTCTAATATTCTACTAAACAATGCTTTTGGCAAGTTCTTAGTTATTAGCTACCTAAAGCTATAAAGATTACTTGAAAAATTCATTTGTGCGTATCTGACCCGTATTTTAAATGTAACATTTTTTATGATAAACAAACGTGGGGTTCACTCGATAGTAGGTAATATACCCCGGTCATTTAATATTTAAACAAGATGCGCTGTCGGCCTATTTTGGCTTTGGATATTCAGAACTGTACAAGCTGAAACCGAAACGCGATAAAGCTTGACGGCTTTTTCATCTGTGGACGTGGTTGGTTCTGATCTGGACGGATTTCCGATATTTCTGCCACCCGTTCAATATCCAGATTTCAAGACGAAGTCCAACGAATATGTTTAAGACATTTTACAAAGTGATAAGAAATGATCGAAGATCGAAACCACGACCCATTGATTATTAGCCATAAATTGCTAGCATTACACCGAGTCAGTCAAAAACATAACATAAAAAATAATACGGCTGTTTATTAAAATGATCTATGGAAAATCTTTGGAATGTAAAAAAATATATCAAAACACATCTTCTAAGACTACAATATTGTTGACACTTAAATATGTACATTCTAGCAATTAAATTACAATTGGTCCTAGGAAATTACATCTATATTTGTAGTATCACAATTACCATCTGAGTTTTAAACGTATTTTTAATATTACATACGTTAGAGTAATAACTACCCCCCCTATACATGCGAGTGAGACCATCGCAACTAGGAATTTCTCATCTAACATATCACAATCTTTCAAAAACTGACTGGGTTTCGCGTAGTGACAGTAAATATCGGTACACACTAGTTTTGGACGGTTCATCCCAAAGACAGATATCACCAAGCCCACAAGACCATGTTTCAGGAAGGATATGTGAAATATCCATCGGAAAACGGACGGTGCGTCGCTGTATCTCAGGAAGAATCCGGAAAATATGGTGAACGGCATTATGAAGAAGGGGCCGAACACTACAGCATTCTGAAAAAAAAACAGTCTCAACTTTGAAAACTCAAAATATTTCACAAGGTGGCATAAAATAAATTAAAAATCGATTATAGGTTTAAACAAAAACAACACGGGCAGGACTTAACAGCATCGCATTAACAGTGTTTCGTGCTATTGATCTAACCAATTGAACTACAGTTGTTCAAGTCCCACCCGTGTCCTAAATATTCAATTTAAAACCGTTCATAACTGTTTAATAACAAACACTATTAGTTGTATATACATTAACTTAGTACGCCTACGAAGGGTTCCATTTTTTAATATCGCTACAACAAATTGTTTCAATCGAACAATCAGATAGACCGAACGATCAGTAGAACGGACACAGATATATGTTCGCCCAACTCCACAGTTGGAAATTTAACTCCTACTTACTCACCTTAACAGTAAATAGAGAGCCATTCAACAGACCAACACACACAGCTACGTAAGAAACGAGCAAAAGCGTGGCGCTGTAAGTTGCTATTCGGAAAGGTTCAGGCGGCTGCCCAGTCAAGAAGTAGGTGATGAAGCAAAACGACAAGGTGCTGATTGTCTGCATCGGAAGTATAGAGGCTAACGTTGACGCAAAATAGGCCCCGGTGTTGTACCATCGGTTGAAGTGCTCTCTACGTATGATTGGAACTTGTTCTGGAACTAAAAGGATTTCTAGGTTAACTCCAGTTCTTGCAATTGAGATAGTATGTTGACAGTTTTGTACAAAAGAGTTAGAATAATTTGGTTGAAAAATTAACCACTAGTAGCGTAGCTAGGTTGACAAGGGCCCCGGACTACATAAGAAAGAATCGGGCCCTCATCTCTACTCCAAAATTATAAATAGCAACAAAACCAGTTTATTCAAATAAGTTAAATGAATCCTTTTCTTTTACGCTTATATCTTTCGAAGATGAGGTTAGAGGGCCCCCAAATTCCGTGGCCCCGGTGCATTGCACCACCTGGCCCTACGATAGCTAAGCCACTGTTAACCACCAAATGTCGGTTGCTCAACATACTTTGAAATGTACTAACTATGTACTAACTATTGGACATTTATAAAACAAAAATGTGTTTCATAACTATTTTTAATTAAACTGTTTTAAAGCAAGAATGAATTTAAAAGATCTGTTAAAATCGTTAAAATTCTATGTTAACAGACGTTGTTAAATAATGCAAATTTATCCGTGTTAAAATTGCCAAAGGTCAGGTTGACGGTTTTTACGCGCACTAGCGGGCTAGCACAACGGGCTAATAACCAACGGGTCGTGGGTTGGATCCACCAGAGTCATGTTTAAGTAACATGTTTCTAATTTTTTTGAAATCATGTTGGACATTGTGGGTGTAGTAGGAATATCGATTCCGTCCGGGTCACGAACCACCGTGCACGATCAAAAAAAACGTGAAGTATAATCGCGATTCGGTTTCAGTCTGTGGATTTCCGAATATCCAAAGTCAAAATTAGGTGGATGGAGTCAAGTTTAGATTTTATATGCTGGGGTATTTTTTCTACCTCAGTCTTTCTCTATCATAAAGAGGCCGGATGATTAGTCTACATTTTTTGCACCCGTTCTCCCTTTTAGGAGGAAAGATACTCACATCGTACTGTTGCTCCACTGAAGGCCGTGAACATGAGAAACATAAGGCTGAAGTAGAGGAAGTTGTAGTTATCTCTAACGTATTTCGCATCTTCACCGACTTTGAAGAATAGCAACCCGACAAACAGTGCCATTGCACAGTGGATTCCTACGTTGATCACAGTAAAGGATGGGTCCCGCCAAACTGTCTGAAAATGTAGGTAAATACCGTCAGTACTTACTCGCATAAGTACACATTTTAATACGCTTTCAACGGTTTAAAATGCGAACTTTTCACTTTGATATTAGGGAGTTCCGAATACGGATATTTGCAGTTTCCCCGTGACCATGGCTGATGTAAAGCATCCGAAATATCAGGCCGAAGTTAAAAATAGATTGTAAACAAGTTTAATACATGTAAATCGCGTTTTAAACCGTTAAAGTGTTTTATAGAAATGTACGTATTATTTAATTGTTCGTATACTAATTGGTAAACGCTAACAGGTGTGACACTTAAATTCTAATGTCAGACACGGCCAAGATATTTGTCGTGGGTTGGATTCACACGTCTAACAAAACTGGCATAATATTGTTTATTAAATTTATATATTTCCCTATCGTACTTATAAAAAAAGAAATTCTATTTATGATTGATACAACAATGTAGACGTTTTTGGTATGTGTTATGTAAATTTGCAAAATCGCTATTCGCTTCATTATTTCTATATCTCTTTAAACGTATATAGCACATGAAAGAAATACTACTTCTCTTACCAGTAAAGCTCTTCTAGTTAAAATAGCGAATTGCTTTAACGGCGTAGTTGGATATGTACTTTTCAGCGCTAACAATATTTTGTTGGTGGGGTCCTCTTTTGGTGGCGGTAGAGTTGTCAAACAAACGTCGTCTTCTTTAATGTTAAAATCTAGGAAGTAATTATATTATTAACCAATAATGTCATTGTTGGATGCAATAATCACGCATAAGTTTATCAAGAGTACCAAAAAGTTAGTCTTTAAAATTTAGACTATCTTAATCAGGTAGAGGTACAATGTATGGCTAATAATGGATAGTCGGTTCAAGTAATATTTTTTTCTGCATCTGTTTTACTGGTTGAGTCAGTCTATATTATCCCCGAATAAAGTAATTTCCTCGGTTTCAGAACCCAGGACCTCAAGTATCCAGTGAGCTGCGAATGGCAATACTTTATCCTTATAATTACTTCTCCAAACGCGCGAAGGTAAAACCAGTTTACTAAGTTATGTCTTAGCCTATATAGTTTACGATTACTCACCTATACTTAATAATTTAGATTCAGTCTCAGAAAATATATTATTTATATATTGGTCATCTTTGCCATTCTTCGAGTGATTCTCCAGATCCTTTTCATAGTCGTTACATATTTCTATAACTGAAAAAAAAATCAATATGATTTTCATTTTATAGAGATCAGATTTCTATTTTCTTACGGTTTGTATCCTACAAATCTTACGAAGCTTTGAAGAGGACAAAGTGAGAGAGGGATCCAATGTCATTCGTAAAGGGGGGATAGGAAATGGTAGTTAGAAAATGTGCACCACGCCTTAAATAATAATAATAATAAGGGGTAACATTTACAGCAATGGTTAATATTTTAAAATGTTACAATGTCCAATTACCGAAACACGGTAGCCCAAATTGTTAGAGCAACGCACGCAACGCTGTCGATGCCGGTTTAATCTAAAATCGACTTTTAATTTATACAACTATTTAATCAGACTTTTATGGCCTGACCGCCTCGGTAGCCAAATGGTTAAACGTATTGCCAAGCATTGCGTTAAGCGCTAGAGGTCCTGGGTTCGAATCCAAGGGAAACAAAAAATGTGTTTCGGTCGGGCAGGGCACAGTCTGATCAACTACTTGCCTGTTAAAGAACGGATCAGTGAAACGGACACAGAAATGTGTTCACCCCATGCCCCACGAGGGGGAAACGGGCTTTCACTTTTTTATCTTATGCATAGGGCTTATAATAAGTAAAGTTATTTCATCGAAGTTAGCACCTAGGTTCTATATATTTATCTAGAATCTAGTTCCATAATAGATAAAACATATCTTTATAATAGATAATTACCATAGACTGTTTCTAGATAGAATATTGTATATATTTTATGTTACATAGCTTAGGAGTTAATTCTAGAACATTCTTTTGCTTCCGAGCAGTGCACATATAAGCTAAAATATCCACATCATTTCCTTTATCGTGATCGTCGCCAATTATGGGTAAGACATCAATTGTCACATCCTAAAGGGAATTTCCTGTACTTTGTAGTCCGAGACGGCGCGGCGTTATTAGTGCGGTCAATCTACTTTGTACATTTCGGTTATTTGTGTATTGCAAGGGATAATATATAACATGTAACAAACAGCGTGTAAATAACAGATAGATACAATATCTATCTGTTATTTACACACTACACTAATATAAAGCTGAAGAGTTTGTTTGTTTGAACGCGCTAATCTCAGTACTATTGGTTCGGATTGAAGAATTATTTTTGTGTTAGTTAAAGCATTTATCGAGGAAGGCTGTAGACTATAAAACATCACGCTGCAACTAATAGAAGCGAAGAAACAGTCGGAAATGTGGAACAAACGGGAAAAATTCTTTGGGAGATGACAGAAAGATTCCTCTTTAAATGTTTAAAAAAATTGACATAACGACGGAACGCGACCGATGTCATGGGAAACTAGCTTAAATTTATAAAAGTAAGGTTTGCAACAATATATTTGGATTCTATGGGCACGAAGTCGGTACAGGTAGTTCGATAATAAACATATGGTACCAATCTATGTTTAGACTATATCTAAAGTAAGGTAAGATACTTACAGAAATCAACTGGATTGTGATAAGCAGGGCATATAAGGTCGATTTCCTTCAAGAACGGAACAAGGAGCGACACGGCACCCATATAACCGCAACGACCACCCACGATGGCATACAGTCTATCGACCATATCCAGTAGAGTCGCTGATGGCTGATGCATTGATATCACGACGGTTCTGCCCTGGCGAGCCAGCCGCCGCAGTAGATAAACGAGCTGCTTCGATATCGATATGTCTAGCCCACTGAAAAGTTGATAGACAACGATTAATTTCTCCGATAAGACATTTGTATCTTAAGTGCACAGGTGTTCAGGATTATTAGGATTTTATCACAGTTGATAAAAGATACGTACTTACTTTTGGGTGAAATTGGCCCGTTATTACAAGATGTTTACTTTACAATGTATGGTACAGATTTTTTGGTTGTTAAATAACTGAATAGTTTAAGGTGTTGTGTAGCCCTGCGTCCGAGGAGACCAGAATCCATTGAAAATACTAAATTGTTTAAATAAAACACGTTTAACGGTTTAAAACACGAATTGTATTAGATAAAATTATTGAGCACATTTACAATTATTTGAACCACCGTCCCACGTTTCGGATACTTCGCAGCCGTGGTCACGGGGAGATTGTTAAGAGAAATAAAGTTTAACTAATACATTTCGCGTTTTAAACGGTCAAAGTGTCTATCACTCGCGTAAACTACGGACAGTATTTAATAGTAAAATGTTTCAGTCGAGCAGAGCACAGAAGTCTTACTATTATAGTAACTATTTATATGTAAATATAAAGTTATAAAATCATCTTCAAATACCACTATATTTCCTGTAATGATAGTTTCAAACAACGCGGTCGGTAAAGGAAAAAGAAATGATAATTTTAACGATATTCGATCTTGACCGTATTGCTACGATAAATTCATTCCTAATAAGCGCTTAGTTGGAACAATAGTCAACTCGTCTATAGTTTTTGTGTTTGCTAGTAACAATGAATATTAAAAAGATATGGTCGCAAGAATTTGTAACTCTAAAACAAAAATATACTTTATTCTCTTAACAATTTTAAAAATTATTCAGATTCGTCAAAAACTTTTTGTTTGTCTGTCTGTTCGTCGTGATTCTACAGTGTTCAAAAGAGCAACATAACTGAGCACACCAAGAAACTCAGTCCGGCCTTTGTAACATGTCTTATAAACTAATACATTGTGAATTTAATAACCTAAGGAGTAATTCATATTACTGCCAGGCGGTCTAGTCATTAAAGAAATCGTTCAGACAATACGCCTTTTAAGACAATCTAAATTTTATAACTTTTTCAAATTTATTTATCGATAAATTTGAAACTAACAATACTATACTAGAATACAATTCCCTGCAAATGAATTAGATATTAAATTTGGGGACAGTTTCCTTATTTCTAACTTCAAATTATGCCATTTTTTGATAACAATTAAAAGTGTCCCAGGAATTATTTGAATCCAAATTAATATTACATTTTTACATTTATTATTATAGGTATTTCATGGGTGAACTGACAAAAACATCGCTTCATGAGATTTGTTATTGTATGTAAATGTAATCTTCTTACTTTTAAAGCTGAAGAGTTTGTTAGTTTTTTTGTTTGATCTCAGAAATACTGGTTCGTATTGTTTTGTGTTAGTTAGAACTTTTATTGAGGAAGGCTATAGGCTATAAAATCTGCTGTGAAACGTGAAAAAAATCCTTTTTTCATCTCTTAGCTGCCGACTGCTGCGAATTCAAAAACCCAATTTGTATGAAAGAATAATTCCTTTTTAAACGATCTAAACAATGTCCGCCACACTATATGTCTATCTTTGAAGATTAACTTGCAAGAACGACGGAACTCGAACGACGGGTCGCGAGCGACGGGACGCGTCCGATGTCGATGTCGGATAGTAGTTTAAATTTATTAAGATGAAGAGGAGGTTTGCAAAAACAAATTTGGATGCCCAAAATAACTGTTCTACGCGGACGAAGTCGCTGACACAGCTAGTTACATTATAAATTTAGTATTTCTACCACGTTATACCTGTAAAGATAGAATAAGTCATTTTCCAAGAACCTCTTGCTTGTTTGTCCTACTCTACACACCATTGCACCATGTCGGCGAGTGTATCAGTAGAAATAAGTACTTTTCAATAATTTGAACTACCAAGGTTCATTTTTTTACCCCGTTTATTTTTAATGTATCTTACTTACTTACTTATAAAAAATAATGTTACTTGTAAAAAATAATGTTATATTATTTTTGGAATGTCCAAATTCAAAACACGATACTTATGTTACATGTTACCGAGACGTTATATGGCTAGGGTATTTTGTCTACCATCAAGTGCTTCAGTCACGTGCTTGTCTGTCTTCCTCTATCAGTAAAAATACTTCTTTTTCTGCGTGTGATTGTAAATTTCTCATAATAATATAACGACCTATGAACTGACAAATAAATATTTGATTTACAGTTTTAGCTCGATGAAATTACGCCAATGGTAGATAAGTTTTAAAATATACAAGTTTACTTGGGTGAAGGTTATCGACAATCTTGACATTACCGATTCGAAGAAAAAGAGCGATATTATTATATTTAGTTCAACTTGTTTAACTAAATATAATAATAATCAGTGAAATGGACGTAAAAATGTGTTCGCCCCATGCCCCCACTGGGAAAATGGAATTCTATTAACATCATTATTTTACATTAACATTGCCTGTAGTTTACTTGAGAACTACGCCTTAAAATTAATCATTTTTAACGGTTTAAAACGCAAAATATATTAGTTAACCTATATTTAATTATGGCCCATTGTTTTGGCTGATGAAATGTACCGTTTAGTGTTTTATTTAATTTATTCAACTAGCTGACCTGTTAAATGTCCCGTTTTAATTATAATCTTTAGTGCAATAAATATTATTACAATTAACATCTTTATCATAATTGCATAATTATTATAAAACTACCTAAATAATAAAAACAATATGTTTGGTCCAATTAAATATAAAAGGCTTAAACCAATTTTGTCGGAGTTTTTACGAACATTATACATGTTTGTAATGGATTTTTTATAATTCTGTCAAGAAATAAGTTAATATTGCTTTCAAATAAATTATACGCGGTTACTCGTGGAGATGTACAACTACGAACTAGTCTAACGTCGCAACGTTTTGTTGCTAAGGTTTTCAAAAGATTTACTTTCTTTATTTGACTTGTTATTGCACATCTTAGCTTTATTAAATTAAATAAATTCGGTAATGGTCATTTAGTTATATTCGTTCGAGTCCCGCTCGTGTCATCCAATTGTTCTTTCAATTTAAAATTGAATTTAGGTAACGTTAAATTTGGTGACGTTGACGTTCTTATAAGAAAGGCTTTAATAATTGCGTAACAAGTGATTGTTAAAACATACTGTTACCAGCTAATAATAACATTGTTGGGTAAATAATAAAAAATATATGTCACGTCATAAAGTCAGTTATGTTGAAGTTAAACTTGTCTATAGTTTACGCTTTTTGACGGTTCAAAACGTTTATTTAAGTCATATATTTCGCATTTGAAGCCGTTAAAAATGTTTTATTTAAATAAAGTGAAGTATTATGGACCGTACCTAATAGGTTCATCTAGGAACATAACTGGGGGATCGTTGACGAGCTCCAATCCGATAGCCAGCCTTTTCCTTTGTCCCCCAGAAAGGTCAATGGCCCTCGTATCTCTAGCTCTGCTTACACCGAGCGATGTTATTATTTGTTCTACCTGCAATATAATGATTAGATGATAGAATAAAAAAGATAATTTTTCCTAACATATCGCATGCGAGAATATATTTCTGTGCATGTTTCAAAAAGAAACACACGGTGTTCGCTTTGAAAGATTTTTCACGGGATTCGAACACGTAACCGCTTGCGTTAATTTGTTAAATTCCAATGCGACTCCAGAAGACAGTAGAATACATGTTGTTTGTAGTTCACGCGAGTAGTACATTTAATAAAACACTTTGAACGGTTTAAAACGAGAAATACAATAGTTAACTTAATTCTTATTTATTTATCTAATACATTTCGGTTCGAAACCATTCATAGTGTTTTATTTAAATAGAATAAATGTTTTAAGTTTACACTAAATCAACCTCCCTAAACAGCAGAAAAACAATTCCAGCTTTGTATATTAGTATAGATTTTTACCCTTTGCAGTTTTTGTTGCGTGCTGATGTGAGTCCCGAGTTTCAGTTCCGCGGCGAATTTGAGTGACTCCTCAATAGTGAGCATGTCTTGTACTCTGTCATCTTGGAGAATATAACAGGATCGACGCCGAAACAATTTCTCATTCCTCAGCCGACCGTTAACGCAAATTCTGCCACTAGTTGGTGATCTGGGGAAAACAAAATTTTATCATTCCTGTTCTCCATGTTTTTTTGTTTTTGCGGGAGTTAAATTAAATCTCGTTATTGTATAGATTAAAAGATTGGAAATAATTGTATTGTCTTTTTTTTATATGGCAGAGAAGGACGACACGCATGCGGGTAATTTGATGGTAGGTAATATACCTTAGGTAGATCTAAATAGCCGGAGATCTATTTTGGCTCTTCATATTCGGAAATCCACAGACTAAACCCGAAACCCCATTTTTATCTGTGGACGGTGGTCCGTGACCCGGACAGATTTTTATAATAATACATCCTACATAACTAAATTGCATGACGAAGTCCCACATCTTTCAGAATATTTATAATTTGATTTGAAATATGCATATATTTGAACCCGTGGGGGTCGAACCCACGGCCAGTTGATTATAGTCACACATTGTTACCATTAGACCAACGACCCTGTCAAAAAGAGATAAGAACGAATCTTAGACAATTAACATACCTACAGTAACACACTTTAGTCATATTTTCTATTTATTTTATTCATAAATTGCGGTTATCATTCCTTTTTTTATAGTTAAACTCTTGTTTCCGAGAACTGGAAATTTTGATGGTCACAAATAAAATGTATTATATTAGTAATTACTTTATAAGTAATACGTAAAAGGCCGCCACTTTAAATTGAAAGGAAATGCCTGAGGTCGGTAAATGAATGCTTCCTTGAGTTTCAGACTTAGTTGCGCCGGCGCATATTGGTTCAATCTTTTTCACCAATAGTTTAAAGTTTGACCATATACATCTCTAAATTTTACATATTAAGTTTAATTAATGTTTTAGCACACATACATAACAAATGAGCCACGTTTGTGAATATCATTTTACAATATAATTTGTATTATTGATTATAAATTAAAAATAAATTGTAAATATGTTTAAATATGCAATATGTTGGCTACTTCTTAGTATTTAAGAAGAACAATAAAAATAAGTAACAGTAAGAATATTTTAAAATAATAAGAGAAAAGAATTGCTTTTACGTTACGTTAGCGTTACATTGCATACTGTGAAACATTTTGCAAAATAAGTACTTCTAACTGAGCGTTGTCGAATAGAATGTTAAGCACGATGAGTGTACAAGTATTTGGAATCAAAAACTTAGCAGATTATTTTATTTTGTTAAGGTACAAAGGCCGATCAATATCATACCATCTATACAATACGTATTCTGTAACTGTCTATACTTGTACGTGACTAGAACACGGATTTATTAAAACACTGTTGAAAATCATCTAAACTTCGGGCCGATGTTAAAAGTTTTCAAAAACTTTAACTAATATAGCGCATCTTTTAACCCGTTAAAGTGTTTTATTCGAAATCAAAATAATTTAAAAAAAAACTGTACCAAATAGATATCGCATTTTAAACCGTTAAAGCGTTTTATTTCAATCTTATGATATTACTTCTTGCTTTTGTTTGTAACTTTTTTTAATATAGAATATTTCTACTAAATGTAGCGTCACAATTAAAAACGTAAAGTAATACCGGTGTTCGAAAATGTACCATTACACGGACAGAGTTTAATTGTAGTACTAGAGGAGCGTGTTAGATGGCAATGGAGCATAACAATGAGGATATAAACAAGGCTAGTGGTGTTAGAACAATAGATTACATGTTATCCGAATGTATTACACGCACGTCACTTATTATCGTTATTTGAATGGTCCCTTTGAGATAGATCGTGATGTCTTTTGGGAGAAACGGAATTTTTTTTGAAAACTTGTATGGAAATTCGTGGTTTTTAAAGAACAATAAAACGGCGGCGGTTCCGTGCGCAAACATAAAATTTGATAGTCTCGATACCCTAATGGTATCTATCATTTACTGTTAATAATTAACTTGAGTTCACAAACAAATATGTTTCTTAAAAGCAATTATGATTTTTCCTAAAACATCTTTATCAGACTTCGTCTAGAAAATCTGGAATTTAACTGGCTGGTAAGAATACGGAAGTAAGTACTATCTACGTCACAAACCAGCGTCCACAGACGAAAAAGTTTTGTATTATCAGTTAAGGTCTGTGGATTCGGAATGTCAAGCCGATGAAATTGACAACTGTAGATTTGAAATCATCTTCTTTAGATGTTATGTGTAAGATATTCTACCTTTCATCAAGTGAAACTTATGTTTGTCTGTCCTCCTCACTGTATTAGTAAAACTGTAAATAGTCGTGGGGGGAAAGTAATAACATAATTCAAACCATAGATATAATATTAGTAACATCCCTATCAAAGTTGACATTTGATGTGTTAGTCATACATTGAACTTTAGTTAGATGAGTCACTGTTTGGTATCGTACAATTCCGAAAGATATTATTTAAAAAAAAAATAAGTATATTTTTTTCAGAAGAGTGCTGGACACTAACTTGAAGGTTTCCCTGTTATTAACTTGGTAAAGAATAGTAGGTATACGAATTTAAATTAAACCACTTTAACGGTTTAAAACGCGATATATTAGTTACTTTTAACTTAGTTAAAAATCATTTTCAAATAAGTTTACCTAATTTATCGCGTTTTAAACCGTTAAAGTGTTTTATTTAAATGTGTACTACTCGCTAAACTATAGGACAGTATTTAGGCATACGAATTTCATAACAGAGCCTTTTTTATTTCAAATTTTATTATTTATCAAGAAAAATGGCGATGTAATGTAATGAAGCCATCTAAAGCTTTTAAGTATTATTTTTTTGTAGTATAAATTCAATTCGGTATGTTGTGAATGTATCAACTGCCGTGGCAACCATTTTTAATAGTCGGGTGTAAAAGGCAAACCAAAAAGTTGTTTTTAGTATTTTTAATTTTCGGTACGGAACCCAAATTTTTGATTTATTTCGTATTTATTTAATAATACTCATAGATAGAGACTGTGTTATAATGTAACTTGTAAGACACAAGAAGTGTGTAATTGAAATTTGAAAAATTTAATTGGAAAAATTGTTACTGAAATTTTGTATTAATAACTCACTATGCCCCATAGATGATAAGCTTTAATCTAATTTATGGGTTCATAGATTATCAAAGAGTTATTTACATCGTTTATGCCATTAAAACTCAAGCAAGCTCAAATTCCCCGCGTTTACAATATTCGTTGTTAGTAGGTACTTCGTTCTGAATAATGCATCCATCTTGACAAATATCAATATCAATGCCATATAACATTTAAACAAGAGCGCTATGGACCTATTTTGGTGTTGGATATTCGGGAATCCGCAGACTGACTTCTGCACCTATGGATGGTGGTTTGTTTAGATAAATGTTGAACCCGGTGGGAATCGAACCCAGGACACAATACATTGCCACTACACGAACGAGTCCGTCAAATTCATATTATTTTGAGATTGGGGATTTTATCAGTCCAATAATAGTAAATAAATAGTGATAATCATTATTACTCGTGTTTAGTTTACGTAAATAAGTAAAATGCATTGAGTACATATCTATAATGTTTGTTGATGTTTAGAAAGCGTTCTATACAATAATATTATAAATACGAGTGTTTATTTGTCTCTTCTACGTCAAACATTTCTTCACAATCTGGTATTCAGAAAGAACCTTTTACTTTAAGTAGCAGAATCTTAAATATGACAATATTGTATCCATGATGTATCTGTCTCTCTTCTTATTGTCCTCTAAGTTATGTTTTTTTTTCTTGTTCAATGATAAACCACTGAATAGTTTAAAAGCTGTACCGACCCAGAATCTACAATACCTACAAACATGCCGGATATGTTATATAGCTAAATCCTTCGAAATTATCGTAAATAGAGGAGACAGGGTTTTACTGAGGTAACTTAAGTATTTATATAACAGAAATTTTTTTACAAATTTTACAGTAACATTCTTGGAGAATAGTTCAGTATTTTATCAGAACCCGTTTCTTAACAAAGTTAAAAAGATTTAAATATAACACTTTAACGGTTTAAAACGCGATATATTATGTTTGAAAACATTAATATTGTTTACGTGTTGTGCACATGAAGGCACCATATAATTTAAAATTCGAAATAAATTAAAAAAATTTTCGAGAGCAACATCACGGAACGCTGACGTTTTTAAATTATACGCGATATATTAGTTAAACTTATTTAAAAATGATTTTTCACTTCGGCTCCTATTTTTAATTTTGTCTCCCCATGACCACGGCTGCTGCAAAGCATCCGAAACGTCGAAGTGAAAAATCATTTTCAAATAAGTTAAACCACTATATCGCGTTTGAAACCGTTAAAGTGTTTTATTTAAATGTGTACTACTCGCGAAAACTATGGACACTATAAAAAATTAAAAAAAGATAGACATTTTCTATCTCTTTTCAACTTTGTGTATATGTGTGTTATAGTTTTATTAACTATGCCAGTATTATGTTAATGGGGTCGGGAGTGGACATCTGCTATATGTATAGATAAGGATTAAACAACAGTAGCTATCTGGCTCTATGCCACGTGTTTGAACCACGGAGTATAGATGATAATATATATGATATTCAATAGTTCTTACTATTACGATTATCCTTAAGCATGCAATGTTAAGTTGAGCATGTTAAGTTTTACAGAAAACTTCGTTTGTTATTATGACCATAAAAGATTTTTAAAACGAAATTGATATCTTTCTAATGTATAACATTAGATTGTGCTTTTATAAACGTTTTGCATATTGTTACATATTTTTATTCAATATATAATGAGAATTACCACTCTCGTTAATTGTTAATTTAGCTAAATTCTAAAACAAAACAAAAAATAAAACAATTTTACAACAAGGATCACTGTAGCTATTTTAACGAAATCAAAAGTCCTACTAAAATATATCGGTATTATATTTACTCTTTCTATATACTCTCTAGCCGGGCAATAGGTAAAATAATTTTCAAATAAGTTTAACTAATAAATATCGCGTTTTAAACCGTTACTGTGTTTCCTATACAGGGTGTCCCAAGAAGTAGTGTCAAGCAGTGGTCCCAAGATAGAACACCCCTTCGAGCATCCGAAACACCCCCATTAATGTTCTGCGTTTATTTATAGTTTTCGAGTTACGATTTTTATTCTAAATTTTTGAGAAAAATTTTGACTTAAACAACTTAAACGCTAATTTTAAAAACGTGATAAGACATTTCTAGATTTTTTTTCACAGCTCAACAAGCATGAGTTGTACATTAATAATAACATTTGTCTTCGTGACCTTAACGGAAGTTAGAAATATGATGGTTCAAAGTGAAAAAGTTACGAGCCGTGAATTGCGTTTTAAAATTTTAACTTTAAATTTAAAATATTAATAGGTAGCTTTGTAGCTCATAAGTAAGTTTAAAAACTGCGCCAGACTCTCAGCTTTAATAATCATTAAAAAAGGATTACATAATACGCTACTTTTGCTAATACCGGACCTCAAAGACAGAAATCATTGAAGATGAAAATACAAAGTTATAACGCTTGAAAACTTAATATTTTTCACATGTTATTTATTGCACATGATGGCACTATATAATTCCTGCCCGAGTCGAAATTTTTTTCAATTTATTTTCGACTTTTTAATTATTTTCACATACGTTATTGCACATGATAGCTCTACATAAATAAAAATATATTTATGACACAGACGGTACTCAAGCACACGATAGCTTAGTAAGAGCGACAGCTCAAAAGCATGTGGTCGTGGGTACCAAATCCACCCGATTCATAAATTTTTAACTTTTATAAATATTTAATTTAAAAGCAATGAATGTATATTTCATAGACACATCTAAGTATTATAATATGTAGCCCTAAACTTAATTAATTACTTAATGACATTTTTATGGAGTTTATGGAGGCCTGATAAAGGACTAAAACAAAGGCGCAAATGTGTCTCATAGCTATTTCAAGCTCTAGTGTTGAAACAGTGTCGATGAACTTCACATGTGTAAGAGTTATTTTGTTTGTACATCGATACGTAATTACAATGCATACTATATTTTATTTAGAGAATAACTGATAGCGCTACTTATATCTAATGCGTAGTGTTAAGCCATTATAAGTGAATGAATTTATTATTAATAATGCGCCGAACATTCAGAGCGGAAATAAGTCGATAGCGCATCTTGTTTGATGATGTGTAGGTGGGATATTTCACCTTCCCTCAAATGAACCCCACCCCCCATATTTGTCTCCCTTCCATTAACACAAAAAAGTTTAAATAAAACACTTTACCGCTTTAAAACGTGATATATATCAGTTAAATTTATTTGAAAATTATTTTAACTACGACTGTTTAATTGTTTTATTTAAACAAAATAAAAACTAACAATAGAAATATTTTTTTTGTACAATGAAAAATAAAAAACAATCAAAGTACCTACTACTTTGTATTTTATTGTGCTTAACTATATATTTTTTAATCTTACCCAGAAGAATGTATTTCTTATTAAACTTAAATAAATGTTATTATAACCACAAGGCTAAACCTTGGAAATACGATTCGCTAGGTTTTGTTGCTAATTAATGTTTTCAGGTATTAAAGTTTGATTTCTTGAAGAACGCGAAATGAATTAGGTAACTTATTTTCAATTTATTTTTAACATAAAAATACGATATAATAATAATAACGAAATACTCTCGGTATTTCGTTATTACTATTACGAGAGCACAAAGTCAGTCAATTCTGTCAAGATCCAGCTAGTTTAGTAGAGAAAACGGATGGCGCTAGCGTGACCACGTTGCAAATCATCAGAGACGTTGGGCCTTAGTTTAAATACATTGAAAATAAGTTAACTAGTACATTTTAAGTTTAGAGCCGTTAAAAGTGTTTTAGAATAGAATAGTAATAGTAACACGTTTATTTAGAAACAACACAATTAAAAATGACTAATTTTACAACCTAATATAAAATAACACATATATAATATTATATAACTAAATACACACAGAATACAACAATATAGCCGCGGATAGGAGACTCTGCTAGTATGGTACTAATATTCCAACACTGATGTTCTGTGGCGCCTTCAGAGACCGAGTTTGACGTGTTCGTCAATTATTTTTAATATAAACTACAGACAACACTTAAAGTTGTATTTCTTTAAAATATTGGCGCGTGGGCAGCGCACGCGTTACATAGTATTATAAGTAGTGCTTACGTATATCCTGCAAGGATGTCCAACAAAGAGCTCTTTCCTGCGCCTGATTGTCCTATGATGACACTCACTTCACCAGCGTTAAATTGTCCACTCACACCGTTTAATATCGTCTTGGATCCTATTAAAAGAAAAAATAAGTTTCAAATAAAGGATGTTAATGCAAAAAAAATGGAATGTAAGTTGCCCCGCTATATCCATACTAATTTATAAAGCTAGTTTGTTTGAACGCGTTAATCTCGTAACTACTGGTTCAAATTGAACAATTCTTCTTGTGTTGGTTAGAATATTTATCGAGGAAAGCTATTTGCTATAAAACATGGGCGAAGAAACAGCGGAAAATGTGAAAAAAAAAACGGGGAAGATTATTCATCGGAAAACGGTTCAAGATAACCAAAAATATATATAAATGACAGACGCAACGGGACGTGGATGAAGACGCTGACACAGCTAGAAAGAAATCTTATTTTACCTAAAGAAAATGCGCCGCCGACGCGGATATACATTTCCGAATAAATGGATTTCTGACCCACCTAATTTTTCGATTTTCCTACACTCATTTAATGTAAACATTTTCCGATGATGTTTATCGTGTTATTTTCTACCCGACATTTCGCATATCTTTCGTTGAAGTTGTTTCAAAATAAAATTTATTTTACAGCATACTTATTTTACAGTGGCTAATTCCGCCTTTAGTTTTTTAGTGTTAAAAATAACGAGTAAAAACAATGTGGTCATTTTAATTACCTTAAACAGGAAAAATTTCTTAATATAAACGTCAGCTTTAAGCGATTATTACTTAAATGTTAAAAATATATAAAGTTACATGAAAAATAGTACAATAGGTTTCTACAATTCGCGGCCATTTAATTTTTTTTTAATTAACTTCGTTTAAAACTCGAATTTAGTTCATTTCACTTGAAAATTATAAACATGTTGCAATGTTTTATCATATTATGTAGTTTAAGTAAAATAATTATCTCTATATCATCGGAGCTCTAAAATTACGACTAGTTTCAAAAATACTAACGGAGATATAATCTGTATTTGTGTCCTAGCATTGGTAATGAATAGAAAATAAAGGTCAAAAGTCGACTATATTTTCCTTCATTAAATATCTATTTATATGTATCTATACTAATATTATAAAGCGGAAACTACTGGTTTTAGAAAAGCTTTAGCGAATAATCCATTGGAAATGTGGAACAAACGGGGGAAAATATTTATCTTTGAAAGTTTCGTTGCGTGCGCAACGAAAACGGTTCAAGATATTCAAGAAAATATGTATGAAAGAATTATTCTTCTTTAAATGATCAAAAATATGTCCGCGACACTATATGCCTATCTTAAAAGATTAACTTGCAAGAAAGGTGGGACACGACCGACGTCGTGAACAGCTTAAATCTATAAAAATGAAGAGATTTGCAAAAACAAATTTTGACGACAAAAATAACTTTTCTACGCGGACGAAGTCGCTGACACAGCTAGTCCATAAAATAGCCAAAACCGTTGATTACTTATTACAATAAGACGTCCCTTATTAGAGGTATCTTTTAATAATAATTAAATGTCTCATTTGTAAAAATAATTAAAGCACGTTTTAATTCAATTATTATTCTGATAAGACTGTGGACGCTTAACGAGAAACATAATTTCAATTAACTCGTCGATCAACCTTTGTACTTACGTTTTTCGTATAATAATGTAATGACTGTAGCAAATAACGTATCGTTCTTGTGTCTAGAGTATGTTTTTGCTGTTATAGTCTAAGTGGGTTTGTAATCGTTTTAGTTTGAACCGTTTATCCCACAGCTGGGCAGATTCGGGTAGTAGGCATGGCCTACTACGCGAACATTATTCTAAGCAAAATTCCAAACACAAAAACATTATATACCACTGGACCAACGAGGAAATATTGTGGTTTCCACCAATATGGCGTAAACCTTATACAATTACATAACAAACTCCCGAATTGTAAATGAACTTATCTACATAAAAATTAACCTTTATCATTCTTTACGACGCTATCGTATCCGAGTCGTATAAAGGCATAAAAGTAACACAGATAATAACGAAAAATTTAAAAGATCACGGAGCTGTTTATCAAAATTGTTTAATAGTTAAATAAGTTGATAAACGTGACCTTAGTACCACATTTTTACACATGAGATAACCTGGCAAGTTATAAGCGTTTTTTAATTAAGCGATGTTTGGTGATTTTGGCAATATAAAATATTCGGCTGACCCGGAAAACGGCTGTCTAGAAAAAAAATAACGGGCTTTGTGTGGACAAAGAGCAAGTATAACTTTTTCTATAAAAAATAGGGTTTAGTAGTTTTGATGTTTTTATTATTATCAACTAATAAACCACCGGTTAAACAGAAGTTTATTTTGACATTGACATTGACATTACACATCGACAGACGTTATTCTTCTAATTGAAATCATTATTTATCTGTGGAAGTGGATCGAAGTCTAATAAGTTCTTGAAGCACAAATTTTCTTTATATGTATTTAATATATTCGTAATTATTATTAATTAGTAAAGAATATGAAACGAGTTTTATATATTTAAATTGTATACCTACGCGAAATATTTTAAATAAGAAAACTAAAACGAATCTATACTAATATATAAAGCTAAAGAGTTTGTTTGTTTGTTTGAACGCGTTAATCTCAGGAACTACTAGTTCAAATTAACGAAAATAGTTTTGTGTTAGTTAGAGTATTTATCCAGAAAGGTTATAAAACATCGGGCTGTGACTAATAGAAGCGAAGATAGAGCGGGAAATGTGAACGAAACGGGGGAAATTTTTCATCTCCGTGGGCTTCAGATGCATACGCTGCGAAAACGGTTAGATAAGATACCTAAAAAAATTGTATTACAGACTTATTCCTCTTTAAATGATCTAAAAAAAAGTCCGCGGCGCTATATGTTTATTTTTTAAGATTAACTTGCAAGAACGACGGGAAGCGACTCAACCGACGTCGTGGGTAACAGCTTAAGTTCATAAAGATGACGGAGTTTGCAAAAACTTATTTGGATGCCCAAAGTAACGATTCTCGCGGACGAAGCTACACACAGCTAGTTCATAATGAAGTCTGATACCAAGATATCTCGAAAAAGTATCGATATTTTTTACGAGATTTTAATTATAGGGATTTGAACAGTTGTTGACCTGTATCTGGATTTTGGTGATAAATATGCAAGACATAAGAGTATGTGGTGATGTAATTTCGAGCGAGTTATAAGATCGTGAATAAAGAACTCATAAATTTAGTTTTATTACACAATACTAACTTCTTTCAATGTTTACTTCTTAGTGTTTCGTATTCAAGCACGAATTTATTCTTTCATTTTATAGCCGTAGTTTTAAATTCCTGTCGCTTTTGTTAAAGTTTGACCGCGAGAGGTCCTGAGATACTCGGGAAGCGTAGTTTTGGTCGGGCAGGGCACAGATCTCTCGATTAATTGCCTATAAGAGACCAGAGTAACAGACAATATGTCTATGCCACTTACAGGGGAATATCGATTTTAATTTTAATAATATATATAAAACTTCAAAAGAAGCAAATCATGTTTAGATTTCCCTCGTTGGTAGCACATACTGACGAATAGAAATCACCTTTAAATAACGCAATTAATAACAGCAAAACGAATTTAAACAGTTAACCTTCGCCTTAATGTTTAAATTTAAGAGCTTATTAACTGTTTAATTTTATTGTTATGACATGACGAGACCTAGGCACGAGCAAAGAATGTTTAATAATATCAAATGACCAATGTGATAAAAACTATTGAATAAAGACGACCACAGTGTAAAAATTACAGTTGGACTCATTCGGAAATATTTAAAGCGTCTAGTTTAGCATCCATCCTATTTTAGCTGTAATAGATGTCGTCGCTCTTTGACTCTGAGAACACGTGTAATTAAATCTTTTACTGCGATAAGTATGATAACATATACATACAATAACGCGTGTGATATCTGAACCCTTAACCGACAGTTGTATTCAATGTTACTTACATAATAACGTAGTATCGTTCAAATAAAATACTTAAACCCTGTATTCATTTAAATAAAAAGCTTTCACGGTTTAAAAGGCGAAATATTAAAGTTGAACTATTTAGACATCAAATACTGTCTATAGTTTACGCGAGTAGTACACATTTAAATAAAACACTTTAACGGTTTAAAACGCGATATATTAGTTAAACTTATTTGAAAATGATTTTTAACTTCGGCCCGACGGTTCGGATGCTCCCCAGTCCGTCTCCCCGTGACCACGGCTGCTGCAAAGCATCCGTTGGGCCGAAGTTAAAAATCATTTTCAAATAAGTTTTAATAATATATCGCGTTTTAAACCGTTAAAGTGTTTTATTTAAATATTTAGACATCATTATAACTATAGTAGCAGTCTTGGGAGACTTAAGATGGAGAGTGTCCCTAATGTCAAAGTAAAAAATGCACTTTAAACTGTTAAAAGTGTTTTATTTAAATGTGTACTGGGTACTTGCGTAAACTACAGACTCTTTATTTATTTGTCAATTAATTTATAACTTTGAGAAAGTTTAGGATGGACCCTTACCATCCCAACTGCTGCAAAGCATCCTCAATAAGGTGTCGTAGCAAAAATTAGTAATCTAATATATTTCGCGTTTTAATCCGTTAAAAAGTGTGTAATGTGTACATTACATGTTTGTACGTTTACATAAATTTCGTTCAATCAGAATTACTTAATGAATTGTTTATGTAATAACAATCGATTAGTGAATGTTGACAAACATTACCTCCTGGCAGTAGAGTGTGCCGCACTTTGTATGTTATGTCTTCGAAGGCGATGTTTACGTCGTCGGTTATCGACGCTGATGTGCTTTCGGAGCGGCTGTCGGTCACCATTTTCGGTGTTTCACACGCACTGGGACTACACAAGAATTCGTGACGCGCCCATTGCGGGACACAAAGCGATCGCGTAAACAAAGAAATCACGCTGCGCGCTGACCGACGCCCGACCGCTGGAGCGATTAGTGGGGGACTGGTATAGAACGCGCACTGACATCCAGTTATCGTCCTCCCCACCAGCGCTGTCAAGTTAGCAGCTGATTGCCGTTATCGGAACCCCGATTGACGAGTTTTTGGGTTATTAGCTGTGGCCGGTCTTCGTCTTGTACTCTATAAAGGGCTAATCTGTTAGTTGGTAACGTCGACTGTAACATTAGGGACTATTCATTTTTTATGTCCGACCATTTTCGCTAGGCTTTGACTTCTATAAAAAAATAAAAAACAGGCTGACTACCTCCTCCTTGTTAAATTTTTGTACTTACAAAGATGCTAATCATTTTTATTTCTTGGTAATATAAACTTGGGTTTTATTAGACTATATATATAGACTTTTAGTCCAAGGGCTCAAAGCCAACTCAATTGCAATAATTTGAACATTGTGCATTTGTGATATTATGTAAGAACTATCGACTCCTTATTGTTTATTACAAGGAGAAAGAAGAAATTAAACATTGCCGACTTCCCTCCCCCGTAAATCGTCTCACAAAAAATACGAATGCCTCCTTAGTTGCGGATTCGATTTCCGCTTGTATAATACATTTTCTAAGGTCAGCTTGCATACATTGTCTATAGTTTGTGTGCACATTTTATAAAACGACGATTTGTTTTTAAATTTAAATAGAAAAGTTGTATTAAATGAATAAGGCATTAAAGTTGAAGTGGTTATAAGTTAATTTTTTTTTAAAAGATGGTTGTTATATTTTTGCTATTATGCCAATTCACTAACAATTAAATTTTACACGAATTCTATTATTAAGAATAAAAAGCTATAATAAGCAATCTGTAAGACTTATTACATCAGAGTGACAGCGCTATTGGATTGAGCCCGTAAGTTGTTGCATTGCCCTGTTCATATCTTTCGTCGGATGTTGGTTTTTTTATGGTCTCCATTGGTTTTAGTTACACAATATTCACGTGTATGCTTACTTAGGAATAAAATAGTTTCCAAAAATATTCAGCATACATGACGTATTAATAATAATAATTATCCAGATATTTATAATCTAATGACAATTATACTACGCTTATATAACTACAATAATTGCACAGTGTGATGGTTACGGGTTCGATTTCCGCCTTTGTCATACATAGTCAGTTATATCTAGGTTATCTAGGTTTTTAGTCTTTCATGCTCCTTAAGATTAGTACATTTGCATAATATGCTAAAGAAAGAACAAATTGACGATTCGTTGTCGAAACATTATTGTAATACAATTACAAAGTAGATAGCTTAGCGTGATAGAAGGCCGCGGCGAATTTTGATTCGTAGGTCGCAGTCGAGAATTAGAATACTTTTATATATTTATTTTAGTTTATTAGTTATAATAGTTTATTTTAATCGTACGTTTTGAAATTGAAGTCTTGTTTCCCGCCTGACTTATGTAATATATCTGTTTCACTCGTTTAGATTCAAACCAACGACCTCTTGCGCTTATTTTGTCAAATCAACATAGGGAAAACGAAAATTTGCACTATAAGAACAAACATCAATTCTTTATAAGTATATGAACTATGATTGATAATTAGTCTAAACCAATCATCCATCTAAGTATAGGAAGGTCGACAACTACCGATGTCATATTTAAGACATTACAATATCTCCACTTGTGTTGCTGGAAGAAATTACAAAAGTTAGATTCGGCCTACTATTCTTGGTATTAAAGTGTTCTGTTGTATTCTTAATACAGTAACACGAACTATTTAATCGCTCGGTCAGAAGCTGTGACGAATTTAAGATATTCTAAACCTCCTTTCTTCCTTAATTTTTTCTTGTATCCCAGGGCTCGAATCCGCATCATTTTCTGTTCAAAACAATAGTAACTTACTAAGTAACTTGCTTTATGGCTTGCGGAGGAGCTGATGTTAAGCTAGGAAATCACGATTATGATATAAATAAATAGTAAAAGTATAATATCGCTTCACAATAAAAACTTCTTTATATCCTCGTCGTGATTACGCTGTAAGAAAATGTGGTTTTCGACTCATGGAAACTGCTTTATTGTGTTGGAATTGCAATAAAAAAATGTAATGATTCATTTATGTCAGTTCTCGGTGCGAGTTGAGTGCACGCGAACTCAAACTACTTATTAAGTTTGCTTAATTTTGACGAAATTAATCTGCTAATTGTGAGAACCGGCAAAATCACTTTATAGTCTGAATGACTTTTGTCTTCCTTGACTTTGTTTGGGTTCCATGCCATATTTACAACAAATATATATACCTACATATATAGCTAATAAAACAGCAAATACATTTAAAGGAAATTTACTCTGATGTGAGAGATGAGACTCGAACCAACTACGACGAAAGTGTGTGATGAAGCTCTTTGTTCAATATGCTAAGCAAAGGGCGTTTAGCTATATCGTATGGCTTACTATGGAAGGACAGCAATTGTGTTATCTGGCATATGATAAACTATTATCAACATTATGTAAACCTTTACCTAGTTAAACTATGTTTCGTAGTTAATTGTGTAAGAAATCTTTCTACAACTATCAATTGAATTACTTTTCTTTTATATTTAGGTAGTTAGGATTACAATACGTTTTTGGGCAAAGCAGATTTGAAATGTTAATTTTTATCAATTCTTAGCTCTGCAAAAATGTACCAAAATGTTCTTAAATCATAAAAATGTTAATCAACAAGCTTCCATTAAGTTACTCAGTGTTTGGTTTTACAAAATATTCCAGTACAAGTTAAGTACGAATGTACTGAAAACTAAACAACGATATTTTTAGGGAAATAAAAGCAAAACATCTTGTAAGTTGTTTAACGGATTGTGTCGGTTGCGATAAAAAGAATTAACTTAGTACGATGCAATGAAAGTTAGGTGCGACTAGTACGAATGTACTTAATGCTTGAAATAATCTGAGCATGACGTGTTTTAAGGAAACTCTGCATATTGGAGTTTCTATGTTTAAATCAGCAATGCCAGTTTTATACCGCCCTTATATAATAAATGTCTTTCTTATTTTATCACATTAATTTTTCATGACAACGGAGCGCAGACAAGGACACAATGTTCACATCATGTCATGATCTATTGTGAAATACCTCAGCCATATAACATCTAAACCAATGCGATATCGGCCTATGTCCTTAAAGATTCAGAAATAGACACACTGAAATAGTCCCGACAACAAATGAAGAAACTTTGAAGTTTAACACCGTTTTATTATCGGTGGACGGTGTTTCGTGGCCCGAGTGTAATTTTAATATTCCTACCGCTTATTTAAAAACCACATTTGCAGGTAAAGCTCAAAATGTTTCACAAGAATTGTAAATTGTATGGGAATATGTTGGACCCGGTAGGGAACGAATCCACAGCAATACATCGCAACGATTAGATTAACGAATCCGACAAACGCCCTACAGATATATGTCGATAAAGTAACTATTAGTAATAACTGAGAAAGAGATGTATTAGTAATTTTTTATCATGTTGTACGATTTGTAACGATAACCCTGTTTAAATAACATCTTAATGTAAATAATGCGGTTATCATCAAGAGACGTTTTTAACATTATCAAGTTGAATGTTTCAAACGACTAAAATTATTTCGTAATTTTTTTGGCAATACAATTATAATGCCTCGTGTGGCGCGTTAGGCCGTCGGTACCGGTTCTCACTAATTTAATGGCGGTTGGCGTTAATGGGCAGTAGAGCGAAAAGGGGTTGAACAGGGTACAGTCAATGTTGGTGGGACCTACGATTTCTATGTGAAGCTTACAATGTACTAACAATTCTAATTAACTTTAAAATGTTTGTTATCACAACTCCCACTTTGGAGGAGTTGTGACAACATTTTAAAGTACGAAAGTTTATTTATATTATATATTTTATACTTCATTTATATTTGTATTATATTATATATTTTAGAGTACGAAGTTGGGGTAATAATAAAAAAAACACTGATGAATGTTGGTGAACGATTACAAATACAAATACACACAAAAATATATTGATTTCAGATAATCTCTCTAATAATCTCTTATTTTCATAAGCCTCTAATGTAATATATGTATAACATGGTAGTCTCTTATTAATTCTATTGTTAATATCATTTGTATCAAAATAAAGAAGAATGATCACTAACGACATCTAGCGTCAGGGACACTGAATCTAACTGTACGTATAATGTTATGGACAGTTAAGCTTATAAAATCTGTTGTATAACAGCAAAGCTATGAAACAGGTGCTACTGTTTTAATAAACCGTTTAAAACCAGAAATATATTAGTTAATTTAATTCCAGCAATTTGGATGCTTTTGTAGCGTGGCTACGGGGGTTTAAAGATGGAGTGTCCCTAATGTCAAAGTCAAATCTGCTACGCTAGCGTCACCTGTGGGTCCTTAAAGAACTAACTAACGGTGTTCTTTCCTCTAGTTATAGCTACGGCAGCGGTCTTCAAATACATTAAAAACAATGTAGGGAAATTAAAAACTTTTTATGCGTATGAATAAAACATATTATATTACAAAATATTTTATTTTAAGTAACAGGCATAATACAAATGTTAACGAGAGGTATACGTTTGAAACTTGATATCAAAATCTTTTGTATACACGTACATTTCTCGTTTTAATTTTAATATGAGAAAAGGCAATATTTTTTGGTCTTCACTGCAGAACTTATATAAATAACATTTTACTTGGCAACGCCTATTCTGTATAAAAAGTAAACTATGCGACTTTAAGTGCACAATTGACAAACTATAATAAGTCAAGAGATAACAAATGTCGAATTTTGCAATATTAAATCGATTGGTTTTTACTTTTCATAAAATAAGGCCTAAATATCACTGGTCGAATGACTCTTTGCACTATTTAGTTTGCTTTTTACACAGCTTTATACACTCAAGGCATTAAAAAATGTACCAAGAAGTAAAAAAGTTATTTCTTGAAATTCAGTATTCACATTCACTACTTAAAATTAAACTAAGGCTAAATGTTTCAAATAACACCTACACCTTAAAAGCAGTGTAAATATTATAATTATAAAAATACTTCAATAAAATTTCACATAAGGCTTAGACTATTGCTAATTCAAAAATGTCATGCTTTTCAAATTCTTTAAAGCTATCAGCTATAGCCAGAGATTGCAAACTTTTGTATTTGACGCTGTAAATAAAAATAAATAATCTACTAATACTCGTTTCTACCACTTGTATATCAACTAATAATTACATTAAACATTAGGATAAAACATTTTACAATAACTATATTGTGTTTGACCTTAAAGTTCAAACGATTAGATCGTAATGATTTGTTTTGTGTGAGGCAAGAACGGTGATAAAATAATATTAATAAGTAATATAAATTAATTTAATTACTTTATCGAGAATATACAAAGTAACAAATTTATTCATTATAATAGTGTCTTTTACCCATTAATCATTAAGTTTTAGATTGTATTACTTCAAAAGTAAAGATTTTTACATCAATTTAAATCACTATTAGTAGATACATCATATCTATTTATTTATCAATACAGTCTGGCAGTAAAATTATATCTAGCATTTACGCTTTCAACATGGACACTAAAAGTGTTTTAAAGCAAAAATTGCTATTTTATAACCAGTAATACCCTCAGCCAGTGAATTTCATCTTAATTCTGTTAAGATATTATACTATAATTTACATTGTCCACATTCCGATAGATGGCGTTACATTCATCTCTTGTTCAGTCTGTACCATAAAGCGGTACAAGTTAATATGTGCATGAGGACTGTTGTGGAAAGGACGACGGCTATGTTGCTTCCTACGTCAATCTCGGCCATATCCATTTCTTTCAGGAATGTACTGGGAGTTATATAGTGGCAGTATACTGAAACAATATTGATAAATTAAAAAACCTTGTCAACTCCTGATAAGTAAACGAGTGAAATCTTAATGAGTAAATGTTATTCATTTATGTATCTATTTTATTTTCTTTTGATAGAGTATAGGGTTCATTTGATGAAAGATAAAATACCCCAGCCATATAAAATCTAACTAAGATATGCTGTCGACCTTTTGCGCTTCGGATCGTCTGTAATCCACAGATTATAAAATTATTAGAAACACTGTCTATAGTTTACGCGAGTAGTACACATTTAAATAAAACACTTTAACGGTTTAAAACGCGATATACTCGTTAAAAATCATTTTCAAATAAGTTTAACTAATATATCGCGTTTTAAATCGTTAAAGTGTTTTATTTAAATTAGAAACACGTTTAACCCGGTGGAAATCGACCCCACAATCTGTTGATTAGCCATACATTAGCTAGTATATTTAAACAGTTGTACTTTTCGTTTCAGGAGAGTTATTTAACTTATTTCAATTTTTTATTGCATTCAATATGAAAGGAAATAAAAAATATACTAGTAATTCATAATGAAACATTAATAAATAAGAAAATACATGGATCACAAGCTTAAACAGGATATTAGCAGAAAATTAATAACTTACTCTTTGAACAGTGCATTTTCGTTCTATTGAAGCCATACACCGAATGTACTGCAAGATGGAAACCCGCTCTGAAGTACGATATATGGTGTAGCCATCGGAAAAAGTAAGGTGTGTCTCTTAGTGCTAGACAGAACCCGAATACTGAAAATAGACAGGCTAAGACCGGGCCGATGAAAACAGCAATCTGAAACAATATTTAACAAATATATAAGAGAGAAATTTCGTAGGAACAAATATAAACTGTTTATAACACAACACTTATTTAAATAATGTTTATCAATAACGTTACGGAAATAGACAGGTATAATACTGCTATAAACATTCTTAGCACTGATTTTTGAGTAAAAATACTAATATTTTTTTTAATAGCAATAACTTTTAACGATGGTTCTTATACTTTAACGGTTTAAAACTCATAATATATTAAATACACCAATTGACATTATTTTAACTGGTCACGGGGTAGCGGGGGCCGCAAGGCACATGTTGGGCCGTAGTTAAAATAATTTAAATACGTTTTACTAATATATTGGTTTATTTTGCTTGAACAATTTCTTCATTTTTATATACTCATATCTAAGTAACAAATACATAAAATAAGAATTTTTCTACAACACAGATTACTACGGGAAAAGTTTAGTTTTTTTTCTAATCAGTGCTAAGTATTTGGACATGAAACATTGCAATTTGCAATTGGCGAGTTTTACTTCAACATACTTCAAAGAAAATAGTCGTAGTTACGACATTGCCAATTACTGATAGAAGGCGATAGAAATTTTACACACGCAACCATTATCTACTATTAAGCATCGCTCGTAATAATAATCTGATTGCGTCAATTTCATAGAATTAATTTAAGTGGGAGAACAAACAGATAATAGTGAAAATTGGATTCGTAAGGAGTTGACAAGATTTTTATAACAGTTTCCTGCAACTATTACCGCCATGTTTTACATGTATACTAATGTTATACAGCAGAAGAGTTGTTTGAACGCGCTAATTCAGGAAAAAAAGGTTCGAATTAAAAAAAAATGTGTCGGTTAGATCGTTTATCGAGGAAGGCTTTAGGTTATAAAACACACACCCAATACATTGCGCCTAATTGGATCGAAGTAACAGTGGAAACTGACCGGGACAGTATACGTCTGTCTTATAAGATTAACTTGCAAGAACGACGGGATGTGGGGTAGCGCTTAATAGCTATAACAATTTATAAGGACGAGAAGTTTGCAAGAATAAATTTTAATGCCCAAAACCTAGAAGCTAGTAATAAATATTTTGGTTGTTCGTACCTTAGTAGGTGTAGTAGAACCGATGAAATAACCCCAGGCCTGAGCGCACAATGACGTGGCAACAATGGTTGCGAGGAAAAGTGTCGCTCTATTTGGTTCCAATGGGTTATCCGTCAGCCAATAGGATAGAACCACGTAGGACACACATGATATCATCTGAAAGAGAAATAAGTTTTATAATGTTAATAAGAAAATAAAAAACCTGTCTGAACTAAAACTGACAACACACGACTTACTCGCCGTAGTTTACGCGAATAGTAAACATTTAAATAAAACACTGCTCACTTGCTGCTGCTGCAAAGCATCCGAAACGTCGATGAAAAATAATTTTCAAAAAAAAACAGAAGTAAACATAAAAAGAAGATATATTGAAAAACAAAACTAAAAGTATAACAACAATGGTGTCAATAATTTAAGTTTAGTATAATTAAAATAAAAAAACTTCTTAAAACTAATATCGAATTTCTAATTTATTATATAGTAAGGAATAAAAATTTAAAAATTTACCTGAAAGGGTAACTCCACTGCTAATATCGAGAAAATATATGGACCCAAACTGTACCATCGATTGAAATATTCTCCTTTCAGTATTGCCATCTCCAGGGGAACTGAAATTGAAAAATAGTATTTTTAAAACCATATTATATTGCGTTTCATTATTGGGGAAAAGGTTATGATTTTTCTGTATGCAGACAAGGGGAAACTGGTTTAATGCTATATATTATTGAGACGGAAAAACAATGTTAAATTCTAAAATATTCATTTATTAGCCAAAATTAGGCTTAGCCGACAAAATGCGCGCCAACGTTCGTATTTGACAGTTCCTGAGCTAGTGCGGGGACGCGCGTGGTTATCGCGTCGCACTAGTGTTGTGTCGTCCCCGCTAAGTCGGAGGATTATTCATATCAATAGATATAAACTATTATTTTGAATTATATTTTATTTTACCATATTTAAGAATACTCAGGTGATATTTACTATAATCACGTTATCACCAATTCTTATTGACGATGACCGAGAAGCTCAAAAAAACTTAGCACTTTGAACAGGTGAGAAAGGTTAAACTTATCTGTTTTAGGACGTTATGAAACATATTAAAGATTATTATTTTGTTTTATAAACAGTTCTTATCACGTGTAAGATAGTTCTTGTGATTTAAATAGAATAATAATTTGCGATAAATCCGTTGAAATAAGTTTAATTTAATTTTCAGTATTTACGGAATATACAAATTCTCATGAATGCCTTTTTCTTGCTAAGTTATAGACGCTAGGAATTATAAATTAGCTCTGTCAAAGCAAAAACAAATACAATAATGCTATTTGTCTTAGTAGTTAGTAATTGATACAGAGAAAGATTAGCTATAAAATCCTAAAATAAAATAAGCGTTTGAAACAGCATAATTTATATAAACCGGTAACTGTGATAAATCTTACATTATAACAAAACAACATATCCATAGCAAAAATTCCCTGACGTCATGTATTACCATACACCAAGAGGAATTACTATTAATATTTTAATATAAGGCTAAAATCGGTTTTAACTAAAGCATTGTTTTTCAGATACTTACTCTTAAGTGAAAGAACCATTGTAATCAAATCGATAGATCATTTATCAATACGGTCAGCGTGATTTAGTTTCAACGTATTAATGTCCCACTGTTGGGCACAGGTCTCCTTACTTTAGAGAGGGTTTTAAGAGCTCAGACCCACCATGCTACTCCAGTGTAGGTTGACGGACTTGAACTACTACTGTCTCTAAATAAGTGGTGGTAAACTGGGAGCAAAGGTTTAAAGGTTTTCTCCGAGACACCAAATTTATGACGCCTACTTACAAATTTTTGGCTGATATAGAAAAATTCCAAATATCAAATTAGCATTTTCCCAGTCCCGGCTTCGAACTTGAGACCGGTGTCCAGTCTGGGGCATTCCTACTAACCTAAAAGCGTGTGATATATAAAGCCCTACTCATGACAAGAGGCTTAATACAGAACGCAAAAGAGCTAATGATATAATAATACTTACATGAAAGCGTAACAGACATTTTCCCAGTATACACAACGAGTAACATAGATCCGTACAAGTAGACATAATTTCCTAGAACACTGCTGGCTTCGCTTCCCACTCCTAGATATAGGTAACCGAAGATTAGAGCTATAACTACATGGGCCGCCACTCGGTACATGAATAGAGACTGAAAAGAAAAAAATGAATTACTTGACAATTGACGTTATGGTTGGAGATAATATAGACCGTATACTTTTTTTATTAAATTTGTCTTATATTGTTGTGTGCGTTAAAATTGTACATCAATTATATACAATAATTACTAGTTATCTATGCTAATACAGAAAGCTGAACAGTTTGTTTGTCTGTCTGAACGCGCTAATCTCAGGAACTACTGGTTCGAATTGAAAAATTATTTTGTGTTGGTTAGAACATTTATTGAGGAAGACTATAGACTAAACATATCGCTGTGACTAATAAGAGCGAAAATACAGCGGGAAATGTCGAAAAAACCTGTGTCGAAAAAACCCATGGAAAACAGTTGTGGGTTTCCATTGCGTCCGCTGCGAAAACAGTTCAAGATACCCAAAAAATATGTTTGAAAGAATGATTCCTCTTGAAAAGATCTAAAAAAATAAGTCTGAGACGCTATATGTCTATTGACGACCTACAGGGACCTAGAACGACGGGTTTATCGCGGATGAAGTCGCTGACACAGCTAGTAAGAGATATTATCCTTATAATATGACGTAAACAGAAGTCTATCATGAAACAAACAAAAGGAATGCCACCATAAAAATACAATATTAATTCTATTGTATTCCATGACGACATTGTTTCGATAACATACAATAATTAATTAACTTTTGACAGGTCACGAATTAAAGAGGAAAATATGGATTTTCCATTTTAGGTTTTGACACAAGAATAGTAATGAATTATTTATATTTGAATATATGCATATTCGAAGGGGTAATTTGAACTTAAAGGAAGCGGTAAAGTTGTTTAAGATTTTTATAAAAAAAATCGTGAAAATAAATAAATTTGTCTTGGTGTTAGGAAATTCATGTTTGGAAACCAAAATAAGATATAAGTCAATATTGAGATATGCTTATGACCTCAGTTCTTCCATATTTAAATAGTTTTCCTAAACACTTTACACAATTTTAAGTAAGCACCGAGTAACACTTTTGCCGAGTAACGAGTACCGAGATGTACTCATTCTTTTTCAACCGAGTAGTCGGCCGAGTAACTTGGTTCAATAGAAATTCCCATTAAATTTTAGATATTGATTCGTTATATTGTTTTATGTATGCTCGATATCAAATAACAAAGTATAACGGAATTATTCGGCCGAGTACAAGTTATCCCACCGAGTACACAATGTACCGAGTATCAACCGAGTACTCGGCCCATCTCTAGTAAACAGTCAAGGTATATTTTAGGATTATATGTTTTGCGTCAATTTGGTTTCTACTAATGTCGATATTTTGAGAGTGAAACCTGTGGGTATTTATAAATAACCAGCTTCCGCCCACGAATTTTAACAAACTTCCAGTTTTGTTCTTATAAAGTGTTATTATTCATAAAGTGGTTCGATAAAGTTATGTTATTTTAGTATGTGTATTTTTCGAACTATAAACGTGAAATTGTTTGTCCATATATCAAATATTGATTGTAGGAGATATTTAAAGGTTGAAAAATATAAAAAAATATATTTTTGTTTTACCATGTCATTACCATTTTTTAACATATTATACTTGTTTTATGTCACGTCATAATATATACATTCTAATCCCTTGTCTGTTCTAAGCCCACCCGGCAATTATCAATCCAATCTGTTTAGCCGTTCTTAAGTTATGAATAGTGTAACTAACACGCTTTATATATATATACATATATTTTCTATAAAACAAGAAAGTGTAGAATATTGCCTTGATTAAAACTTTCCACTTAACTTACGCAAAGGCTTATGTAACAAAACCCAGGGTGTCAGGAAAGGTTACAAATAAGGGAACGCAAACTAAACGTTACGTAAAATATAAGTCTGGGTGTGTACTTACATAATTTCTGGTTGTCATTAAATAATTCCTATAAAGCAAGATCCATGTCTGTCTGAAGGGACCTGATGGACGATACATGTTCTTTGAGGAGTTCTGTAGGTATTTCGCATTGCATTGAAGTGATTTTTCTTTGTTCTTCTTTGTATCTAAAGCTGAAATAATAGATCGAGTTCAAATTAAGTAAGACGAGCCGTATTTAAAAGTAAATTAAGTTAATATATATCGAGTTTTAAGCCGTAAAGTGTTGTATATTACAGGTTATACTAGTTGGTGGTAACAATACAGTACTAACTATATTCTAAATTTTAACATATATTTGCACGTGATCACAAAGTTAATGACATCTATGTTAGATAAGTAATTTTTCAAGTTAAACCATAAAGCGCAATGCGTTATGCAAGATCGTTAACATATAGTTGTTAATGGCAGAGTTTTGAAAAATGTTAATAGTGTTCGAGAAACACTTACTTAAAGGGTTAGGCAAGGTGGATATCACAGGTATGTTGTCTTCGACACTTGGTGTCGCTGCCGGTTCAGGACTGAAGCGTTCCATCGCTGCTGCGGCTTTTTCCAAATCCACGTCATATTCACCAGATGCAACTTCCATCACTGAAAATATATTTTTTACTATCATTTACTGATATAATAAACAAAAAAAAAGTAGTGTGTGTGTAATTATTTATCGTAACTGGTTAAATATCGAACATTAATATCGAGCGCAGTGAAATCGGTTCCTTACGGTGACCGATAGATTATATTGTGTATTTTATTACTTGACAATTGTTATATTTGGAAATACCGTTAAATCTACCTTAGCGCAGAACCAAGTAAATATAAATATGAGTCCTATTTAAGTATTACTAGCTGTGCCTGCGACTTCGTCCGCGTGGAATAGTGATCACGAGGACTTGGGTTATGTAAGTGACGCATTTTAAGGCAGCCGATCTATATTGTAAGTGCTAGTTTGCCTCCTACGACACTTTCATCTCATATCATTCCTACTCTAATTCCCTCTCTCATTCCCACTCCCACGCCCACGCACACGCACACTCCTATTCCCAAAAAGCCAGAAGAAAGTTTCAATGTTTTAGCTTCAAAACCACGAATTTCCATACAAACTTTCATACCCTTTTTCTACCCCTATCCACACTTTTTTGGCAATAAAAGTATCCTTTCTCAGGCTCAAAGTACCTGTGTACCAAATTTTATTTAAATTAGTTCACTAGTTTCGGAGTTCAAGCGGGACGGACATACTGACAGAGATACTTTCGCATTTATAATATTAGTATAGATTAATTTCTAGATAATCGAATGATCCTCGAGTACTTACTAGTAGTACTACTTGTACTATAACTTATATTTAATTAAAACGTATTGTAAGGTTAGCTACTTAGCGACAAACTCATTTGAAATATGACTTTTTGTTTCATTGATATTTAAATAAATTGCAATGAAATTAAGGAAAAAATATTATTTTTACGATTCCAATTTATGGAATACGATTTCCTTCATCGTTTTCTATTGTAGAATTTATACTAATATTATAAACCTGAACAGTTTGTCGGCTTGTACGCACTATAGGAACTACTAGTACGAATTGAAAAATTATTCTGTATGTTGGTTAGAATATTTACCGAGAAAGGATTTACGCATCACGACGCAACCAATAGGAGCGAAACAATGCGAAACAGAGAAAGTTTATCTTTGAGGGTTTCTTTTGCATGCGCTACGAAAACGGTTTCCATAAATATGTGTCCGTAAAAGTCCGCTATACTATATCTATCTTTTAAGATCAACTCGCAAGGATCATAGGACACGGGACGGGGACGACGTCGTAAGTAACGGCTAGTGTAGTATAAAAATTACACATCCATATGTTTTAGATTATGTAATAAATGTGTTCACGCCGACATGATAATTGTTTACTTGAAAAGTTATGACAATGATATAAATTTATTCACAAGCATATCGTGACTTCCGGTTTTTAATATCTCTTTAGAACAATCTATATCAACACAGCAGTGGAAAATGTGTGTCTGAATTTTGAATTGAATTATTAAATATTGCAAGTGGAAGATATACGATCAAACAGAACATTATAATTAATTTTTGACTGTCTATCTAAAAGTACCACATGTATAACCCGGGGTTTAACTGCGTACAATTCGCATTTAAACCCGTTAAAAGCATTTTATCTCAAGTGACTCAAAACTTATTTTATTTTACGCAGACAAAGTCACGGCAACTAGTGAGTATATAAGAACAATTATCATATAATCCTATCTTAAAACAACAGCAACGTTAGATAAATATTTAGAATTGTTTAGCTGGAAATTAAAACGGAAACCGTTAAGTGATCTCACACGTTTAAGGGGAAATATACAACTTCCTCGCGTCCTTATGACGTCACTAAATCAATACTCATTACGTGGTGTTTATAAAAGTGAAGCTTGTAGAGGTGACAATTACAGATCGCGTTATTCTCCCAGCTGGTTGACAATAGATGGAGAGCAAACAACTCGAGGTTAGATTTAAGGTCACAACGACTAATACGAAATAGAATGATTTATTTTAAATATAAAATATCGATAATATTTAAAAACTTTAATATCTTTCATATGCATGTGAGGGCACTGTATAACTTAACAATCGAAAGTTAATTGAAAAAAAAAATACGACTCGGGCAGGACTTGAACCGGCATCATCAGCGTTCCGTGCTGTTGCTGTTCCAATTGAGCTACCTAGTCACGAATTGAGCTGACAATGAAGGTTCAAGTTCTGCCCGAGTTGTAATTTTTTTTTTCAATTTATTTTTGATTTTTAAATTAAATTGAGAATATTTCAAGAGTTAATTATGGGATTGTAAAAAAAAATCCATTCCTTGAATCGCTTGCACAATTTTCAGATCAAGTTTAAAGATGAATATTTCTCTAACTGTAGTAATTTTCCTTCACATGTCTAATGTACAGATAATAAGTTCTATTATATGTACCTATTATCCTTATGTTGACCGCCTCTGTAGCTAAATGGTCAAACGAATTGCTTAGAATATCGTTACTTATTTATTTAGTAAAAGAAAACAAACAGATGCATTACATAAGCTAAGGAATAACAATAAAAAAATAAGAAACGTTAAGAAATAAGTCCTAGGTTCGAATCCCAACAATATATTGTTTCGGTCGGGCAGGGCATAGAAGTCTGACCAACTGCCTGTAAATAAAACTGACACGATGTTTGACTCGGGGGAAACAGGATTTAGCTTATAATCGTTATGTTGCTAGTTATAATGGGTAAAGATTTACAAACAACAAAAGTTATTGGGTTTCAACTTTTACATAAGAAAAAGACTTACAGAAATCAGCTGGATTGTGATAAGGGGGACATCTTAGGTCCGCAGAAGACAGTGCTGGTATTAGGTTAGCCCGAGATCCCGAGTACAATGTTCTACCTGCGCTTAGGCAATACACTGTGTCAATTTTCTCGAAGATCAGAGCCGAGGGCTGGTGAATTGTCGCTACCACCGTTCTTCCTCCTCTCGCCAATCCACTTAGGAGAGTTATTAAGGACGCTGACGCTGAAGAATCTAGACCTCTGTAAAGGAAATAGATTTGATGATTAATTTTGCAAAAAAAAAGAAAAACAAAAGCAACTTGTACTCGAACCCGCACACTTTGAGTTACCACTGTGTCATATTATTTTATTATTTACAAGTTTAAAATTTTATTAAGATTGATTAACATTTGAATTAAATAGCTTTAACTTTACTACGGGTGGACGTTTCGGATGCTTTATGGCAGTGGTGGTCACGGTGGAATGTTTTATTTTCATATGTACTGTTCGCGTAAACTACGGACAATATTTATTTTAATATTTAATTAAAACACGTTAACGGTTCAAAACGCGATATATTAGTTACCTAGTAGTTAGTTTAACTAATATATCGCGTTTTAAACCGTTAAAGTGTTTTATTTAAATGTGTACTACTCGCGTAAACTATTGACAGTATTTTATTATAATATTTCAAGTCTTATAATCGAAATTATACACAAATTTAGGCATCAAAACAAAATAGATGTACGTACAAAAATGCGTTTTAGATTAGTTGTTGAAAACCAAAACCCGTTTTTTTTATAATTCCCGTTTCTATAGAATTTATAAATACAAATGGCCCACACGAAACATTAAAATATAATTATAGTCTATATAAATGGTATCAACTTCGTTCAAGTTCAAGTCGCCTAGAATGGTAAGTTGTTAATAGGTTTTCATTGTTAATTGTTATTTCAAGTTTTAAATAGGCTATTCCTTTTATCGGTTACTGGACTTTCTCCCATGAAAGAATAAGAGTTATTCAAAATGGAAAAAGGCATTTTGTTTTTTAAAGGGCCATTATATTTCATTATCATAGTTTACTACTTAGCTTAAATGCCATCGTAATAAAAAAATACAGTTTTATCGCATTCTATTTACTGTGTTCGAGTTATTTTACGTTTGAGTGATTATTATTATTTCTCTGGAATATAATTATTTTTGGCAATTTGAATTGGAATACGTTGTTGTTAGTTAAGTGAGTCCCGAACAATGGCTCATGCTTGATGAAGACGTATAGTAATTTTGTCGTATAAATACTTTGAACTTTGAAGACATTAAACCGATGACAATGAAGTCTCATTATATATATTTCAATAATTTACAGGTGTACTGTACGTTGGTCTGACCTTCGTGATACCACTTCTACCCATAAGTAAGTAGTTTGTAATACTTTTTAAATTTAATAGCCTAGATACCAACCGTAAATTGATAGTATATATATACCCTTTTTATTTTACTCTTAGGTTATAATTAAAGAAAATATTAATTTAAATTATTTGTATTTTATAAAATTCTAATATGAGTAAATACTGTCCACAGTTTACGCGAGTAGTATACAACTAAATAAAACACTTTAAAGGTATAAAACGCGATATATTATAATAGTTAAACTTATTTGAAAATGATTTCTCCCAGTCACGGGGAGACGGGGCGAAATCATTTTCACCGGCTGCTGCAAAGCATCCAAAACGTCGGGCCGAAGTTAAAAATCATTTTCAAATAAGGTTAAGTAATATATCGCGTTTTGATCCGTTAAAGTGTTTTATTTAAATATAATATGAGTATATTTTACTGATTAACAAGGACTATTCCGTATGTTAATTTTGAACATAATGAATCATTTAAAATTTTGTCACAAGTGTTTTTAGTGAATCGGTTTTTAAATAAATTTCATGTACCTGGCTTATAATTGTTTACTTTGTTCATTTAATTAATTTTTTACACCCAATAGTAAAAAGTTCAAGTCTAGAGATCCTAAACAATTTATCATTTTGAAATGATGACTCATGACCTCCAGCGCCCGATTCAAAAGGCGCGCACGAATGAATATACTGTAAATGAAAATAGGTTTTTACTAATACTTTTTAAATATGCACTGAGACTCATTACATTTCAATGAATAGCTCTTGTCCATAACTCCATAATGAGATAATCGTGCTATAGCGGAGACTTCACGTTTCTGTAGAACTTTACCTTGACTTAAAATCGAGATCTGTGTTTATGTGATTATTCAATTCCATAGGTTTATTCATTACTTGCAGCATATCTTCAAACGTGTAAAACGCTTTTGAGATACTAATTTTATTAGATTAAAGAAATTCGATAATGACGTGTAAGACACGATAGTTCAATTGTTTTTAGCCTTAAAGCCAATTAGCCTTAGGTTTCAGTCTTCGGAAATAGTATAAAAGTGCATAACAAACTTTTGCCTCAACAGTATTTGCGTATAATATTGTCGACGTCTCGTTTAGGCATTGAAAGGAGAAAGTCACAACAATGCAGAGAAAGTGTACAGTATTTTCATTTCCATGGTCTAGAAAGAGTGTTAACGATAGCTAATGACATAAATACGTATTTTCAAACATTATGTAGAATAGTTTACCTTGAAACGATAAGAGCAATTTAAATATGCAAAACGTTGAGTTAGCTTAGATTACAAATTTTACTTAAATTTAAGAATAGTTTTTTTGCAAGTGGTTCAACTGTCAGCGTAGTCATCACTCGATATTGAAGAAATCAAGAAACAAAAACCATTTTAAAGATTCAGTTTAAAATGTTGTAACATACAAAAACTACATCACAGATTTTATTTAAATTCATTAGGCGCTGATAAGGATAACTATTAATTACAAATTACGGATCCTATAAAAACCCAGAGACAATTTTAGGAAAGCACAATATTCTACAGTGAATAGGAAGACGTTGTACACCTTTTTTTTAATAATATTAATAAAATATTTTATTTCATAAACATCCGAAACAATATTTCGCGTTTCAATCCATTAAAAGTAGCCAATCTCTTCCGGTGCATGTATTTGCATCATATTAATTGTTACATCAAAGTAACGAATTACAAAAGTTCTTGCAAGCTTAAATATATGCTAAGTGATACGTAGAAAGGATTATATACAATAATACGGTGAAGAAAAATTTAACTTAGAAATATGTCATACATTAACACTAAGAACAATTGTCTGTTTGTAAATGACTTTACTTTAACACTTTTATACTTTTTATTTGAGAAGATAATGAGGTGAGTGGGTTACTATATTTATGCCTACAATGTAAGTACTACTTTTACGTTTTAAAACTTAGTAACTCACGTGGTCGGCTCATCAAGAAACAACAGTGAAGGGTCTGATAGTAGTTCCAGCGCGACAGCTAATCTTCTCTTCTGCCCTCCAGAGAGATCCCGGCATACAGTCTGTGATGATCCATTTAGCCCCAACAACGACAGCACCTCGTGCACCTGGTTAGAATTAGAATCATTGTACTCACATATTTGCACCATTACTATTGTGCTAAAAGTATGGATAATAAAGTTAAGGAATAACGTGCTATATGAAACTAGGTCTTTGTTAGTAGCTAGCTAGCTATTATCTGCGGTGTTAATTTTATCATAAAATTTAATTAGTCGTTTTTTGGGACTTATAAAGACATCCATGATAAACGGTTTAGCAGTGTACAACAAACTGACCTTCAAGATATTCTTATGAGGTCCTTATATAGAATTATTAAGAAGTGATCCGTGAATTTCATATACTTTTTTAGTCTTGATTTAATACATCTAGATTTTGTGTTATGGTCAGTTAACGTTTAATTGAATAGTGAAAAATTAAATTAAAAATCCATGGAGGATTGAAATTTTTTTAACGTATGGGCAGGACTGACCGGCTCCACCTTATTTATTAATAGGCATGAGGCGATGGCGCGTAGGCACGGTAGCTCAATTGGTTAGATAATAGCACAGTCCGCTGTGGATGCCCGAGTCGTATTTTTTTTTCAATCTTAAATCGATTTCAATTAATATAATGCGCAAAATGTGGAAAATATTAAAGTTTTATGTATAAACAGATCGGTAGTTTTGTATTTTTGTGGGTTCTGCAACACTTCGAAGATTTACGATAACCGCAGTGATAAAGTAACATAGTAACATCACTAGTTCAACGATACATCACTACGCGACGATATCAAGTCCAAGATCGAAGCCAATGGCGCCAAACGTGACTCGAATGAAAAGTGTTATTACTAGTCATCACTCATTTGAGCAGGGCTTTAAAATGATTAATGGACGCAGATGATCTTTTTAAAGCCTTTTTTACGGTTGATTTATTGTAGGAGAAAAATTGCAATAAAAAAATTGCAGAATGCTTTTTATAATTAAGACAACTACAGGCAGAGTAGCCTAACTGCAATTTTGTGACTTTGAGTTATTTATATTTTTATAGCCTAAAAAAGATTAATCTACAAGAGAAATATGTTAATCGACAGTGACCGAATATTGTTAACTAATTCCGTCGCCTAAGTTATTAAAAATCTTGTTCAAGCCGATCTGCCTCCAACAGTCTCAATTTGCTAACAGTATTCACAGCGTTCGGTGCTGTAGTTTTAACCAATTGAGCTACCGTGTCGTGTATTTTTTTTGCAATTTAAAATCGATTTTATAATTAGTGCTTGTGAAAAATATTAAAGTTTTCAATTGTAAACACTACGTTAAATAAACAATTATACACCAAACCAAATTATTATCACATGTTCATTAAATAATTTTTTTAAACAAATCTTCTTGTTAGACATAAATACAGGTATTAAAAGCCAGATCAACGTTTTTATTTGCTAATTTCAAGTGGCCTACTTAGATTGTGAATTTTAAGAGAATTACAGATTGCTAGAATATATTGCGACAATAAACCTGTTTGAGTACTATCACAGACGAATATTAACGCAATAAGCAGTTTTGGTTAGTAGGTGTAGTTTATTTTAAATTTAGGAAATGAAATTGGCGGGATTCGAATTTACGACCACAGATTTTCGTGTTATTCAAATCGTGGTTTCGAGGTCCGCCCATGTTACATTTTTAAAATCTTATTTATATATTTATTTTGTTGTATTCCATATATAAGTATCATAGCAAATATACACTGCTTTACGTTTTTAAAATAAATTAAAACAGCTTTGAGAATTTCACGCTTGGTATGCAGTTATCAATGAAACGTTTTTATTTTCGTTGTACCCTCTTTAGTTTAACAATTTAAAGGTCATTCACCTCACCAAGTCGTTTGAGCGTCAACATGTCAAATATACAAAAACAGTTTAGAACTAAATAAAAGTTGATTAGGAAAGTAAATTGTTACATGGAACTTGGGGCGAACACGTGATCGTTCCAATAATCGATTGTATTTACTAAAGAGTTGATCCAACTTTTTTAAATTGCGTTAAAGCAACAGAAGAAAAGTATTTGTTTGAAATGTAAAGTTAAAAAAATACTTTCTATAAAAAATTTAGTGCTTTTTGGATTAAGAATCGTGGTGTATAGTAAGAAAATAAAAAACTAATTAAATGACAATAAGGGAGTTATCGTAGATTTCACAGTCAGTACATAACAATTACGCAATTAATTATATAACCGCATGATATTAACATGATTAGCGATCGATCGACCGACCTCTGACGTGTAACTTTCACTGCATCTCGCATTTTATGTTTTAGGGTTCCGTACCAAAATTGTCTAAGACTCATCAGTCCGTTTGTTACCAGGCTATGTTTTACAAAGAGTCAAAATTTTATTATCTATACTAATACATAATATAACATAGTTTGTCTGTTTGTTTGAACGCGCTAATCTCAGGAACTACTAGTACCTGTAGTATATTAAAAAGTGAGTTCTGTGTTGGTTAGAACTGGTTTTGGTTAGAATGGATGGATTGTTTAGAAAGACGAATGCTTTATATAGGCTACAATTGGACTAATAGGGTCGAAGAAACAGCGCAAAATATTAAAAAAAAACAAAACAGGTATTTATCTTTGTGTGTTTCCGTTACCTAAAATAATCCCAAATGAATGTAGTGTGCACTAAATGAATAATTTTCCGGTTTTCTTTTACTTTTCCACAGTTTCCTCCTCCTATTAGGCGCAGCGTGATATTATATGGCCTAAGGCCTTCCCCGATTATTGGTCTATCCAAAACAACATTTGTCAATTAGAACCACTACGTCCAAACAAACTCTTCAGCCTTATAATATTAGTATAGTAAAGATAATATCTTACATGCGTAAGTTAAACTCGGACTTGTCCCGTTTCAAACTTACTTTCTCTTTCCGTTCGTACGACGAGAAGTCAGCCAGCTTAAGCGCAGCCGCGAGAGCCATAGACTCGTAAACGGTAAGATGTATTCGGAGATCATCCTGTTGGCGGATGTATCTCGCGCCACCCCGACCGTTTGACTTCGATGCGCAAGAGCTTACACCGTTCACTATGATCTCGCCGTTTGCACCTTGCGTCCTGTGAATTATTTTTACATTACAAAAATTTGACGGGTTCGTTGGTATTAGACCAATATATAAATATATAACGGCTAATAATCAATAGATCGTGTAGTAGTGCTGAAAGTTACTCAATCATTAAATTTAGGCATGGTTCAAAGTACCGTTCCCGGAAAGAGGAGGCGTGGGGCAAACACAATTTTGTGTTTATTTCAATGATCTGCATTAAAACAGTAGTTAATAAGACGAGTAAGATCGACGGCTTAGTTTCCCCGAGTTTCGAACCTTTCGTATGCTTAACATTTAAGCAATAAACTGAGAGCCGTTTATCCGCATCGGCAGTTTCTAATCGATAATACATCTTCTTTATCGTCGTATATGACACAGCAAGAATAAATATAATAGCGTACTTACGTGTATCCGGCTAAGATATTGAGGAGAGTAGTTTTTCCTGCGCCCGAAGGTCCCATTATGGCCGTGAGTTCCCCTGGCTTGAAGCAGCCATTTACGCCTCTTAAAATGTGCTTCTTCTCTGTAACAATTGTAACATTAATATTTTTCACATGTTAACATTAATATTACACATCGCATATATACATTAAAAATCGATTGTAGATTAAACAAATATTACGACTTGTGTTCAAACGTTCAGTTTGTAATTTTATCTTCAATGATTTTCTGTGTCTGCGAAAATGAGTGTGTGTTTTTTAAACTCACCTAAGCGGACAAAATTAGTTCGCCGAAAATCGAACTTGATTGCTAGAGGCAAAGCACAGGTTGCTAGAATAATACTTTTTTATATTTTATGAGTTACAGCCACAAAATCCATTCAAAAATAAAAAAGATAATATAAAACGACATATCTGTTCGATATTAAGGAAAAGCATTAGGGGAAATAACGACGATGATATGAAAACCTTTTAAATATCAAGATTTGATGTTGGGGAAAATCCTTTCTAATATTAATTCGAGCTTTTACAGTTAGTTTGGATTTGTTAGGAGGAAATATTGATGTTTAGGAAAATCCAGTTAGTGTACCCCTCATATTTAGGTGAGTAAGGAAAATTAAATCTACTACTTATGGTGGTTAACAAGTTGCGGTAAATAGTTAGTTTGTCCTGTTTTTCAGTATCAGCTAACGCATAACGTTCAACATAACAATGATATTGCAAAATTAATTAACATTTTTTGATTGGTTGAAATTTATACTTACTTCAAAGCTACTCAGTGTAATCGCAAGTAGTTTAGTACAGTACAATAAAATACTGTGTCATGAGAACAATTTTAAAATGATTAATGAGTGACAATAAGACAATGTAATTGATTATTTTGTTTAAAACTCAACTTGCTAACAAAAAACCAAGTCAAAGTAATTCTTGCTTTTTCCATAAACAAGAATTACTTTGACTGTAAAAAGTCTAATAATTATTAACTTAACTACCCATTATAAGCACGTAAATGTTAAAGTTAATAATAATTTTTGATTTTAAGTGCACTTTTAACGAGACAATAAAACTTAATAGTTAACTTGTCACTTTGTTAATAATTAAATAACGATAGCAATTACATTTACTATTTTCAATTTATCATTATTGTGAGTCTTAGACGTATTACAATTTTAAAGAACGTGCATCGTATGTAAATACGTATGCCTTCTGTGGCAAGTGATAAACAATATAATATACGGTACATATATTATTATAATTTTATGTGCATCTGAACCAGTTTCACATATTCGATTGGTAATGAATCGATTTAGCTGGTTTAACTTGTGCTGCATAATAAGCTCGAACATATATATTCCGTTTGTGCATTTAATTGAATTGTTTCGATTTATAGTTTTCCCTGACTTTGAAGCCACGTCCGACACTACTATAGGTAACTTGGCAGTAACCACTTGTTATAGACTAGCTGAGGCAGCGATTTCTTACGCGTAGAATAGTTATTTTGGGTATCAATTTTTGTTTTTGCAAACCTCCTGTACAACTATATAAATTTAAACTGTTACCCACGACGTCGTCCGCGTCCCGTCGTTCTTGCAAGTTAATCTTACAAGACAGACATATACCTAGTGTTGCGGACTTTTTTTAGATAATTTAAAGAGGAATCATTATTTTATACATATTTTTTGGGTATCTTAAATCATTTTTACAGCACACGCAATGGAATCCCACATGAATAATTTTCCCCGTTTTTGCGATATTTCCCGCTGTACCTTCGCTCCTATTAGTCATAGCGATATGTTATATAGCCTTCCTCGATAAATGTTCTAACTAACACAAAAAGATTTTTCAATTCGAACCCGTAGCACCTGAAATTAGCGCGTTCAAACAAACAAGAAAACTCACACAAAAAAGCTTTTTATATTAGTATAGATGTGACACATTCTGTCATAAGAAATTAAAAAAAAATATTTACTAGCTCTCCGGTTTCTTTGATCGTGCTTTGGATCATTGAGTCTTGAGTTCGAATCACAAAATTTTTTTCGGTTGGAAATATGAAGATATAATTGGTATTCTCAACACCTATCTATTAATAATGCAGAATATGTTGGGAAAATCAATCAACGTATTTAAGTGCAACACAGCAAGAGTATATTATTTACAAAAGTAAAGAGGTGCTACGTGCGAAGAGGTTTCAAATGGAAAATTGTGTTTTAAGCTTAAGATTTACCGCTTTTTGTCTTTTAATAAATTTATGCTAAGCACAGAGAACATAACAATGAAATAATCATTTACATTATTTATAACCGGCCGTTGCATTCTTAACGTCAAATGACAAATAATAATGTTTCTTTACAAACATTCTTTGTCAGTTGATTGATTCCTTAGTACTAAAAGTGCGTCATTACTTTTTTGGCTAAACGCCAACGTCAATATGGACTTACGTATGTTTCGTACTAAATTTGGTACCAAAAGATACTTCTATGACATCTAGTAGTCCATTTTTTTTATTACGTAACGCGTTACGACTGACACGAATGTTGACAGAACAAGGTTACAGTTCAGTATTATATGTCGTTACTAACGTACAATATTTGTTTGATTATTTTTTAAGCCAAATAAAATATTACCTAAAAATACCTAATCTTATAACTTGGTTAATCACCTCTGTATTAGTTAGAGGCATAGCCTAGCTTTGCATTAGGCGCTAAATAAAACAAACAGACTTCACTATGGCCCATAATGGAGGAACAGGATTTTACAAAGTTAAAAATTCAACAATGTAAAAGTCCAATAAATACAATTCCTTTTAATATAATTTGAAAATTCTTATATTTATCACATGGTAACATTATATAAATTAAAAATCAATTTAGATTAAAACTATTTGACATATGTCATTATTTTTTTTAGTTTAAATAGATTTTTAATTAATAAAACGTTAACCATTGTTTGAGTAAGCGTGAACTAATCTAAAATTTTATCTACACCGAACTATTCAAAGATGTAATTTTTCTGATTTAGAATATGAATTATATACCTATTATGGGCGCTTATTTTTTACGGTCAAAACGAGTCCACTCAGAAATAAAGTCACGGCATTTTCCAGTTTAATAAATCATTATTGATCCGACTGTGTTGCCAGCTTAAATTGACAGTGGCGACGTGTTTTAAGTTTAAAGTAAGGTGTCTGATGACGTCAATTGGTGCGAATACCGAGTGACGTTATACATGTGTATTCATTTGAATTTATTACGATCACGTTATTTTGCATATAAATAAACTTCATTGGAAGTAATGAACTCCGGATATTATTAAAAAATAAGATTTAAATGTTAAATGTGTGTTTCCGTTAGTTTTGCATGACATTTCATCCGAAGTTTTTAGCATGCCATAATATTAGTCGTTCCACTATTGAGCCAATTTTAATATCAAAATTGATTCCTCAGATTACGGATTTATTTTTATATTAAGTCAATAGGAGTAGTATTCAGAATAGTAACATTGAAACTTCATTTACATATTAATAACACTTTACAGAACCAGATGTCCCGCAATTCGAAATAACTAAACAATATGTTTAAACCTAGAATACTTTAAAATGGGTCTTATTCATATAGCGTTTAGATTCAAAAAGATATTTGTGAGAACAATACACTTTTTTTAATTATAGTAGAAAAGTAAAATTCCGTTTGCTCCCGTGGGGCATGGGACGAACATATTTCTGTGTCCGTTTCATTGATCGGTTCTCTTACAATAGATGATCACGTGCCTGCCTAGTTTCCATAGGATTTGAACCCAGGACCCCTCCCGCTAAAATGAAATGCTGGTAAACACGTTTAACCATTTTGCTACAGAGGCGGTCGTATAATTATAAGGTAATGAAGTAATATTGTATTGTTTGTGTATAAAACACCCGATTGTTGTAATGATTTCTAATTGTTACGTCGTGTTATATATTGTTCCTCTACTTAGAGTATACAATATATACTTAATTTGGAGATAGGAAACCCGACATTCGTAAGAATTACGAATTTGATGATAATCATAATTAAATACTGTCTATAGATTACGCGAGTAGTACACATTTAAATAAAACACTTTAACTCCCCGCGACCACGGCTGCTGCGAAGCATCCGAAACGTCGGGCCGAAGTTAAAAATCATTTTCAAATAAGCTTAACTAATATATCGCGTTTTAAACTGTTAAAGGTTTTATTTAAAAGATCTTGATTGTTTAATCATTGTCGTTTGTTGATTGTTGCGATTGTTTATTCGCAAACATTTCCGTTCGCTTTGCATGACCAACGAACCGATAAGCGTTATATGACGAGCTCGTTGGTTCGATTCCCACGAGTTCCAATATTTTTCTAATCAATTTATAATTTTTCTGAAACAACGACTACGTTTGGAAATCTGGATATTAAATGGGTGGTAGAAGAAGAAGTCCATATGTGATAGAGCCACGCAGTTATATCGCGTTTTGGTTTCAAACTATGGATTAAAATCCAAATATCCAAAGATATCATTGGTCGACAACACATCTTATGTAGATGTTATATGAATAGGGCCTTTACCTATCATCAAGTGAATCCGTTGCTTGTCTTCTATCATAAAAATTCTATTGTTGCGTATAAATAATTCCTATAAATAAATTAAAGATTGTAAGAAGAATGGTTGAGGAAAAATCTACTACTAACATTAATCTCTTATCAGTGTCATTGCTCAGTCGACATGCAATTCACATTCACGCATCGTCTAATTATTAAATAGAACACGCTGTGAATTAAATTCTATGAATCAATTATGACTGTATTGTATAATATAGGGGTTGCGATCTTTTGATGATATTCTTACTCATCACATAATTGCAGTTAGGTATTCATGACAGTTACAATCCCACAAAGAATTAAATTTTAAGTAATTAGGGTTCTTAGTAAGGTAAAAGTTTGGTAATAACTCTTCTAGGCGTTACCTTCTAACTTCTCTGGTAGAGTGTAGCTCAAGATCAGGAAAGATTGCATATACATTTTTAGAAGAGAGAATTCTGGATATTTATTTTACGTCGACGTGACGTCATTTATATAACA